AAATTAAAAATTTATCAATTATTCCTGCCCATACGTTTAAACTAAACTGGTGTTGATGTCTTGAATGCACAATAACATGTGGGTTTTCTTCATCCCAATTATGATTATTATGAAAATTGAATATACCATCCCTGGTAAAACTAGCTTCATCAGTGAAAAGTATGGTAGATACAAAACTCTTCACGTTCACACATTTGCAGGAACCAAGTACAAAAAACGAAAGATATCAAGTAAGTATTATTTGTAAACAGTGCGAATTCTTGCTTACGAACTATTGCGGAAAAAGAGGCCGGACAGAAAGTTTGCTCTGTTTGTAAAATTCATTATATCTCATAAACGAAGACAGATAGGATATATTTATATAACTTTTTTCCATTACTTTTTAGCCGTACAATCAGCTCCGGAAGTGGGTCCCACAAGTTACGAAACACCCTGTATATGAACTGATGAAATTAAGCTATTTAACAGTTATTTAAACTTTTCATTAAAATTTCTTTATATATTTAAGAATACATATGCACAGATAATAAAAATTGAAATACGATGCTGTATTTTAATATCGCAATTTATTTATCGATGAACCGAATTGAATTTGACGTATAAAGAAAGCAAAAACTGGAAGAAAATATATACTTTGATTATTCTAGTAGTAGTAACGAGTAATTAACAAAGCTTATTGTAATGCATTGGTGGTGTATTGAATGTATGAGTGTATTGAATGCGGACGCGTTAGACCGTCCCTATAGACCGAATATCTACATCCTTGTCCGTTGATAGTGTCTATCGTACTCGTACCGCGGGGTCGGTCGAAACCACGACGACTGCCTCCACGTGCTGCGAAAAGCACTTACTCGCCCTAAATTGTAGGTCGCCGCCGTCGTCGCAACGGTGGGGGCAACCAAAGTAGAGGGGCAGGGTCGAGCGAAGCACTTCGGTCATGATCGATGATTTCCGTCGCCGTTCGGTATGGCCAGGCGGTAAACATTACACAGTACGATTGGCCGTGTCCTGAGGGTCCTTTGGTTTCGTTTTCGAGTTTGAGTTTTTCGTTGGCATTCAGTTGGTGAGAAGTGACAAACGAACGCGATATGTATTAAAAAAAAAAATTAAAGAAAGAACTCGTAATTCGTGTTTCTGTTCTGATCTTCTGCGTTATTTTGTTCATTCGTTGTTCTCCAAAGGATAATGAGCTGGAACCTAGGATTCCTTGGCTGTGGAAGGGTTTAACGAGAACCTCACAGGTGGGAGATTTTAATGTTTCTGCATCATATATCATACGAGAAACGACAAATTTATGATAGAAATTTTTGGTGTTGTTGATTTTCAAAGACTCAAAAAATGGTAGCTAAACGTAGTTTGATTTTCCATTTCAATCAGTTGAATTAATTTCAGCATATACTGAAATTTTGAAAAAATTGACAAATCAGTGCCAATTTTTCAGAAAGTGAAATTAAATTCTCTAACCTATTTCGATTTTTTTTTTTTCAACAACAGATTAAAGTTTCGAAAATTTCTTGCAAAGTTAAATAGGTTTTTAAAATCTTAAAAAAAAAAAATAAAAAAATAAAAATTACAAAGAAAGAGGAAGAAAATGCGAGATATCGCTACACTGAAATCGATAGTTTTCTCCTTGGCCGCGAACTTCGGTCGCGCTACTAGCGTCATTTCTCGTGATCAGTCGCACTTTCCGTATCTTGAAAGTATCGGAAAATTGTGAGAAAAGGGACAAGAGACTCAGTTAGTGGGAGAAGGGATGTCTATGTGAAAAAAGAAAGAGAATTCGCGATAGATTTGCTTAGGAAAGACGATGCGTGACTACAGTCCATGATGTAACTCAACGTCCTTACTACGCGCCGAGTTGCACGAGGTCGGTGATCGCTATAAAAAAATGCGACGGGTACACGTGGAGGCAGCGGTAGGCGGTTTCTACCGCGACACAGCGCGGTATTGCACCACCGCCGACCGCGATGACTGCCTCACTGAGAGCCGCGCGTGCAGGTTTAACCCAGCCTTAACCTATTCTGAACCGACAATCTCACACGTATGAACGTGCGAACAATGTTGAATTATTTTGATAATAAATTTTATATTAAATTAGAGATTTAGATTTCAAGAAAGATATTTCGAGTATAAACTATTACATTTATAATTAATATGCATTAAGACCAAATTTTCGATGGCATTGATTGAAAAAGTCTTCTTAGGATCTTAGGATTTTAATTCAGATGGAATTATTATTGTAATCGAAGAATGCTTAATTAACAAGTAAATAAATTTTTTATTCTAAAAAGGACAGCAAATATCGATGTAGATAGTCTAATTTTATTAACGTAATATGTAAGAGTTTAAACGGTAGCTATAATTTTTTTTTTTTTTTTAGCTATTACACATAATTTAGATAATAATTCTGTATTGACCCATAACTATAAAAACCGTAACTACAGAAAGATCAAAAGTTAATTTCATAAGTTATTTATTAGTACAAAATCATAGGTACAGAATCCTTCGTGTTTTTTTTTTTTTTTTTTAAATATGTAAGATGCTCTTTACATCGAAACAACGTATTTTCAAAAATTAATTACATAAACGTATATTAAATAAATTGGTAGAAAAGGATCTTCCGTAGATGATTAAATTATCATATCAGTCCTTTTTATTGTTTTTTCCAAGCAGAAAGAAATGAAAAAAAAAAGCAAACGAGTTCGTCATAGGCCCGGTAAAACCCAGGGACGGGCCGAAGTTGTAAAATGCGTATACTTACGTACGTATATACGTATGTACGTATGTGATGGGTGCGCGTGCGTGCATACAAGGGGCGTTGCACGATATGTGGGCGGTTTTTTTTTTTTTTTTTTTTGGATTTGAAAAGGGGCGATTGGTGGGGAGTAAAGCCGTGTTACCCTAATGTTTCGGAGCAGCGCGTTTCAAATCAGAGCATTTACACACTTGCACGCAGTTGTGTTCACACGTAGAGGACGACGTCCCTACTATTTTCTTCCTATTTATCTCATGTCGATTTACCTCACAAAATCAGTCGTCTAAAAATAAATGTTTTATTATTGTTGTTGTCCTGCAGATTGATCGATTTGATGATACATATATTTCATTTTATTTTCCTTTTAAATAGATTTGATGATTATAATTAATTCAAATATATTTTTGTATTATAAAAGTTATTTATGTTATGTTATATTATTTATGTTAATCAATCAATTGAATTTTATTTTAACTTGTTCGAAGCTTTTTAATGTATTTTTTATACAGGACCGACTTTTAATCGTCTTTATTTTACAATTCGCAAAGAATATATGTACCGTGAAATATTACCTTCAAACATTAATTTTGGAACGTTACTTTTAAAGTGACATCTTCGCAATTTCATCGTCTTAATTCTAAACTCATCGAAATACGAAAAGTAAAATGAATATTTACAAAAATTCACCAGGACTGTATTAATTTATTTGTCATAAATCTACGATAACATTTTTAATAAACTTCATTTATTGATTAGCAAACGTTATATCCTAATTTTAAGACAGTTTCTCAAAATTGTAAACTATTCGTAGCGGTCTCAAATTCTCTGGTAAATTTGATCGTTTCAAAAAACTCTAATGATCATTTCTTCTTTAGATTAATACGTCTGCGGCGGAGAATGGTGGGTTACCATCAAATAAAGCAGATGACAAATTTGAGTACGATGTCAGCGAGTAACCAGGAGGTATCAACCATGGAGCCACTAAATCCGGTAAAAAGTCTCGTATGCAGTCCGGATTTGAGCGTATTCACACCGGCATGCAGTAGCGAGACTCTATCGGCAAACGTCGAGGAAAAGACGTATCAGTGCTTGCTGTGTCAGAAAGTTTTTGATCAGAAGAGCTTGTATCAGACTCATTTGCGTTCGCACGGTAAAGAAGGCGAAGATCCTTACCGATGCAATATTTGCGGGAAAACTTTTGCGGTACCTGCGCGACTGACTAGACATTATCGTACGCACACGGGTGAAAAACCATATCAGTGCGAATATTGTAGTAAATCGTTTTCTGTAAAAGAGAATTTAAGTGTACATCGTCGTATACATACGAAAGAACGGCCTTACAAGTGTGACGTGTGCGAACGTGCATTCGAACATAGTGGGAAGCTGCATCGGCATATGCGAATACACACCGGAGAACGGCCGCACAAGTGTACAGTCTGCTCGAAAACGTTCATCCAAAGTGGACAGTTGGTAATACATATGCGCACACATACTGGGGAAAAACCGTATGTTTGCAAGGCCTGCGGCAAGGGATTCACTTGTTCCAAGCAACTGAAGGTGCATACGCGTACGCATACCGGGGAAAAACCTTATACTTGCGACATCTGCGGCAAATCTTTCGGTTACAATCATGTTCTCAAATTGCATCAGGTTCGTTTATTTTCTTTAAAGTTTCCTCAAAATATATTATGCCTATTAAATAAAATTTTGCATACATAATGGTTTTATAATTTATTTATTTATTATTCATGTTATATTATGTTTAGCGCTTTAATTCAATTGTTTAATTTATAATATAATTAATAATTTATATGAAATAATGCACTTTTTATATATAAAGCAAATTTAGTTTAATATACATTCAATATACAAATATAAACTGTTTATAAATTATAAAGCTATATAAATTATATGTATATAAAAAAATATCTTAGTAAATTCTTATAATATTAAATATAAGCGTCTGAACGCAAGTCTAAAACGCATTAATTCAATTTTAGTTCGTATCGGTACTGTGTGTTATAAAATATAAATTATGTTTCCTAACTTTTCAATTGTATTGCTTCATTATGAAGTTATAAACTCACACAATAAATCACGATAAATGTTCCAGGTTGCCCACTATGGTGAAAAAGTTTACAAGTGTACATTATGTCACGAGACATTTGGTTCAAAAAAGACAATGGAGTTACATATTAAAACTCATTCAGACTCATCGGTCGCTGGCTCTCCTAGGGACTCACCAATTGAGCCAGAGATTGAGATCTCGCAGACAAACAGTGTAGGCACTGCCAGTGATAAGGAGAACCACAAGACTGAAGAACCAAGTGACGATGCTGCTATTTACGACGACACTCCGCGAGATTTTCCTTACTACATGTATTCCAGAGAGCAGTATTCGCAACCACTCTTGATGCCTAGTGAAGACAAAGCTTTTCAAACAACATCCGCAATTTCTATTGAACAGCCTCATTTGTTTCGGTATCCTGAAGTTTCTTCAACGTATACTGACTTTGGAATTCAAACTAATGAGTTTGTCAGTGACTGTTCGTCCCTTCTCAATTTACCAGGAAATGATGCCCGTAGAAGAGTGGAGGCTGCGCTAGAAGCAGTCGAAGAAGAAAGACAGAGGGAATATGGAATCAGGATTGAAAGAGAACCGATTCTAACTCCTCCAAGTAGTAATCCTGTAAGTCCTGTACCTTCACCAGATCCTCTTGATTTGGCAATTCCAGTACGAGAAACGTTAATCCTTCCTCCAAGAAAACGGTGTAAAATGATCTTGGAATCGATGGAAAGTGAGAGAAATGGCCTCATTGCCTCTCAAAGACAGAACACTGTTATTCAGTTTGCAAAAGCATCATAGTGCAAATATTGTGGAAAAAGTTAACGATGAACCAGTGATAATTTCATAGACATAATCTGAATTTTGTGGGGAAATGTAAAGATAACAGGGATATTCTTTTGAATGGCTCGCGTCGCCGATCGAGATGAAATTTGAAGAATGTTGTGAGGAGCCATTCTGAGAGAATCCCAGATATGAAATTTCAACTTTGAGAATTTATCTACTCGGAAGATATGTTTAACAATTTTACGAAAGACAAAGATTTTTAAAATTGTAAGACCTAATCTATCTTCCGAACGACAAAAAATTTCCGAAAGTGAAATTTTGTATTTGGGATTCCTGTTACATCTGCGATCGGCAATGAGAACCATACGGAAGTCAGGATTAGATAGGTGTTCAGAGTAGCGATGGGCTGGAAAAATTCATATAACTAGTATTAAAAGTTACGAAAAGCATCAATTCCTGACCGGTTCAGACTAACTATCTTTGCTCCATCTTGATTTTTGGCAATGTAGTTGTGTACGACTCTAACCCCCTCGCGGGCGTTAAAGAAGGTCAATTCTCTTTGTGTCCTTTCCGATCACGTAATTGGAAAGGTAAGTCGTTTTCGGCTAAAATGTGCTACTGGCAAAGGTCATTTCCATAAAGTAATTCTCGCAATTGTTTCACGAGCCTAACGGTACTGCCCAGGGATGATGCGTCCCTCACGTTAAAACGTTTATACGTTTATTGGCCCTGGCAGTGGGACCAAGGCCAGAGGAACGTGTCCACTACAATAGAAATAATTTTAATACAGCTATGAATTATGTCGATACTGTTACGACAAATTCAAATATTTTTAGGATTTTTTAATCTTACATAGCATTCAATAAAGATAGACGTTTAAGGAGAAAATGAAAATTGAACGCCCATCGCCAGCTGATTAAAAAATGAATGCTACAAGAATGACAGAATTGTTACCATGGAATTTCACTGCGATGTTATACGATCTGAATTAATTTTGTTTCTACACTGAACAGTTTCTGAATATTTTAGTGTTTCCTTCAAATATTCAAATATTTCTAAGAATGATGTATAACAAATAAGAAATCGATAGGAATAACTATAATTAATAGAATTGTATTTAATTTTTGTGAATAACGAAAAACATTTACTTAATTATAAAACAGACAATAACTTATATTTTGAACTGTGAAAGTTTGAAGGGAATCGAAAATAATCATGCTGCAAGCCTTAAATGAACCAATAGAACAACGTCCAATAATTTTACTATTTGACAAGATAATTCTGAAAGCTTTTTGCAGTTTAATAAGAGTATGATAGAGTGGCCTCGTTAATTCGCAAATTCGACTGGTTTCGAGAACTATTTATATGTGCCTCAGGGTAAACGTAATATGTAATATATTTAGAGTTCGCCAGCTGAACATCCATTACTTATATATTACTGCCAAAAAGTACAAAGAAGATGTTGGCTTGTTTCATTACAAGCTCGTTATTTGGAACATTTCTGTCGAATGTTGATCTAATGTTAAAAACGAATTAAGAAACACCAATTAAGAAATTAAGAAACTGCATAATTTTTAAAGTTAAACAATTTCATTTTATTTCTAAAAGCATTGTTAATTTTGCATTAGAAGAAAAACATGTTTATTCTACTTCCTTCAATATTCGTATACATACATATGGTAAGCACACATGTAGCTGGCGTACTCGATTTTTGGTATTTCACGTTATATGTATATTATAGATATGTGTGTGCGTGTGCGTATACATCATATATATATACATATATAATATGTGTAATTGAATTGTAACGAAATAACTAAAAAGTAATGAAGATCGAACAGGTCACTGTGGCACAACTAGCATCATCATTATAGAAGGCTTGGAACGATCATGATCGCGGGGATTTTTAAATTATACTTCTCTTTTAGAGAAAAGAGTACAAAAATAAATTAATGTGAAGGATATAAATAATACATTCATATTGATAAGCGATGATTTAAGATTTCGTTTTGGATTTAAAAAATTTGAAATGGACAACAATTCGATGCGTCAGTTATTTTCGAAGCCTACGCCATTGGTTTCTTCTCTCTCTCTCTCTCTCTCTCTCTCTCTCTCTCTCTCTCTCTCTCTTTCTCTCTCTCTCCTCTCTCAAGTAATTTATTCGTGTTTTCCTCGAAAGTTATATTAAAATGTTATATATATTTTACGTATTATAAGGTTTCCTATAACTGCATTATATATATATGTATATATCTATGCAGAGATTAAAGATTCTAATTTCTTGCCAAAACCAACAAGAGACTGAATCAGTCTAAAGAAAAATTTTCTTTTTTTACACGAACGTATTTCCAATATATGTATTAATATGATGCGATAAAGATGATGTTGAAGTATTTTATTGCTCAATTTTCGTCGTGATTGGACTCGTATTATTTGTTTAAACAAAATATTTATAATAAGCGATCTTTCATAATGGTTGCATTGAAAACAAATAGAAAATTGTACATCGAAGGCACTGTATAAGTTTAATTTTACTTTCATAAATGATTCCAGTTCTAAACAAAGATGGCGCTAGTTTACTGTCACTGTTAAATTAGCAACAATATTTAATTTTGTAACTTGTTATCTTTGACATCTTGCAATTTATCGTTTTTTTTTTTTCTTTTTTTTACGTTTCGGTAAATATGTAATTGTATAAAATATCTTTTTTTTTTTTTTTTTTTTATATGAAAGGTCTTGATAATAATTATCCGTTTCATTAAATTTTCAATATCCGCAAATATGATTGTAAAAACGGACTAATTTCAAGTACAAAAGCGTTGAATCAAATTCAAGATTCAACGATCTTACGAGAAAAAGGAATAAAAATGAATATTATATATGTATATTTAATTGTCAACGGGTAGCATCGACCAAAAAATTTGGTTTTGATGAAACCGATCTTACTGGAATTACAGTAAGTAATTACTGTGTTTCCGCTGTGAGAGTGGAGCTGATAGGAAAGAAAGTATCAAAAACTCACTGATAAGAACTCCATTATGCCATAGCATTGAAAGGAGCTATGCTCCTCACTGCCAGTACAATGCATACACGTGCAAATTTAATATTAAATGTTAAATTATACCATCACATTTTATATTTTGAAGCTATCTGTATTTACATTTGGCACGACTCCGGCACGGCGTTATAGATGGCGTTTTATAAACTGTGAAATAATTTAATGGAAGATTCCACAAAGTCAAATCGTTATCAAATAAATACTACAATTGTAATGATATAAAAAAGGCATTACGACATTAATGATAATATGAAATAAATTTAGCAGAAACATAAATTATATGTGAAAATTTCTGCATTTATCATCAAACTCACTGAGGCCATTTTTATTGCAGCTGAAATTTAAAAAAAAAAAGTGGTAATTTCTAAATATTAAATGTATTCTGCGTTCGAATCTACCATCTAATTATTGATCTGTAGTTTATAGAACAGCTTATGTGTACAGTGAACCATGTTTATATTAATATTAAGAAGTAATGTAATATTTATATGGGAGCTCATGTATATTATGCCTTTCCCTCTTTTTTGTTTACGAGAATAATTGACACGTGGCCTATTCCTATTTTTTAAGAGGCGTTCAAGCTTTTTGTTATGCGCGAGTTATGTTTTTATCTATTATGTAAATCACGCATAACACATGATATTTATGTGCAATCGTACATTTAAGTTCTTTGGGATACTTAGTGTCCTTTTGTTCGTTATTTTATTTACTCTCGGCAAAAATATTTTGAAGTATAGAAAATAGTCGCGCTTGTTATTATGAATTTTAATGATTGTTATTGTTATAGTTTTCGAAATTAGCTTAACATTAGAATTCATTTTTCTTTATGTTATCGACTATAGGCCACGTGAGAGTATGCGAATAAGAAAATGGATGCAAATTGTTAAGTATTAAGATATAATGATGAGAAATAGAATGAAATGCGTAGAGACAACTCTAGTGTAATATTACGATTATCTGTTATTGCTTATTATTTTTAAGATACATAATTACACATGCCAAATGGGATGTATTTTATCCCATTATTTCAAGCGTGTTGAACTGATTACACACGAAGGAGAAAAAAAAAACAAAACATTTTATGTTTGAATTGAATATTTCTTATGTTTGTATGAATAATTTCATAGTCAGAATTTTCGAGACAGAAGATATATTTATTTATTTAATATATATAGTTATATCTATACATTATTTATGTATGTATTTTTTTTTTTTTTTTCTGTCAAATGTCGAAACGAACCATCGTGTATTCATTGCATTAAAATATATTCTATCGTAAATGAATTGTCTCTGAAATTTTACATCTAATTTCAAATGACAAAACACGATTCTGTCTTGCGCATCTGGTTTCACGAATCTGTTCGTCAACATTTCATTTATTATGCATAAGGATATTTTATCTCGAGTCGAATTTAGCGCGTCAAACATTTATAAACTTCTCGTCGTATATATTTCGCAGACAATAAAGTACAAGTATATTAAACTTAAAATTATGCAGCTTTTAATGAGATATGAGTGGTGTCTTTGCCAATATACATGTGTAATTATCACGAATTAATAATTATCAATTAACGTAATTGATCTTATTTGCATTCCTAAGAGGTTTTTTCTCAAGGTGGTTTTAGTATCTCGATATCATACATATTCAATGAAAAGAAGAGAAAAATGCAGTTCCACTTGTACGTATATTTGTACGTTCACTTTCTTTCGTGCAACATTAAAAATTATAAAATAAACTAGCTAATCAATCTAGCGCGATCGACTGCCTGCCATTGATAAGTATATACAAAAATATATACTAACTAGTGCTAGATGCATGTATTTATGCAATTGCAGAATATGTACTTGAGGTCTCATTTTAATTGTTACATACGATTAATTATTTAATTTGAAAGAAAAAAGAACTAGCTTTCGAATAGAATTTTCTTCGTTTCGGGACACTGAAATATTCTGAAGAAATATTTATAATCGTTTCGTTTATGTAGAGTTTTACAAGACAAAAAACTTGCTATTCACGACACTACGAATTACTACGACAATTTTCGAGGAAATTAATTATATTATAATTATAAACAATAAATTATAATACGACAAATAATTTGAAAGACAAAGTTAAGTTGTACGGAAAAGTTAAATTGAGACACCTTGTAGAAATGTTTCAAAAATTTTACTGTGTATGTATTTAGGAAATTTATCGAAATAAGTATGTATTAAATATTGATACATCAAGTACATTGAGTTGCATAATTTTTTTATTGTACTCTTTTATATATGTATGCTTGTACAAGGCTGTTCACGAAGGCGTTCGAACGCTTGTAGAAATATGTCATGAATATATGTGTGTATATTCGTGTTAGATAAAATATTTTAAAATTTTATTCATGCAACTACTATATATCGAAACTGAATTACACTCAAGTTTGAAATTAATCTAAAAATATATATAGAAATCACGAAGTATTCGAGTGTACTATTTCGTAGTTCGTGCTATGTTAAAACAACAATATGTATTTGCAATTTCTATACGACACATTTTCGAATTGATTTCAAATTTTGTTAACCAATATAATCGTACGATTTCAAATTTTACCAATGTAATCGCAAGAATCTAGAGTGTTAATGAAATTTCAAAATGTTTTATAAAACACTTTTGTACACGTAAAAGTTCTCCTACCACACAACGATCGAATATTTTCGTAAATAAATTTTACAGATACTCGTCCTCTTTGAATACTTTTTAGTTTTTAATTTTCTTTTAAATGACTTCTCCGTGAGAATTATTAAAAAATATCATGTTAAATCAACGTAAAAGATAAAGCATTATTACTAATCAACAGTGAAATTATTTATTTAGTACTTATAAATTGGGTATTAAAGCATTGGGTATTATAAACATCTTGATATTGATGGTTTGCCCATTTTCATTATTGAATTACACAAATTGTTTTTGATCTATTCGTTGAAAGACTATTACAAACGGAGAAATGCGATAAACGTCGTACAACTAGTAAATACGTAATAAGATTCGAAAAAGTTTCGAGTAACGTAAGCAATTATTTAGTTACAATTGTAGTGATTACCATCACTGTACTGTACATAGTATTCTGAGCTGCTGAACGAGATGATGAGACGAGAAATTTTTTTACTTTCAAAAACAAAAAAGAAAAAGAAGAAAGGAAATAACACACTTTTCAAATAATCTGAACACGTATGTATGTAATTCACGCGAACTCGTTTATCAGTGCAACGCTAGGCAATTAAATAGATACGAAACTAAACACAAGTTTATTGCGCAGCGTTGCAGTGTATTAAAATCCCATTTTCACGTGACGTGAAACGATTGTCTGCACTGGAAAAAGCGGATTTACGAACGACAGTCTAGTCACTTACGTGGCGACGAAACTTTTAAACGTATAGGTGTATCGAGTGTGCTTATGTTCCGATCTCGTAGGTCTATCTGATACGATGTAAAACGTTCGTGTTCAATGGAGTACGGTGGTACGACCGATTGTTAGAAGCGTCATTGGAAACGTTGTTTCGATTGCAGCACGATATTTATATGTGTCAATAAAATTTCCAGAAAGCTATACATATTTAACAAACCTCTAGCCAGTGGACGAAACATATTTACCGAGTAAGTGATCCTCCTAAATTTTCAGATCGCGAAACACCCGCGCGTTTTTTGGGGTAACCACAAATTAGATTTGGATGCTTCTCCGATGATTTTCTGTAAATATCTTTCAAAAATAATTGTTCAAAGCAGTTCTTTTCGTTTGCGTAATGCACAGTGCTAGTGATCACTTATTGTGTACATTAGTTTCTCCTGACTGCATAGTTTTGAGTATTTGTCAATTATGTGCTTCCTATGGCATGTCCAAACATTAATGAAATGCTTTGAACAATCGTTAAGCTGCAAACATGATTTGCTACTATGCGATTGAATTACGTTGTTTCAACATCTCGCTATTTCAGATATTTTTAGATGTTTTTAGAGTTGCCTGTTTATAAACATTTATAATTTTGGTTAAGTTGGAGAGTAAGGAATTATGAAGTAAGGATAACACTGAATGTTATGATTTTTATTTTTTACAATCTGGGTAGGAATAGATTGTTATTTTATGTTTTGTTGTTTGAGATTTTCGTTATACTGTTTTTATTTACATAAATATAATATAATAATATCTCTATATTATATATACATATATTGGAATATATATATATATAATTATTAGATAAAGATATGCTTGAAAAGAAGATTAACAGTTGGTAGAACAAACATTGAATATTAATAGATATAATTAATTTTAACCTATTAATAAAATATAGAGATGTTAATTTGAAGCAAATATTTCCATTCAGTACATTGATGTACACGTACAATGTCAAAAGTATTAACATGTTAAACTATTTTAGAATCAACTTTGTAGAGTCAAAGTGTATCATGAATATAAAAAATTCGCTACATTTGATTATGTAATATTTTGTCACGTTAAAGTACACAAACGTAACATCGATATAAATGCTTGAAATGCTTCAACTTATTTTTAAGGTTGTAAATTAAGAAGTATATTATCATTGAAGCGTTATGCAAACATAAAACTTTAAGTAAATATTTAACAGACAAGTTTTGGAAAGTAATTTTTTATCGTTTAAGAGATATTTGTTTATAATATGTAAATTTATATTTCTACATTTAAATTTAACAACGTACACAGTGCTGAACTAGAGGTTCTGATATATCTATTTTACTTTTAGATATGAGACGCAAGAGCGAAAGAAACAAAGGAAAAGCAGCAAGTCCGGAGAAGGAGGTTGAACGAGTAACGCGAAAATCAACTCGAAGATGCGTAAAGCAAGTAACATCAACATCTCCGGAGCAAGAGAACGTTGAGGAAATACCAAAAAGTGTGAGCAATAAAGTCACGGAAAAAAAGTCAGCTCACGTTCAGAGAAGGGAAGTGGAACAACTGGAAGAACAAAACGAAAAGGTCTTATCTAGCGAAGCGGATGTTAAGACCAAGGTGCAAGAAGATGAAGAAGACAATAATACTGGATCAGTTTGGAAAGTGTCAAGAGCCGACGCGTCGCCTGGCGAGATACAGAAATTAAAATTATCTAGACAGCATAACATGTCGGAAAGATTATCTGATACTTCTTTAAATAGGAAAAAATCGAACAAGTGGCAGGAAAGTGGTGAGGGAGTTGCAGAGGAGGTTGACTCGGCAGACAAGCAACTGGTTTCTTGTACGAGAATACCCAGTAGCGCTGAACAGCCGAACGATCCCTCCTCTTCATACCCAGGTCAGGACTCCAATGAAGAGGTAAGTGATAGCAAGGAGATCCTGCCTGAAACCACTTCAGCCAACTTGTCTGACGATAAACCAAACATAGATCAGCAAGGTGAATCAAATGAGGCAAATTTCTCCAACGAAAACGCTGATAGTGAACCCATTAAGTCGAGTGATACAACCATGTTGGCTCCTAGTTCGAATGGTAATCGCTCGTCCGAGGAGACAAACCAAATTATACCAAAGGAAGAAAAATTCGTGGAAGACACTAACGAAAAGACAGTGGAAATATTCAATAAAGAAGTTAGTTCCGAGTGTGTTGAAAATACTCAGAAAGATTCGAGCAGCGAGGATGAAGACGAAAAGGGAAAAGCTCGTGAGCTAAATTCATCGTCTGAATCGAATGACGAGATTCACGCTAAGAGCAATAGAGCCAGTGGCAGGATACAAAGTGCCAGTCGCAGAAAACATCGAACGAAATATCGAGATTCATCTAACTCTGATACAGCAGATTCTGAGGATGAACCTTCTATTAAGAGAGAACTTGAAATTGATGTTTACATGCAAGAAGAGAAAGTAAATGTCGAGGATTCCCACAAACAGAAAGATCATTCTGAGTCACCGAAAGCAAGAAATAATTTTTTATTGAATAACATGGAAATGGATGTAGAACATTGCGAACCAAATAAACAAAAGTTAGATAGTCTAACTGATAAGTCGGAATATCCTGTAACGACAACGACTCAATTGGTGACTTACAAACCTGTAAAAGTAAATTTGAAAAGATCATTGTAAGCATAAATTAACTATTATTCGGAATTCGTGTAAGTAGCTTTATTGTAACTTTATTGTAACTCTGTAAATTTTGTTTCAGTTCCTCAAGAATATTAACAGAAAAGAATGATGTTAAAAAAGAAGATAATGATGCAAACGCAAACAATGAAACAGGTGCTCCAAACAAGGTTCGTTGTTATATTTTTTTTCTAACTAAATAAAATTGGCTATTTATCAAATAATTATAATTTAGCTCGATTATGTAAACAATAATTTATCAGGTTACTTATAATATTGTAAGATTATTAAATATCATATTTATATGCACGTACAATGTAAATTAATTTTAAAATTTTGTTTTACAGGAAAATCACGATAGCACCGAACAAGATTCAAAATGTGCTCCTAGAAAACGTCGATGGGGCACTGCATTGTCTACTGATACTGCACCTTCGTTTTCAATTTCTACGGATTCACTAAAAGTAATATTTTCCTTCTTAATGTTTAATATTTCGCAAACTTTCATGCACTTTTATCATTTTCGTGAAATTAAAAATATAATTGCATGCAAATGTATAAACATTTTTGTAATTTCATGTTACTATACCTACATTGGACTTGTGATTTTCTAAATTTTCTCAAATTTGCATATATACTTCTGATAGGCATTGGTGCCCGGAGCAAGGCCATTGTCGATAAACGAAGTTCGTCTTTCGAAAGACGACGATGAAGATAGAGATCGTTTTCGAGTTAGTGAAAAGTGGCACAATTCTACTGAAGGAGTAAATGATAATAAATCAGGTGATGAGAATATCATGCAAAAAAATGGTGCAACAAAGAAGGGAGACGCAAAAATAGATAATCACATAGGTATGTGAATACTTTTCTATTTTATGTGGGTTAATTTTTACAAATGTGATTATCATTCTGATTTATATTATAAACCATAAAAGTGGTTTAGTAAAACTGCATCAGTTGAACATGTAATATTTAAAATAGATATTCCAAGAAACATTTGGAACACAACTACAGATTCAGATTATTTGACAACTTTATTTATTAAATAATTGAATTTATTATTTATTTATTATTTATTAAATTTATTTATTAAATATAAAAATTTACTTCACATAGATATAGATATCTGTTTATTAAAATATTTCATTAGATTACAGTAATGAGATGGAAATTTATTTTTCTTAGAGACAAGTGTTCTGTAATAAAGAGTTATGTTTATTAAGGGTATGTTTGCAGATAGTATATTATAAGTTGAGTGTATACTGAACTATTTTGGAAATGGAATATCTTCTGCCCTTTTCCTCTGAAACAGAATATCACGAATATGAACGACGAATATGAAATATGTTTCATATATTTATATAAACTTTTCTTGTGGTTTGTAGCAGCAAGGCGTAAAATATCGATTGTTAAAGAAATGCCACATGTAAAATCTCCGAGTCCACCTGCTACAAAGCCCACAAATATCCTTTTGATTAAAAACTTGGTTCGTCCTTTTACTTTGAATCAAATTAAAGAACTTCTGTCGCGTACTGGCACAATCGTCGAAAATGGATTTTGGATGGATAGAATCAAGTCCAAATGTTTTGTAGAGGTATATTAAACTAATTTTCTATAAATAATAGTCGTAGTATAATTTTAAGCTGCGAAAAATTTAATACTAATAAATGTTAATTTGTATATTATTGTAATTAAACATTCTTCGCAATCTTTGTAAAATATTGGTAACCTTTAAATTTGTTAGATAGATAAAACGGTAATAGCATTAATTGAATTGTTTTAGTATGCCAATGAAGATCAAGCATTTGAAACGAGACAAGCTTTACATGGTATATCTTGGCCGATTTCAAACCCGAAAAGGCTTCACGTTGAATATGCAACCAAAGACGATATGGAATTGGCACGTGAATTGTCGAAAGACCAGTCCATTCCAAGAAAAACGGAACCTCTTATACCGTCTGATTCGTGGCAGCAGGATTGGAATCGCGAAGAGAGAACAAGTGCAAAGGTATATCAATTATATGTTTTACAATTCATATGCAAGTTTTAAGAAAAAGTATAAAAAACATTATAAAGTACGGATATTTATACAGTAAGAAAAAATATCTTTTCTGATAGCTCTCTATAAAAGATATAAGCAAATATTTTGAATTTAACAATAGGATCGTTTATCTGAATTTTATGCTGAAATGTCAATTTTAAAAATTCGTTAGGATTGTTAGATTAGTTGCTAAATCTGTAAAAATTTTTTGTCGTTAAATTCCATTCTCCTCGACACTTCTTTAAATAAAATTAAGAAGTAAATTATTTAATCTCCAATTGCTACAGTGAAATAGAAATACATATATTGGACGAAGTTCTGAGATATTTCAATGATTTAAGAGTACCAATTTATAATTGTAAAGCTTATAATTGTAAAGTACAATCTAATTGAGAATTCGCAAAACCATGTGCGATACGTTACTTTAGAGAAAAATTAAGACTCGTTACAATACGAATGGACAGATCAAATGGATTATCAAATAAAAGACTTTGGTAATGCAATAATTAAACAAGAGTTTTGGAAATGATAGGTAATGGTAGTTCGGGAATGGGATCTTGGTAAAGAAGATGGTCAACAGCATATAAAGGAAAAAGAACGTGAAAAGAAAGAGCATGATAAAAAAAGGCGGCAGAGGAGCCGGAGTCCAGCAGTGGAAGCACACCTTCCAGCTCCAGCTCGTAAATTTAAAAAAAAAGAGGATGAACCACCGCCAGCGAAGCTCTTAGATGATCTTTTTAGAAAGACAAAGGCAACACCATGCATATATTGGTTACCACTCACGAATGAACAGGTATATTACAGACAAAGTACAATCTAAATGAAATTATTATTTTCATTATCCGAATAATTGAATATTAAATTATATCATAACATGCAAAAATATACAAAGCGAAGAATTTGTCATAGTCTTTAAGGAGTAAATTTCTTCTATCTAGTACGTTTCAATTACAGATAGTCGTAAAAGAAGAAATGAGAAGGCAGCATATGGCAGAACACGCACGCAGACTAGAAGAAATGAGACGCGCTGAGAGAAATAACAGGGACGGTCGTCGTCGTCGTAGCCCGAGAAAATAGTTTTTTGATCGACCACTTTCGATAAACGTACTTTTCCCTCTCTGATGCAAAAATTTCATTTTTGATTAGATTACGTTTTTACAAATGATCATTTATGAATCACGGAAAGACGAATCTTTTCATTTTACATTGGAGACAGACTTGCCGAAAAAGCTCCTTCAATTTTGCTTTCTCAATTGTTTCGCGATTTGCTGTTTTATGATTAACGGTTTAACAATATAGTGTTAGAGTTTGCGTTTATTATTCTTCTACTCTTTTTTTTTTTTCTTTTTCTTTTTTTTTTTTTTTTTTTTTTTTTTTTTTTTTTTTTCTAATTTAGAAAACGCGAGAATTCTTGATTCTTTGCATTATTCCTCTTTTCTTATTCTGCCATCGATTTCGTATATTTTGTTTTTCTATTTAATTTCAGTTCATTTCGGTCGCCAATTTTTGACGCCAATTGGTCAGAAACTGTACAAATTTGTTGCATGATCAAGAAACGACCCGATCTCCGATCCATTCCCCCTGAAATTTCAGCATTAAACCATACTTCTTACAGGTCGACATTAACTATCCAACAGACCAGCGTAACTTCGTAGAACGAACAGTAGTGTTTGCATCTAGGAGTGATGCATCATCACGTTCTACGATACGTCGTAGTGCGATATCGCAAAACGTGCCCTGGGAATCGAAGAATAATCGAACGAAAAAACTATCTACGTAGGGGAAAAAATACTCGAGACGAATTTAGTATTCGTGATTATCGACAAACTTTATTTGTCTCCTTACGAGAAACTAAAAAAGAAAAAAAGAAAAAAGAAAGAAACGAAACTAAACCGGAATAAAAAGAAATTATAAGTTGGGATGAGTTGCTGAGAGAGTAACGACAAGAAGTAAAAAAGCTCACAATGAGAATGGTGGAAAGACTGTGTGGTTCGTTGACATAAAGTCATCCTAAAGCATCGATGGGAGTTTTCTCTCCTTGGAATTATCTGTTTTTTTTTTCCCTCTCTGTCGGTAGAATAGCCTGACTTCCTTGAATTTTGACATGTGCTACACACATACACACACATACACACAAGTGGTGGTAGTAAAATGTAAAGTTTTGGTGTTTCTCGTTTTCGCGCAATGAATTTGCACAGCCGGAAACACGTTTGTATATAAAGTATAATTCAATACGCCGTGATATGACATGTAAAATTATTAATAAATGTAAAACACTATAGGATATATACGAAAAGTATATCTGCCGCTTGCTTTGTACAATGTCATACCATATTTAAAAGATTTGTTAATCATCCTTGAAATAAGATCGAAAATTTACGAAGATGAAACGAAAGAAGGAAAATACATACATTTTAGAACGGAAAATGAATTTATTCGTTGAGTTTATTTCATTTTTCTGTCTAATTTAAACGAGAAATGTCGTCGAAAGGGAAATCGTTTCAACGAAAAAAGGAAAGAAAAAAAAGAACATACTGTGTGACAAAATATCTGAGGCATGGGCAACTAGGAAAATAACTGTTAACGTAAACTTATTCGATCTTTATTTATATTAACATCGTTAACGCTAAAGTTGTAATTGCTTCAATTTACAAAAGTCGTGAATTACAGAATATGTGCATGTCAGCTATTAATTAAAGTATTTCACAATCACAAATACTATGAATAGAAAGAATAAAAGAAAACTGAAAACTTCAAGTTCGGCATGTAACTTAACTACCAGTTTGTACAACACTATATATTTTTTCTGCAATTAAACTAATCTTAATGACTTTGCGTCCAGGTAATACTTCTCATCTATTTTTTTTAGAAAAGAACAGTAGTTGTATACAGTAATGTACTATACAACTATAATGTTCTTTGATATTTTTATTTTTTATTCTTTTTTAAGTTATTACCTTAAAAATATCAGGGGCCGAGACGATTATGAAAAATTAACATCATATTTGTTTTCTGATTATGATTTCAAATTCATTTCTAATCTCCTAAATCTTTTTATAAAACTGAAAATGACAAATTAATATTTATAATAGTTATTTATAACTTCGAGAATGTTTGTCAACGTAAATACTTTTTTTAAATCAGTTGAAAAAGCTAAAAAAAGTAAATTTTACATATATATTTTGGTTCTATTTCATACAATAATTGATTTATTTGAGTCGGAGCAAAATTATCATAAAAAGAACATGGTTTTTTGAAACTCTTTAAAAGAATAATTAATATAAAATCAATTAGAATCGATATTTCCATAAATTTGTTTTTTTATAACTTTTTTTTGAAATTACTACAAAAACCGGAATGCAGTACATAACAGGTTCTCAAGTCCTGAAAAGAATTCGGAAATTTCTTTTGGAGTTTATAAATAACATTTTGCTTAAAATTTCCATTTATATATATATATATATATATATATATATATATATATATATATATTGCAAAAGAAATTAGGTGACTATTACGCAATCATTTAAAAATTTGTAGTATATTCAACTTAAAACTATATGATACAAACCGCAAAGAACTTGGCCTTACAAACATGGTAAGAAATGTGTGTATACATTACAATCCAAATTTGTAATTCAGAAGATTTGAAAGATACGATTTGACGATTGCGAGACAAAAAAGTTCTCTTATTTACATTGTTGATTAATATTTTTAATTCATCAGTTTATTATCGTAAACAAATGTATCTAATAATTATACATTACGTTTGCATTGCACAATTCATTTGTAACATGTATACACGTATTTTCATAGCTTTGATATACTTATATCGTTATCAAAAGAACGCATACTGAGAAGTACAATAAAGACTCTATATGGGTTCGAAAATTGGTTATGGAATAATTATCTGGTTTTTAAGCTTTTCAATATTTTGCCGACAATGACAAATACAAAAGAGAACAACAAGCAGGAAATAAATAATCAAATTTTATAATAAGGAAGTTATAATAGTTTTTAATGAAGATTTAATAATTCATTAATGAAAATAAACTAAAACTAAAAATTTTATCATTACATTATCATGCATCTTCAATAATACATCACTAAGTTCTTTACAAATGAACAATTACAGAGTCTTTACTGCAGTTAACAATACGCGTATCAATTTCATGCTGATAGATTTCAAACATTTCGTCGGTTTTCAGATAGTTGATCAAATGAATAACCTGATTCTTAATCCTTTTTATGCGCCTGTTTTGAAAAACAACGAAATATATAAAAACAATTTTGGCAAATATACACGTTTGAAAATTTTGTAAAATAAATGCAAGTTTTTGCAAACATTTATTATGACTATTATCATTATCAAACAGTATTTTTATATTTAATTTATAATTATTATTTTACAATTATTGGTATAAACGACAAGTAGTCTCTGGAATATTTAACTGCGTGGAATATCAATATTCGAGATAATAAATAAGTTGATAGTAAAATATTTGCGCATAAAAAGAATTCGATGCTTGTATGTTGAAACTAATTTTTTCCCAAGTCTGGTATCAATTACCATTCATTCTTACTATTATTTTATTCATACCACACTCAGTTTATTTTGATGATATCACATCTGATACATTAATCGACTTTTACGACACTGTAGATCTTCCGCACGAACCAGAAACAGGCAAAGAAACCAATCGATCCTGTTTAATACAATTGTACAATTTATTATTTAAAAATGAATAAATTGTTAGCAAGGAAGAGACAAATATCTTACCTGTTAAAACGAAGAATAGATAAACCATAATACACGTATAACCAAAGTAAAGGAACGTAGACGTAGCATCTTCTATTTCTAATTTAGTCATGAAGAAGTGTATGCAATAGACTAATAAATAAAACGCGGTGAATCCAGATGTTAAAAAACTACGCCACCACCAATGATAGTCCTAAAAAAAAAATAATTTTAATAGACATATTTATTCTGAAAAATCAAAATGCTAGAAAAAAGAATTATTTATTTACCTCTGCACAAAGATGAAAATAACAAAGTAAGATCGTCGTTTCTGAACATGTAATTACAAGTATAACAAATACCAAAAAGAGAAATCCAAACATGTAATAAACCTGACTTGACCTGGAAAAATTAATTACAGTTTAAAAAGAGGAATATTTTAAATGTTAAAAATTAAAATTTACAGAACATTTAAATTAGCAACAAGTGTGAATAATTAGAATTAACAAAAATCAATTAATGGAAATGATAAATTATAATATTATTAAGATTATTAATGTTTGAAAATATAATACTTACCATAAAGAATTAAGTATAAAGAATAATTGTATAAATATACATCCGAAAGGCAGAACACCACCCATTATTACTCCAGGTATTGGTTGAGTATAAAAACTTTGCTCTGGTATTTGCCTAGGAATTTGATTGGTTCTTACAGGATGCTCCAGAGACTAAAATAAAATTCATTACTAATAAATTTCTTGTCTGAAGTATGACCATTTATTTTTATTGTTTTAATAAAGTAATTAACTTGAAAAATGTTTCAAATAAGAAAAAAAGATTCTACGTTATTTTTACTGATAAAGGAGATTTTTACCCTTTTTCTGAATCCGAAGTAAGCTCCAATAAATGTCAATGGAAGAGATACACCAAACCAAAGTGCTAGAAGAGCAATAAGAGTGCTGAATGGCACTGCGGCTGAACTATCATTTGCCCAAAATATTAAATTCATTATAAAGAACAAACTGAATACGATTCTGTAAATAAAAAATTCAATAAAATTAAATAATATTTTTTATACGCTAATCCCAAACTTATTTTTATTAAATTTGTTTTCAGATCAATGATTTCATATTATACGTATAAAGTAGATATGTACTTATTAAGAAAGGATGAATTATTAAATTATTAAAAAGACAAAGGACAAAATATTATTAACTTTCATGGCAATTTTCAAATTTTGCAGCTTCACAGATTTTTCTAATTATCTTCTTTCAGCTTAGTATTGATTACTAGATCATTAGCAACATATAGTGCTTAGCTGTTTTCTACGTTTTATCGCTGCTAGATTCCGCAATAGAGTTAGGATTCTTTTAAATAGGCGAAAGTATTTTTAACGTGATCTTTGTATGTCAAAATTATGTTTAGGTACATTATGTTAGACTTGTCTTTGCGTCTCAAATCTTCTGTATTCATAAAATATCTATCTGTTGATAACACTTGGTTGTAGCAATTGCAGAACAGTGGTGATGATTTGTTTAGTAGGTATTCGTGGCTAATTCATAGATTTTTATTTATTACGTACTTATATATATTTAATAAATAAATCGTATTACCCTGGACTCAACATAGATGTGAGTAATACGTTTGATTTCCATTTTTCACCGCCGAAGCTTTTATATATTCTAGCAGATACGTAACCAGCAGTGGCTCCAAGGCAAACATATAAAACCATAGCACAAGTCATTAGAGCTCCTCTATTTGCTGGAGATAAAAATCCTAAACATGCAAATGCTGGAATATAAGATGAAAATATTTGCTTTGTACTTTTTATAATCCAGCAAAACACAAATTTATATTACACGTGTATATTCAAAAAATTTACCAAGCGTTACAAGCGTCATGTAAAACACTTGAACACCAGATCCGAGTAAAACTGATAGTAACATTCCTTTGCGGGGAGGTCGAAATACATCACCATGAACTAATTTCCAGCCAAATTCTTCATGTGCGTCTTCTCCTGATTCTATCTGGAAGGAAGCCTGCGTTATTGAAACACAGACAAGGAAACATCATAGCTTTATGACATAAAACAGAACAAAACGTCGCGTAGTATATTCTTGTTAATTAATGAAATAATCAGAGAGGCAGCAGAGGGAGAGAGATCACTTGAATAATAATATACAAATGATATAGTAAAATCAAATACATTAAATTGAAATAATAAATAAAACTTATTAATTAAAATAAAGCGAAGGAGAAATTGATGAGTTGTAACGATTAAAAATAGCATTCTTTTAGTGTACCTGATTGTATCTCGCAATATCTTTGTGCAGTGTTCGAAGCAATATCATGGCCACCATTCCAGAAAGAAATAAAACAATTATTAATGAATTAAGGATACTAAACCACTGTATATTTGTATGTGGCATAGATTCCAAAATATAATCCCATCTGGATGACCATTTAATTGTACTGTTCTCCTGAAATTAAAATTTTTTTAATTTAAAATATTACTATCAAAGTATAAATTATGCCTAATCTCTCAATTTTATTACTTACGGTATATGTCACAGAATATGTATAAATAACAGATAATTCTTGACCAGAAGGAAGTGCACCGTGTGGTATTTCTAATGGTACTTTATATTCACAGTCAGGAATACGACCTGGAGTATGTTTAATACTACGAGGAACCACTTTAACAGCTATTACAGAAAATAAATATCAAGTCAGTAAAAATTTCTACTGAAATTTTGACAATGTAAAAATGATACTTCAGTCCCTACATATTATACGTCCTCCATTTTCTTTAAATGCGGATCCCCAATCTTCTTTAACACCGCTATGATACGTGATCGTAAGGTCTACGTGATTAAATAGATAGTAAGTTTTTGGTTTGTTATATGCACCCTAACAAAGAAAATATTAATTAATTTCATTACTATATAGTTTCTCCGGGGTATGCGAGAATCCGAAAATGTCATATTGGATTAGGTGCTTCGCATTATCGAAAATTCTCGAGAATCTCGATGTCTGTGAATCTTAAAATATTTTCGGAACCCATCCCCATCTCCCAACCCGATCTCGAATACTCGATTCCTGATATTCTCGGATTCGTGCACACTTATAATATTTTTCATAAATTTGAAGAATATTGTAAATCCTCTATTAAGTAATTTTTCCTGAAATAGTAAATTTACATTAATACTGCAGGTGTCCATTTGAGATCTCGATTCTCGAGAAAAGCATCCCATGGGAAATCCAGTACTACAATATTGTCGTTCGTCTTCTAACTGGTAACACCATGTAACAGGCATATTATCTAAAGAAAGAGAGTGAGTTAGCATGGCAATGTTGACAATACTTTTATGTTTCAACCTATTCTATTATTAAGATATTACCAACTATCCAATGATGCTGGTAATTAAATGCCATTCCTTTTTTCAAAAACTCCAATTTTTTTTCTGAATCTCTGTTTCCTCCATGATATGTTTTTTTACACACAGTGTCACATTTAACATTTTTCATGAATTCTAGCTGAAAATTTACATAATTTATATCATTTTCCTCGCATACGTATATTACATTTAAAACATAAATTTTAAACCTAATTTCTTTTTACTACTCGTTTACATTGATATTTATTTGATTGATATAGAAAGAACAAAATATTTAAATTTGTTTTGTTATCTGAAACTACTATTTTTAAGTTATATCATTATCTCATGAACTATCTTATGTATTAGATCACTGTTCCAAAGACAAATAAAATAAATGATTAATATATATAGAATAACGTGTACATACATGCATTTAAGAAAAAGAATTTTAATGTGATATACACAAGTTTAAACAAGGTAAGATTAAAAGTATAACATAAAATTTAAGTTCATGTTACTTATTTTGATATTCTTTAAATGCTGACTTTATTCACATATTGTTGTAATTTAAAGATATTAATTACAAGTAACATATGACGAGTAGAAACCTTCAGATTGTGTCCTTAAAGATAAAATAAAATGCAACGAATATTAAGATCTAAAATATCCATGAAACTTAACTATGTGACCAAAGTTACAGAACATGGCACACTGTGTGTAACTTTGTCAATGTTCAATTAAGTAGTTTTTTTAAGTAGTTATTTTAACAAAGCAAAACAATATTTGGAAACAAAAAGTGTTTGAATCAGATAACAGAATAACAACATACAAAATTAAAAATCTCCCAACTTTTACTTAAAAACTTGGTAAACTCAAACTCTTTGATATATTCTCAGATCCTGCTATCCCAATGATATTCCTTCTTGAGCTTGAGAATGCAACATTTATTTCTTACAGTCAGTGCATAAAATTATAAAAGTAAATAAAACCAAATGTAATGAACAATTTTGAAGTTTCTTTTTTACCATACCTGGTAAGGAGAAGGCCTTATACGCTCTCCAAAAACAACCTGTCCCAAGTTTTCAACAGGACTCTGAGCTTCGTCGGAAGGACAAAAATCAAAGCTGAAGAAAAAATTCTTAGCATAAAAATTTAAACTCGTACAAAATTAGGAAATATGATTGTAAATTGTATACATTTCATGAAAACTTACTGATGGTACTCGTACGGTATTACATATTTTTCAGTGTTTAGACGATTTACATACAGTTTGATTTCAGACTGAAAAAACAGTAACGTTAATAAAAATAAATCTGAAGTATAAATTATACTAATGTAATATACGAATACACTGTACATTACTTATAACTTCTTATCAAACTTTCACGTATGTAACAGTTATAACGAATGCGATAAATACGAGCTTAAAAATGTAGGAATATTTAAAAACCAAACCAAAAACCAAAGCAGTATTATATTTTCAAACATTTGTAACGCGCATATTTGAACAGCTGACACATCATCCTAAAATTGAATACAAATTAAAATGTGAAAGTACGCGAGTGCGCGTTTATGTAACTTCGATCAGAGACTATTTCTGCAATACTCTGCGAATAATTGAATATTTGTCAGAAACCTTTTCTGACTCAATTTTTCTGCTATGAGTCACGTGTCACGAAAGGTACTCGCAATTATAAAAAATTACTCCTTAATTAATACAATAAGAAAGTACGCAACGAGTGCGTTTAATTCTTTGTGATATTTAAGTAAATATTATAAATATCACAAGTTTGAAGGTAGAGGAATAAAAAACTACAATAAACTGAGCATGATCATAACCAATCCTTAATATACTCAACGATAATTTCTTTTATACGTACTTTACACGTTTCAGAAGTTTCTCCGCGCTTGCAATAATTCACCGGCGCCAGACCCGGCAAATAAAACCCTAACGAGTGGTGAATCAAACATACAACAAACAATAACCACAGTAGAATTATTCTCGCCATTGTATATTATTAGATATCCTCACTAACTACTTGCTTAATGCAAGTGCACGTCAATTGCTATGTGAAAAACATCAGACACTATACTGCCATGATACTGTCATTGACAACGAGTCGTGAACACAGATTGGTAACTTCTACGTGTAACAGTCTTTCGACACTATCGAACGTCTCGATATTGCAAACTCGATTTTCACGGAAATGAGTGTCAATTGTAACTCATCTTGCCTCTTACATTGATATTGACAATTCGTTATGTAAATGATAAAAGGATCCACTAATGATAAAGCAACGCAGTCAGTAAGAGCGCGATACTATGTGAAATCATAAATTAAATAATTTGTTTGTCGCACATGTAAGCTTATTATTATTATTGGCCGAGTGCGAATAAATAAATAGCAGAAAATAAGACAAAAAGCAAGATATATTTAAAGCCCGATTTGTATTTAGAAATTTATTTGAAACACGCGGATCCCCACTTGATTTTGCAAATTTCATTTCCTTAAAAATGAAAGCATGTGTTAAGAAAGTTTTGTTCCACCGAAGTTGATTACGTCCAACTATACTTGGCTAATGCTCACTCTTTTTTTTTTTCTTCATTAAACGAAAGTTTATATGAAAAAATGTTACTCTATTTTTTTTTTTTTATGTAGAATCGCTTCTTTGTCGACTCGTTGATATTACTATCGTTAACGTTATTCAAATGCTAGTTTTATCACTGTAGAACATTCTACAGCTGCTATACTTTACTGGAAAGTTCAGTAAACTATTTGTTGGCATTTATTGGAAGTTGTCTCATTTCATTCTTTTGTAATTGTATAATTTGTATAGATATATTACAATACGTATCATATATTACTCATGGAAGACCTCACAAGTGAATTTCTTTCTCTCTTTAATCTCTTAATGATAGGGAACGAAAGTAGAAACAAATATTTCTTTGAAATATAAAATGCGATCAAAATTTTTCTTCAACAATCTTTACAGAGATATAGTACGCATTAAAAATTGTACATTCAAGTTTAAAAATTATTCAACGACTGATTTACCCACAGGCCACGTTAGTCAATACGTCACGTAATTGGATATTCACATATTTATTAAACAAGGGAACAGCTGATCTGAAAAGTGATTTAAATAATTCCTTGGGAATGTTTTTACATATAAATAATATGCAGCAGTTGATTATCTTCAGTGATTTTTGTGCTACAGTTTTAGCATTTTTCTTTTTTTTTTCTTGTTTAATAATTCCTAGTCACAGGCTCTGAACAATATTTCACACGAAAATGGTAAATAATTCTTGAAATGTTCAAATTGCATGACAGACGAACGATACAATGTTCAGTCACGTGGGTATTCATAACATAGATACCGGAGAAGCAACTTCTTCTTCGCCCCTTCGTTATAATTTGTTCAATTCAATATTGTTTATTTTCCGAGCAATCAGATGAATTTTTAGTCTATCTCGGACATCTAGCTCGTATTATGCAACGGTAATACCAACCGTTTGGAGATAGCCCCTCAAATGGTTTGCATTAGGTTCTGGGATTTGGTCGAGAATACTAAGTAATTGTCTCGGCGATAATCTCGCTAATCCTTGTGCTAAATGTAAACGTACGTCACCAATAGCTGCTTATCAAAGAACAAAACTTATTTGGTTTCTCAAAAACTTAATAATTGTTCATTAAAATGTATTAAACGGATAATTAAAATTAATATAATAAGATAAAATTATTCTTGTGTTTGTACCTTCCAGAGGATCCTTCGGGGGATTTTTTGCACAAAGCAATTGACTATATCCTACTTGATACCCAGGTGTATCTTCAGTTTCTGGGAATATATTATCTTCAGTTAATGTAGTCTGATCCTGTGGTAATTCAAAAAATTCTACCAACGTCGTTAATAAACGAGGATAATATGTATTGTATGGCCTTTCTAGCATCGTTGGATAATCGATTAGTAAATTCGACACTGCGACTGCGGTTACTTTTCGTTCAATATCGCCCGATATTTTTTGCATATCTGCTATCAGTACACGTTCCAAAACCATACCAAACATTCTGCAATTAATTAAATAATAATTGTACGTTTGCATTAATCAGTTTTAATTACATGTTTAATTTTTTTTAGATTTTTCAATGGGAAAGAAACTTACCGAGGCTGTATTTCATCTATAATTGTAACCAAATTATTTGAACCATATCTAATAATATAGTATGCAAAAAATACGATTAGACCTTTTACGAATTTTGTCGTTTTCGAAGATGAAAGTCTTTGAAACAGTAATATGAAAATTTGTTTCATATATGGTTCCAATATATTCCTAAAAATCAATATTATGAATAACATAAATGATAAACAAAATGCAATATAACAAAAGTCTTTGGTGAGGAATCTTACGGTGCAAAGTGTTCAATGATACTTTGTAACAATAGAAAACCTTCGTGATCATTGGCTTTTGAAGCGATCAATTTTTGAAATACACCTAGTAAACCATTTGTCTTATCTTGCGCTACTATATGATGTGCACCATGGCTAATGAAAGCTCTTAATAATCGATTTAATGGGTGAATGTTAGCTTGGCGTTCAAATAACACGGATGACAATAGACAGGGGAACAAGGCCAAATATGCTTCTGGCATATCTTGAGTCGTTCGTAATTCCAGAAGTAAAGCAAGAATTTGAAAAACGTACGGTAAGAATTCTGAATGAGAGAAACGTTGATTAGAAAAAATTGGTAACAGAATTAACAAATAAATAAAGTAATTTACCTAGAACGTCTTGTTGCAAGATTTCTTGGAAAATTGGAAATAGTGCTTCTTCAAACGATGATACAGCGACTTTATGTGTTTTACAAACTATTCTGGAAGTATATAAAATATTTATAATTCTTTCTCTAATTTGTATTTCATTATTTTTATATAACTCATACTTACTTAATTGATAAAGCAAATGTTTCAAAGAGATAATGATTGAAGTTGGGACGACTTGGATTTTTAGATACGACGGCAAGCTTTTCTGTAAGTTTTGGAAGAAGATCTGCTAAAAATGGTACAATCACCTCTTGTAGAATACCAAAACTTCTCATAATAGCTTTCATTACGTATTCGTTCTCTTCTGAGCCAGGTGTATTTAAACACACAAATAGACCCTTTAATAAATCCGATGTCAGTGGCGATATATCATTTACTTTAACTCTAGACATAAAATTTGACGACTTAGAAAATATACGCATTGAAATACTTCTATTAAGTTGACTTGTAAGCCTCAATTTCATATTATAATTTAACATTATTACTAATTTTCTTACAAAGGTGTATTATCAGGTCCTTTCATTGCGAGTATTTTTTCAATCGCGCAAGCAGCGTATGTGTGAACTACGATATTTGAGGCACTTAAATGCCTAATTAATTGTGGTAGACTACCAATTATCATTTCTTTTGGCAATATCGATCTGAAGGTCATTATAAATTTAATGGCATCAGCTTTAAGAACAGGGAATTCATTCACTGAAAACGATATTAAACAATTGTTTTCAAAATATTTTTAGAGACTTGATGAATAATAAATTCTAGTAGTTTTAATAACAGCGCGTACCATTTGATTTGACCAATTCTGGTTCGATATGTTGCATTGCAAATTGGGGTAATGAAACAAGCTCGCTGCTTTGTGTAACACCATGTTTTTGAGTTTGAGCTTTGCTTGCACTACTGGTAACTAGATAAATAGCAGCATCTTTACTCCGCCAATTTTCAGCTGGTTTCTCAGCATAATTTTGCAACATTACCTAGGAAAAATGCAATGTTATGTATACGTCAAGTTTGCTTGCATGTTTTCCTTTATTTACCTGTATATAGGCGCCGAAAATTTCCATTATTTTTGCTTCAAAATATTTAGAAAGTACTTTAACTAAATCACAAGCAGCACGTCTTCGTGTATCGACATCGCTACCCTCAATATCTCGCCTGATATATTCTTCCGGATTATCCTCAAATAATTCATTATCCGTTTCTATAAAATATTAATTTTGTTTACATATAAATGAACAGTCATATAAAACATGTACGATAAATATACCATTTATAGTAATTACCTCTAAATTCCATGTTAGGTATTATAACTTTTTCGCAAATATTACTCAAAGTGGTTGGATCTTCAAATAAGTTTCTATACTGAGCACGGTCAGCTACTGTTGCTAAAAATTGCAAGGCATTTGAAACTAACTGCAAAAATGCAAAAAAATCATTAAGAATAATTCCAACATACATAAAACATATTAAATTTACATACAGCATCGTATTTCGGTTGTTGTCCTGTTGATGTCAATAAATTCCACACAGCAGTTACAAACTCAGGTAAGTATGGTTGAAATTCTTCGTCATATTTTTGAGCATAAAGGCCAATATTGTCACAGACTTGTGATTTTAATTGTTCAATAACTCCTGGTTCTTCTTCATCCTATGCATAGGTCAAACGTTGTAACATATACATATTACTGGAAAAAAAATATAATAATAAATTGTAACAGTACGGTAGATTGTAGGGAGGGGACATCTATGTTCAATAAAATATGGAAATTCCTCATCCACACAGCCATGTTGTCTTCAAAAAATTCTGGCAAATCCTAAAAATACAGCATGCATATCTTTAGTAAAAAAAAAATTTAATTTCATACACATGTACAATGTCTCTTACTCACTTGGAAATTAAGAGAATAAAACACCTTGGACAAAATCACCAAAGAACTGTATATAACTTTCAATGCATCTACATTGTTTGCATGTACCTGCATTAAATTCATTGTAGCCTAAAACAAAATTTAAGAATTTGAAGGAGCAATTGATAAACCATAACTAAAGAAGAAGTCATAAAATAAAATTCTTACAACAAACAAATCAGTCAAAGGTTTAGAAAATCTATCCAATACATATTTTATCTCAGTCCATAGGCTCTGACTTTTAAATTCGTATCTATATCTTTTGAATAACGAGTGCGCAGTATGTAATACACCATTAATAACATGAAAATCCCCTGTATTGAATTTTTCAACCATTTGGTCAATAAGTTCTGGCCATTTATTTGGAAAATCATATTTTCCAACTATCGAGACAGCATCAGATAATTGTTTTTGAATCGAATCAGGAGAGTGCAGCATTAAATTAACAATTAATTTTTTTATAGCATCTCTATCTTGCGCGTGTATACGATCCACAGAATCTTCTCCCTGGGTGTAATTGTAATATTGTAATATTGTAAACAACTATAGATATAAACTGCAGATAATAAAATAATAAATGTCAATTTATAAATAACATAAATAATTACCACTTTCCAATTACGTTTTACATAATTTTTAAATGCAACTGCACCAGCAATTCTAATAGTTATATTGATTTCAGACTTGTCCACAAGATGTAACAGAAGTAGCGGATAATTTTGATTTACTTCAACTGACTTTAAAAACTTTTCGGCTAAAGCATACAAAACAAATAATTTATTAAAGGATATAAAACAAATAATTAAGGTTACATTTTAATACAAATATACATATATATGCAAATCAACTTAGACATAAAAAAAAGTATAAACGTACAGATAATATTTTATATGAATCTCGTGAGAAAATTAAAGTAAAAAGCTTAAAATTACAACTTATTATTTACATATTTTGCAGATTTTAATTGATAATAATATTGCACAAATTGTTTTATTATTAATACAAATATTATTATTTACTTTTTAAGAAAGTAGAAAAAAACAAAAAGCGAAATGGAAATATATTTCTTCTTTTAGTCTCTCTACAAATTTAACCGGAGTGTATCTACTCCGAAAATATTGAATTGAACGTCCACATGTCAAGCTTTCTAAAAAAATCAGGCGAATTAGATCGTATGGATTGTGATTGAAATTATTAAAGAAAAAGGTTAAATCTTTCTGCAAACAAGAATACACGCGAGAGTTTGCGATATTGCACGTAAAATATTTTCAAGTAACAAATTGTTGGTTAACAGAAAGGTTATATTCACCTGGCCGTCTAACATTTACGTCGGGGCTAAGTGTATGCTTCAAATATTCACTGAGTGTAAGTAAATTGTCATCCGTAAGTTCCATACCGGCTTGTCGTAAAAATTCCGTTGTACACTCTCGTTTCGAAAAAAAATATATCTATATATACACACTAAATCTGCAGAAAAATATCTTCAAACAACACAACAGTACACCGGCTTTTGATAAATTCAATTTTCTAACCAATGATCGTTGCCGGTTGACGCTTCCTCTGTTTGCGCGGGAATACTTTTCTTCGAAATTAAACCGGCCGATGCGATCGATTTTGTTTACACGTCATGTTAAAATGTTGATAAAAAAATATCTTTTTGCAGAAAAAGGGCAAATTAGAAAAGAGATAACGGCAATAAATAAAAGGTTCAAACAGAATATTTAATTCGCATTATTATTTTACATTAATATTCTACTTCACAATATAATAGTGCATATATGCGTAAATAAACGACTTTCAATTTTAATATTAATATATTTTAATGTTACAATATAAATTGATTTACATTTTTAATTATTTCTGGAGACTACTAAACGTCGTTTTCTTCTGTTTTATTTCATTCTCTAGCTTTTTTAGCGTATTTTGAACATATGTAAGTTGCAATAATTTACTAGTGTTAGTTTTTCTATACATAGGAAGCAAATAATTATTAAAAATAAATCTGAATTGTAAACTTCAGTAAAAGATGAATCACACTTACGTTATACTCGACAAAACGAGATTAATTTTCGATATTTCTTCAGCTTCTTCAGAACTTAATTTGTTCAAATCACACAGTGTTTCTAAATTTTCTAATTTTTTCGCAAGTATTGGCATTTCGTTATACATTTCTTGATATTCTTCTCGAAATTCTCGAATTTCTCTGTTTAAATTTCGATTTGACTAAAAGAGGGGATATTAAATGCTTTTATTTATGTATAATTATAATCTACAAAATAAGATATATGAATGAACGTACGTATTTTTTCTGCGCGTGTAAGAAATTATTTGCAAACGTTATACTTTTAATTCGGTATTTATCGCTAGAATGAAACAGAATTTTCACAAGATCATCGTCATTGTCGTAATTGCTAATTTTATTAATGAAAGACTTCAATAGAAGTGGGCGTGGAAACTGTCATTTAATTAAATCAGACACAATTTCTTCTTCTGAAAGAAAAAAGAGTAAAAGTACCATTGTTCTGTAAAATACACCATTCTTTTAGTTGATAAATCTTTCAATTTTTGTTGTCTAAGCTTAACCATATTTGTAACTTCCGATATTCTGTTTCTAAGGTCGATTTCCTTTTTATGCAATTCCAAATACTTGATTTGCCCTGCCCAAATGTTCGTCAATAAAGTAGAAAAGTGTGATTTCCAATAATATCGATCCTTTTTTTGTTTGCAGATCTTTTCTTTCAATTCCGCAAACTTTCAACAATATGAAATGTTACGCACATGAGATATTGATTTGTAGATACAACTTCACTTTGTACAAATCGAAAATAAAGATACATGAATAAAACAAATACCTGTTTTATTAGGTAATTAATACGATCTGCATTATCAAGTTCCTCGTAAATATTTTGTATTTTCTCCGAGGACTCAATCATGATTCGTTACTCCGTTAATACAGTTGGAATATTTTAATTTATGAGAGCTTTGCACAATCAAATTTTAGACTTTTTGAATTTCCACCTATGACTTGTGATACTGTCTTAAAAAGATGACGAGGAGTGGCACGATCTATTTGATTGGTCTGTAAATCTGTAAATCTTTATTCATCCACTTTACAAGTTAAACAGAATATAGAAGGAATATAGAAGAAGGGTTTAATTCTAGAGAAATTCTACAATGAAAAAATTTTAATTAATCGCTTTAATTAATATTTTTCACGAATTAAAATTTGCTTGATTTACGGACACTGAAGCACTAGCGGCGCGTGGTGTTGAAACAATGGAACTAATCTGTATCTCTGTCTTTGTCCCACGTTATCGTTCTCTTTGTCTGTCATAAATCTACCATAAATACATTTGTTTTTCTCGTATCTTTCTTGCTTTGTATTACCTGCCTTCTCTATCGTGCATATACATATATGTCTTTATTGCAAAGCATTACCATTGGTAATACTTCCCGTTTTTACCGACAGAACAAGTGCTGCCACTTATCGGTCGCGGTTGGAACTAATTAATTTCGAACAGTACGAGTACTGCGTCTAAGCTTCTTTTAGTTATCTCGTATACGCTTTGTATACGATAATTGTAAGAGTATCATTAATTAATAGGAATAAGCCGTTCCACATTCAGAATCAATAGTTTACTTTAGTTCTAGCTATTAAACAAGAAAAGCAATAATCTGTGACAAGAACAAATATATTCTACCGTTTTGCCGATAGTGTTTCAGTAAAAACTAATCTTAAAGTAATAGTTTGTAAACTTTTGTAACTTTTATTACCAATATCTCGTTTTTCTTGCAATTAGACACATCACGTGAGAAACAAAATTTCTCGTACAACATATGTACGTATATATCTATTCTCCCATTGTCAGTAATAGCTAGTAACATTTAAATTTTATTGTCTGCAGGGACATTTTCATGTGCCAATTTGAATAAGTTGGCAATGGTCTTGTGATTCGGGTGTCGAGGGAGGTGTGAATCAATGACAGCAGGTCTTCGTTTCTCTGCAATTGAAATATTAAATACAATTTAATACTTCGATTAATACATCACGTCTAATACATTAGGAACAGGAGTTACGGAATAGCAACAAAAATGGTTGATCGCGTCAACATCAAAGAAATGATACCGGCTTTGCCGGATGAAAAAATTGGTAATTCTTTCTGAATATACATACCTGCTTCTTAATTTGACATTGCCCCTCCCAATGCTGCGATGCGTTTTATAAACATAATATTGCTTTTATTTACATTTCAATTTTTTGTCTTCTTAAAAAAAAAAAAGATGAAGATTGCCAATGAGAAGTAAGATTGACAACTACAGCCAATATTGTACTGTATACGTTATTTGAAAAAATTTTGTTTTTTGTACTAAAACAGCGGGTTCTTTTTGTAACGATTTCTAAGGGAATTTCTCTCTAAATAAATTGGTAATGTTTATTTTTACTTGATAAATCTGTCCTCGTTGATTGTATATTATATTTGTTACATTTTAAGTTGTTATTTTAAATGCAGAGGTTTGTATTGTTTTAGTCTTACCCTAGTATAATCAAGAATTATTTGTTAACAATAAATAACAGTAATATTTCAAATATTTTAGATATGCTTGCTGCCACCAGTATTCTTCAGCAACAAGCTGCTGATATTAGAAATCAGCAAATCAAATGGCAGTCGTATCAACAGTAAGAGCATCATTTCAAATATTGATATAACATTATTATTATAAATATTTCAACTTTTGCTTTGTACGAATAATCCATAAAATTGTATATACATAAATTAATATAATTCTTACGTAATATTACGTATATAAGATGATTCAATTTTTTTCATAAAGTATTTCTAACATATTTATAATATGTTCTAACACTGAGATTAATGCCAATTTCAAATGCTGCCAATTCATAGCTGCCAATACTAGCTTGAAATATTTTTCCTCAAAAAAAGATTTTTACTTTATGAAAGTGTATAAAAAATTATGGTAACTAAAAGCAACATATTTTTTATAGGTCTCACATGATATCTAAGGAAGATTATGATTTTATAGTAGCTTTTGATACAAATGATGCTAGTGTTCGGGATGGAAAACTGAAGGAAAATCCACATCAAGCTGCAAAAACATTTCTTAACTTACTTGGTCATATTTCAAAAGACCAAACTATTCAGTACATTCTTACAATGATTGATGATATGCTTCAGGTATATTGAATCATAAATCAAATTGTATTGAAATAGTATTTATCCAAATCTATTAATTATATATAGAAGAGTTTGATTCTGACTATTGAAAATTGTTTTATTCAAATTTGCACTTGTATATTATAATATAAACTATATAAGTATGTTTTTTCTTCTGTTAAATATTTTCAAACGTTTGTATTTAAATTCTAGGAAGATCGTAGTCGGGTAGAAATCTTCAGAGAACATTCAAGCCGTAAACGTGAGTCAGTATGGGGTCCTTTCTTAAACTTATTAAATAGACAAGATGGATTTATAATGAATATGACATCTAGAATTATTGCCAAACTTGCTTGTTGGAGCCATGATTTAATGGAAAAAACAGATCTCCAATTCTACTTGACATGGTTAAAAGATCAACTAAAACTCAGTGTAAATTAACAGATTTTCTTTTTTTTTACTTAATGTATTTGCATCTGGTTTCTAAAATGATTTCTTTTAATTTGCTATATGTCTCTTGGTATCTGTTCAGAATAATGAATACATTCAGTCTGTGGCACGTTGTTTACAAATGATGCTTCGCATAGATGAATATCGTTTCGCATTCGTGTCTGTTGATGGAATTTCTACCTTGTTGAGTGTTCTGACGGGCAGAGTAAATTTCCAAGTACAGTATCAACTGATATTTTGTATATGGGTACTTACTTTCAATCCTTTACTTGCAGAGAAAATGAATAAGTATGTAATACATGTATTTTATACTTGTATTTTAAAAAATTATAACATTAAAAATGTATCATTAAACTTTTATTCCAGATTTAGTGTTATTCCTATTTTAGCGGACATATTAAGTGATTCCGTTAAGGAGAAAGTAACTCGCATTATTTTAGCAGTATTTAGAGTAAGTTATCTAAATGCTGCAGGCACTTTAAACTTTGCATTTTCAAAAATTCATTACTAAAAAAATAAAACAATTAATTAATCATTTCGTAGTTTTAAAACTTTTTATTTTGCTTTTCAACATATATTCCACAGAACCTTATTGAGAAAGTAGAGGATGGACAAGTTGCCAAAGAACATTGTATCGCGATGGTACAATGTAAAGTACTGAAGCAACTTTCGATTCTTGGACAACGTAAATTCGACGACGAAGATATAACCGATGATATTGAATTTTTAAATGACAAATTACAAGCATCCGTTCAAGATTTAAGCTCTTTTGACGAGTATTCGACCGAAGTAAAGTCGGGACGCCTTGAATGGTCTCCCGTTCATAAATCTGGTAAATTCTGGCGAGAAAATGCAAATCGATTGAATGAAAAGAATTATGAGTTGCTGCGTATTTTGGTACATCTATTGGAGACTAGCAAAGACCCCTTAGTTCTCAGCGTAGCTAGCTTCGATGTAGGAGAATACGTAAGGCATTATCCACGTGGTAAACAGTACGTTCAGTGAAACTTATTTTGTCTGCAAAAAAGTAATGTTGAAAAATAACTTACTAAAGTCATTTTTGAAATTATTCCAGTATAATAGAACAACTTGGAGGTAAACAACGAGTGATGCAACTTTTAGGACATGAAGATCCTAATGTGAGATATGAAGCTCTCCTCGCCGTTCAAAAACTCATGGTACACAATTGGTACGTAATTGAAATGTCTGCATGTAAGAAAAAATTTGTAAATCGTTTTAACATATATTTTAACATATATTGATATAAATTGTCATGACATTTATTGATATAAAGTTTTTGGTGTCTTATTTACAGGGAGTATTTAGGAAAGCAACTGGAGAAAGAACAGACTGGAACAAATGCGCCAGGAGCAAAACCTGGAGCACAAGTCCCAGCGAAAGCTTAAATAACTATGTAAGTTTTACAACTGTAAATTTCACTTAAAGTCTGTACATTTTGTCTTTGTTTTCATATTACCTCTAAATGCTTTTATTTGTCAGTATTTTACACTACATATAAAAATCGAAAAAAAAAAGTTCTGTATTATGTTTTAATATAGTTATATGTAGAGACAAAAGAGCAATATATATGCCAACAAGCGTTCGATTCACGATATTATCAAATTTAATAAATCGGAAGATGTACATAACTGTTACAACGTATTGAATAGCGGGATGAAGACATTTGTAGAATGTTAATGGAATTTGTAAGTAAAATGTTTATGAAATGTTAGAAAAAATAAAGTATTATTAACACTAGAAAAAAAAACAGAATTGTGCACATTAAATTTTTACTTGTTCTTATTTTTCGGCAAATGATAACTTTACATTTATATTACAAGATGTTAACTGCGTTACAAGATATCGAAAAATATATGGTATCTCAACTTCTCTGACAGATTCACCATCGCCACAAAGGCGACATCTTGTTTTGTCACTTAATCCTGATGAAATTAAAGCCATTTCTATTACTGGACCCAATAACGTTCCACATTTTTTACATACTAAAGTCTGAAACATTAACATTGATTTATTATTAATTATTGATTAAGATATTATTAATTGTACCAGAAAAATGATGGATCACTTCTTATTTTCATATGAATTACAATATATTTCAATTTGAATATAATTTCAGATGTGAAATATAAAAATAATAGTAAATTAATACTACTATTTAACAAATTGATTACTTGATTGTCTAAAATAGATATTGGCATAAAATATCCAGTGCAGTAACAGACATTATTACGTTACCTGAGTTTGAATGATCCTCTACTTAAATGGACTTACCGTAGTTTTGTCCGAACAGTGGAAAAGACGATCTTGAAGTAAGAACGAGCAACCATGAGATAGTAACGAATCTCGTTCCATTTCTCCAAATCGAACACCACCACCTCTTCTTCTACCTTTTATGGGTTGTCTTGTTAAAACATCGATCGGACCAGTGCTTCTTACCTGTAAAAATTGTGAAATACTAGATAAATTTGAAAATGAGAAACTTTTATTTGTCACGAAAAGAATTTAATTTTTCCTGCTAACCTGCCATTTATCCGAAACCATATGACGTAATCGTTGATAATGTACTATTCCAAAAAATATATCAGCAGTCATTTCTCTTCCGTCTATTCCTGAATACATTCTTTCTGTTCCATAATAATTATAACCGCCGCGCTCCAATAATTTACCAAAATATTCAACAACCGTTTCATCCTCATTAAACCTAAACGATGTTGCATCATGTACCAATCCATGTATGGCTGCTGATTTTCCAGCCATTAATTCGATCATCATAGCTATTAAACGTATAAATTAAATAGTTACATGTAGTATTTAAATAGTTGAGGAAATATTTTGACTATTAAATTCTGTTACCTATTGTCATACGACTTGGAAAACCATGAGGATTAAATACAATATCTGGGATTAGACCTGTTTCTGTGAATGGTAGATCCTCTGCAGGCCATTTTTGTGAACAGATACCTTTTTGACCTGCTCTCGAAGCAAATTTATCTCCAACGTTTGGATTACGCTGTAAAATTCAAAAGTCTTATTTGAAATTGTTATGCACAATGTTCTACATTAAGTAATAGAACAAGTAGCACGATTAGAAATGTAATACAAAATGTTTTACCGAAGAAAATTCAAAACAAACATCAATTCAAGAGATTTTACTTACTAGAATACGAAAAGTGATGCAAGCTCTACGTGGAATATGATTATGTAATGTTCCACAAAGTTTTACAGCATCAATATAAGCGTTTTCCTTTCCCTGATATTTGCCAGTAACATATGTTGATTGATCTGCATCGTAATAACTAATAAAAACAAAATTATTATATATTTCACGTTAAATAAAATTAAAAAATTATTACTTGTTATTATAAATACTAATAACAATGAACGACTTACCAATAATAGACATCACCTTCCGAAATCATTGTACCTAATATAGGAAGACCATCGACGTCTAATTTTTCTGCGAGCTCAGGTTTATCAGGATTCCTCGCAAAGTAACTTTTTTGATCTTTCAGATCTACGAATTCAGACTTATAAATCATTCCATGTGCAAAACCTCTATCATGCGCTGCTTTGTTTATAATCATTGCATCTTCCATATCATATCCCTAATAATTGATATTTGAAAATATTTAAATTAATTTATACAAAATATCATTTTCTCGAATGGGATTTCACTACTTCATTAATACTATTAATGTTAAGTGAGTATTTCATTAATACTTATTTAATATTTTATACACATTAATTTAATAATTAACATTTGACTGCTGCTACTTTTTACTCTTTACTACTTACTGTGTAAGAAATAACAGCAACTATTGCATTAATACCCATAGCAAAATCGTCAAGATTAATCTCATCATAATGCACTGGCCGAAAGAGTGGAGTTGCAGGTGTCTGTAATCTGTATAATTTAGTTTCGGATTGTAATTGCCATGTATGGCATGGGGTGCCCATTGTTTGTTTCCCCATCTAGAAAACGATTGAATTAGATGAAAATTAGATTTAAAAAATTTTGAAATCGATTGCACAATGATATTTTTGACATTTGAATGATACCGCATGCGTTTACCTGACACTGATACATATTTCGTGGACTTTGATTACAGTCTGGCATTGGGATAAGACTTGCCAAATTGCTTAAGAAAGCCGTCTTTGACAATTCTTGATGTGACGTCAGCTGTAATAGTAAAAAAAACATTTTTATAAATAAACAGAATAACAAAGGAAACAAAATTTTTGGAAACAGAAGGATGATATAGAAATAATATATTACCCCTTCGTAAGCTTCTTCAGGTGTAACACAGACGTTTAAATAAATTTGTTCAAAAGTCCCTATGTATTCCATTTTTTTGGCAGCTAAATTCATTACTGGCCTCATCATGCGAGCTGCATTTGTAAATAAATACAGTCCTGGATATTGTGCTGGTACATTCTTCTTTGGCACCAGTACTATTTCCATTGTAAATGGAACCTTAACGAAAACGTAAATTACGACATAATGACAAAGTAAGGAAATTCGTTGAAAAGTTCGTTGTATTGAATTGAAAAATCACGACATTACATCTTGTCCTTTTATCTTAAGCAATCGTAGTTTGTCTGTTATTCTTGAAATTATATTTTCGTCTATTAATCCTATTAATTTTCCATCTAATATTACAACATAGGAGTTTTTCCAATTATCAGCAATTGACAGTGGAATCATTCCAAGATCCATTAATATAATAGGAATATTAGCTTTCAATTTTGGACTGGGATGTTTTGTAATGATGCAATTCATTGTTAAATGATTAAGAAGACCGCAAGGTGCACCATCAGGCGTATGTACAGGACAAATAAAACCTACAACACATTGTTCTTGTATTAGTAAAGCGAAATTTGTTTAAATATAGCAAATCATTACCCCACGCGTCTGGCAACAATTGTCTAGCTTCTGTAGTCCTCATTTCTTGGAAAAAGGAGCCTCTATGTATCGCCCGAAAATGGCTCATATATCGCATTCTATTAATATTTTCAGCGACGATCGCGAGACCTGAATTTTGCATCAATCCTAAACCTGTTGACGATTTCAAGTTTCCAGTGGATAAAAAGTTTTCCATTTGTGATTCTAGCGAGTTTCCATGTTTCATTACATTTAGCATTTCCTCTACACACATATACAATAACAGTTACGTTAAATTAATATTTATAATTATAATTTATAATCTTCAAATTAGTTTTCAAAACACTCACGCACGCTTAAAGTATATCTATTACCGGCGCTTCTTGCGCGTTTCAAAATACCCATTTTAAGACCAATCAACCAACCATATAATTTTTCTTTTAATACTTGCAAGTACAAATGACCACCTAGTAAACATTCTTGCATCATCACGGCATCAGCACCTTCTATGGCACATTTATTATTTACAAGAGCAAATAGTTTTTTTGTCATAAATGCGAGTAAATAAAATTTATCTAATGGATTGTTAAGATGAATTATTATACAATGCCTAAAAATGACATATATTAATGACATGAATTTACATATATGTATATTCATCAATGTATTAATTAAACTTACTTAATTATAAAGTCACAAATATCTATATCAGTGGCATCTTGAGGTAATTCGAAAAGTTTTACTCTAAACATTCTACCTATATAAGCTTTACATTCTTCGTGACTATTTAAACCTTGTTCGTGTATAGCTCTTAGCATATTTAAAATGCAACCTTTATAATATAAATCATCTTCACATCCAGCTGTTAGTGCGTTATAAATAAAAATGTCGGTAACATCAACCAAGCATTTTAACATCAAAATCAGTGGAACATAGTATAAAACTTTTCTATGGGAGAACATTAATTTCGCTGAGCCGTCAGTTACGTAATGCAGAGTATTATTCTGTAAAATATATAATACATTAGCAACATAGCTAAATTTGTCAACTAAACTTCTACTGAATCATACATACAGCTGTAGTGTTGTCATCTCGTACACTTCTCAGAAGTAAACCAAGATCGCTAAATTGTATGCCACGAGCTTTCCAGCTTGATCTTTTAATAGCAATGGGATAATTCCTTCTTGTCATTAATAACATTCTTATAATTCTCTCAAGTCCCTTAATAATAAAATATCCACCCCATTCTTGTTCATGTTCTCCGTGAGCAACCAAATTACTAGGGCTCATTTTATTCAAGTGACACCTATTAGACTGCAACATTAAATGCAAACAAAATATGATTGTGCTTGACCTATATATCTCACATATCACGTTACATACTTTAATCATAATTGGAATTTCTCCTAAATCTCTTTCGAGAGTCTCTTGATTTTTATTATTGATAGACCATCCCAATCTAGCTGTTAGTTTTCCTTTGTAAGTACATCCTCGCTGTCTACATTCTGTCGGATAAATCTTATGATTCTTCACCCCAATCGTACCAGATGGTACGCTTGGTTGATGAATTGATATGTCTTCGATCCATAATGCTACTTTGTCTTTATTTGGCAGGTGAATGTAAACAATCGGATTATCCTTAATAGCCTCAGACAAACCATCTTCTAGCATGTAGTTGAAAGAATTTATATGTGGAACTCCTAAACTTTGTAACAACTGAAATATATAAAGGAATTTAATAAACAATTAAGGTTATTATATCAACTGTGAAGTTAACACAGATATTTACGATGTTTTGCTTTTCTGGCGGCTTGCCAAAATTTTTTGACGTATTTGTCAACTTCGGTTCAGTTAACATTTTTATAAATTATAAAACGAAACATTCAAACAAAATTCACGTCATAGCACAAAACTTCTTCGTTCACGTGTATGCTACCTACAGTGCTACCAATTTACTCCAAGAAATTTCTCCTAAAATTTTTTCATGCAGAATCCATAGTAATATTATTACAGCGGTTATTAAAAGATATTATTAAAGTTATTAAAAAATTATTTTAAATGAGTTTTAGAAGCTAGTTTCGTTTCAAAATAAATAAGAAAATATTGAATCAAATTTATCGTTAGTAATTAGACAAAGCAAAATTATCAAAACGTACTAGCATTTAAGTTGTACGCAAGCGCGAAATATCGAATTCGTATTTAACGACAAATATTCGTAAGTTCGATGTCCGAGTCCGATTTAAAACTTTTGCTACCAGTTTGTTAGTTTGTCAGAGTGGAATAATATGGACGTAACTGGCAAGGTTCTTTACGATAAAATCAGATGTTTACGTCCAGAACTTTCAAACGTCGTTACATCAGAAATGCTGGATATAATTTGTGATAAACCTTTGGTACAGCCGTTTTTGAAATGGTTCTGCAAGAATGTAAATTACGTCAACGTTCTGTCAAACGAAGATATTGAAATGTAATAATGCCGTTTGTTAATTAATAAAAAATGATTATTCTTAGTCAACTAAGAGTCATATCAATTCGAATATTCTAATATTTTAAGATTCACTTAAAATTTATCAAAATATTTGTCAGCATATGTACGACTAAAATTTAAATTTAAGAGATAAAATAAAATTCAGTACATTTCATTTTTTCTCTCAAAAGAGAACTTTTTGCATATAATAAATACCTTATATTTCTCGCGAAAAGTAAAAATCTATCTTTCCCAAAGCTTGATTTAGTTTTTCTTTGCACGGCGTGAAAAGGTTTGTTTGTTAAATTGCATTGAAAGTAAATTTTGATGATTTGCATTTCAGAAAAAATAAATTGCAAGAAATGAATGAATGGTTAGAAGACTCGGAATTGGATTATGCATTGGAAGAAGCAGCTAAAGATTGTCCTGATTTGTTAAGAATCATTTCCTTTGATGATGCAGATATTAACAATTTGTTCGTAGAATACGAAATAATAAAGGATTCCTATAAGGAAGATGAAAATTATATTCATAAATTGCAGAATGGGATTCAAAATTTAAAGTAACATGATCTTTTATTCTGTTCTTTACACTTTTATTTAATGGGTATTAAGCATGTATAAAATGATATAAATCAAGATCAGAATGACGAATTAGATAGATTTGAGAATTAAGATTTACTCACATTATGTTCCAACTCTTAAAAGTATTATCATTAGTTTTAGTTTTGTGATTAATTAAAGTGTAACTGTATTCTTTGTCACTATTTTCACACTATTTTCATGACTTTAAAAATCTTAATTCATTTTCTATAATAATAAGAATATTATTTTATGAAAAATGGACCAAGCTACATCGTTATTACACAATGTTACATTACTGCAGAAAATTGGAAACTGAGTTGGATGAAGATATAGAAAAAAAAGGAGAATTTTTGGATAAAGAGAATATTAAAGCAAATAGAACGTACAAAGAATGTTTTACTATTCTGAAGAAATTTGATGTTGAGAATCATCAATTTTTTAAAGAAGTTGAATATCTTTTGAATGTTTATGCAGATGCAGCGAAAAATGTAAGTGATTTTTACATTATTTATTTATTTTATATAATTTTTCATAATTTATAACGGTAATAATGTGTATTTATAGAAAGGAATACCATTATTGTGGACTCAAATGCCATTAGAACTTTTTATTAGAAATATAGAGCTATATAATCATTACTTAGACATTTATATAAAACGACAGTTTGGAAACACATCTAAGGAAGAGCAAAAGACTGATTCTGATTATGTTTCCTTAATTGCTAATAATAAAGAAAAAACCATAGATAATGAAAAACTACAGCAACTCACGCTATGTAAAAAAAAGTAACTAATATTTGTAATTATTAGTAAATTGAATATCCCTTGCATTTATTGATTCAAAGAGACAGTTTTATTTTACTTTATAGCTTAACTAATGCAAAACTTGAAGAAATTCTAACAAAAGTACAAGAGGAATCATATATTGCAATGTTGAATTATATAGAAGATATATATAATTTAGGGCATTTGAAAGTACCAAAACATTCTGAATTAAGGTATCTGAAAGTCCTTTAAGTACAAATATTTTTCTAAACACACTCCCTATTTTATAATGAATATTGTCTTTATGAATCAAAATTAGAACAGAAATTTTAAAGCTAACTAGGAAGAGGGATGCCTTAGAAGAAGATATCACTTTGTTACAAGAACATCAGTTAACAGAAGTAGTGCAACAGTTCTCACAGTTGGAAATAACTAAAATTTTAAAACAGGATGCACATACGAGACTTGAACGAGCAAAAAATCATTTAGAAGAACTTAGAAACCTACGATATCTTGCGCGGGAACGTGGTCATGTGCGCATTGATTTATTACGAATGCTAATGGAAATGCAATTTCAGTGTCTTAAAAATGTTTCTGAATTTGTAGGAGATGCTTATCACTATTTAATCACGGAATATTCACTATCATCTACGAGATGTGTAAGTAATTTATCAAAATAAAATATAGTACAGATTTCAGTTTGTAATAAAATTTCATATATATATATATATATATATAGGAAATTATGCAGCAACTGCAAAATGAGTATTCTGCCCTTGTATCTACACCGAAAATACATAATTCATTTCACAAATTTTTTATTTCAATGATGTGCAGTGGCGATAATGTACATCAATTAAATTCTGCATTGCATAAGTATAATGATGTTATAGATGAAAATAAAACCAAGAAACAATTTATACTAAAAACTTATTTAACTTCAAAAGTTCACAAATTAGAATCTCTGTAAGTATTAATTTTTTATCAATATACACTGTAAGGACAACTATAAATATTAAATAATTACAATTTAGGGAAAATGAAGTAAATTCACAATATTTAAATGAGATTGAGAAAGGACCTACACATACATTTAAATCAACCTCTTATAATATTGAGACTTGTCACAATGAAACATTTAATAATTTACAAAAGATACAAACTGATTTAACGAAAATACGAAATCAAATGAAAGAACGACTGGTAAACTAATATATATATATATATAAATACATATAAACAGAAACATACATATATATGTTTGTTTGTATATAAATTATCTTTTTGATAAATGAATGAATTTGAAACTTTTAATATTTTAAATTTTTCATTGTAGAAGGCGGACACAAACTTCGAACGAGAAAAAAATATTCTTTGGCAACGATTTCTAATCGATCCTGATACATTAAGAAGAACATATAAACAATTGAAGAATGTGACAAATAGATCTTGTTTTGATGATGTATATGAAAATGAATTAAGTGATTGATTGTAATTTAATACTATTATAATATAAATTCTATTATTATAAGGAAAAAAAGAAACAAAATCTTCATAAATTAAATCATATAAAATACACTGCCAAGGAAAGGTATAAAAATGTTTCTATTAGTATATTTAAAGTTATATCTTATGTAAGTTTCTATAATCAAAGTTTAAATAAAATAATTTAATAAAATAAACACATCACCTTGAATTTTTATAGTAACCTCCATAATCACCTCTTCTTCGTAAACAAAATATAAAAATTAGATTTGGATTAGTTTTGTCTGACTGTAAGGCAAGTGGTAACTGATGTTGAAACTGATGTTTAGGAACTAAAGTTTATATAACTTTTACTTTAATCTTCAATAAATGATAGTAGAATTTATATAAACTAATGCAGATTGAAATAGAAATTAATACAAATTGCAATAGAAGTACATGTGATAATGATTATTATTTATTATTATTATTTCAGGAAAATACATATATATATGTATATCGAATCTTTCGTGCGCAAGCATTGAAATTACTGATAACTGCATACGTAAATGTGAAATACGATACCTATCATATATAAACGATAATATTAATAATAATTTTTAATAAAATTATATTTTAATAAAAATTGTATTTTCAGTATTTTAAAAACAAAATTTATTAATAAATTCATATTGTATTAGATGCCAAATATCGTATCTATTTATATTTTCAACATACATACTGGCCATGGTCACTGATAGTACTGCAACGAAAAACGAACAAAAGACAAAAACGAAAAAAGTGAAGAAGGAAATTGTAGGAAGAAAATCATAGTAATATAATAAATGTACGCGAACTGTTTGGGATTGTCTTTTATCTATGCTATGTAGTACAATAAATCCATAAATCCATTCCGTAAAGTCCGAGTATTCTTGAGGACTGGTATATTTCTAACAATTTTAATTTTAATTTAAATACTAGATAAATAACATAAAGATTTTCGTTTTTTCTTAGAAATTGATTTCCTTTCTATATAAATGAAATTTGTACAATTTGGAAAATATGAATTTCGTCCACATGACACACATTGCTACGTCACGAGTTTACATCAAGATCAACAAATGAAATCTGGTAAATGTAGAGCAATTTCATATAAAAATCGACAAAACTAATTTTTCATTAACAACAAGATATTGTTACCATTATATATATACTTACGCTCTTAAAATAATAATTCTGAGTCTCTTAGAATTAAAAGCTACGAAGAATCTGTCGCGTAATGTAGTTCTTATAAAATAAATTCTGATAAATACATAAAAAATGTAATCGGAAAAAAATGCTGATGCGCCAACGTTCAATCATCCATATAATAATAATCGCTATTTTTTCTATTTTTCAATTTAAGAAATTAATCAACGTGACTTTTGAATGATTCTTTTTGTAAATTGCATCATACATAAATTTCAAATAAAAGATCATGACATCATTTACAAGTACACGGCGTAGGATGAATTTTTAGATATGCGATGCATCGAAGAATATAATTCGTGATGAGATACTGAAATTTATGCAGACAGTGAAAATTTACAGGAATGGTACTTCTATAACGGTAAAAACGTGACAGATATGTATATACATATTATATATGTATATACTGGAGAAGTGAAGTAGCAAGAGGGGAGGGCAAGCTGCACTTGCTTGCTCGCTTACTTTCTTGGGACACTTCTTATTTCTTCGGACCATGATTGGTAATACTTGTTAGTATTTGTTTAACTGTTGCATCGGGAATTTTGCAAATTTATTTTCCTCGACAGTGTTATCACGTCATAACCAGAGTTATACCCTCTGAAAGCACAAGTAAAATCTAAAAGATCTTTTAATAAGGTAAGTTGTTACTCAGAATTATTTTCTGAGATGACGCGATTTCACCATAAATTCTCTTTTAGTTTTTATGTACGATAAAAATATTTAACATATAAAAATCTTTTCAGTCTGTTTAATTGATAATACATTTTTTGTGTGAATTTTTCAATTGAATTTAAATTAATAGAACTCTATCGAGTAAATAAGGTTTCGAAGATTGGCTGAAAATAATTGACTTATAAAACATAAACATCTATCGTGCTACTTTCTAATCTTAGTAAATAGATTCCGTTGGTCCATTCAAAAAAATAAGTAATGTTTAACAAATGCGTCATATTCTTCTAAATTCAAAACAGTATAATACAAAATTGAATAAATAATTGGAAAAAATGATGTAACTATAAATTTGAAAATATATCTGGAAATAAGCAATCAAATAAATTAAATATGTTATAGTTCCAAATATATATTAAATGAAAATTTCAGTTTCGAATTTTTTTGCTAATTAAATATATTCTATTTTGTGAAATTCCTTTTTTAATACAAATTATTTGATATATAATATAGTATGTGGAATTTTTAATTGATTGATGAGTTGATTTGAAATATTATATTAAATATTATTAATTGTTGATTTGGATGTTAGGATTATTATAACATAGTTTCATAAACTAAAAATCTATTAAATGTAATTTCTAAAATGTATGACTATATAAAATATATTCATAAAAATGTACAATATATATATTAAATTGATTTCTATTAATCAATTAATAAAATTAGATTAATATTAATTTCTGTTAAATAAATGCAAATGCATTAAATGAAACAAAATCGTTTTTCTTGAATATTTTAAAAATTTAACATTGGTAAAATGAAACTTTTAATTTTTGGGTTTTTCCATCGTTGTATTCATAGTAGGCAAACAAATTATCTTATTGTGAAACAGGAATAATTGCTGACGGGAAAATCAGTTTTACATTTCCAAGTATTGATAATTGCAAAATTATGTAATGAAATAAAACATACAATTATGTAATGTTTTATCTTATGTTATAAAGTGACTTTTTATATCTCATGTACCTAATGTTTTGAAAATATTTTGACATTAATGTACTATTATGTTTAATACGAGGAGTATCCAATGAAAAATTTATTTATTTACTAGTATGATATTATTTTGTATCTTAATTTGCGTTTCTTTTAATTTTACAGAGATTTCAAAAATGGATTGGCAGTGGTTTTATATTGTTTTTCTATCTTGCATAATACTAAATGTTACTGCAGAACCGTATGTATATATATATATATATATATATATACACATAATACTTTATCAAACATTAAATTATAATAATAAATATGAACATATCTTAAATAATGTATCAAATAATAATTTTTTTAATTTTAATAATAAATATTTGAACTTTAAACTTTAATAATCAAATATTTTAATATATTTTTCAAGATATTATAGCATAATAGCTCCAAAAGTAATACGACCGGATTCAGAATATCATGTAGCTGTAAGTATAAATGATATATCAACACCATCAACAGTATATATTGAACTAAAAGGGTCATTTGACAATAATCCGAAGATAAAAGAATTATTCAATGTATCTCAAATTATACAAGTACAGCCATATAGTACAAGAATTCTACGATTTGAGGTAAATGTATTTTTTCTTTTACATTATATATAAATATAGTTCATTTATTAATTTCTTTTTAAATTTTAGATTGGCGATATTATTCCTGGTGCATATGAATTAATTGCACGTGGTTTATCAGGAATAGAATTTTCACAGTCAAAGTCGATCGAGTTTATTCCTAAAAGTTATTCAGTCTTCATTCAGACTGACAGAGCAATGTACAAACCAGGAAATAAAGTTATGTTTCGATGCATTTTGTTGAATTCCAGACTTAGGCCTACACTTGAAAGATTGGTAAATGTCTATGTCACAGTAAGTATTTTTAAGTAATAAATACTGTATAATAAATAAGACGAATTTTTTACTATTAATTACATTTTTACAGGATGGAAAAGGAAATAGAATTAAACAATGGGATCGTCCACCCGTAACTCATGGGATTTTTAGTGGAGAAATCGAACTGTCTGAATATCCAGTTTTAGGTACTTGGAAAATTACAGTAAATGTTGGCGATCAAATATTCGAAAAAGACTTTGAAGTTGCTGAATATGTATTACCTAATTTTGAAGTGACAATTGATACTCCTAAACATTTTACATTTAAAGAATCAAAAATCACTGCAACTATCTATGCCAAGTAAGTGAATTCTAATAGTTAGACAAATTTTTTATAGATTTTTTTACATGTTACAAGTACGTAAGAAAGTGTTTTTAATTTACTCATTATACAACTATCATTATACAACTATAACAGTGTCATTGATGTTATTTAATGATATCTTAGTATTCTCCTAAAAAATTTGACAAAAATTATTTATTTCAAAGTGCAAATCATTTAGGTATACCTATGGCAAAGCAGTGAAAGGAGAAGCAACTGTTACAGCTTATCCTGATATATTTTCTGGTGTTATACAACCAATATACCAACAGCCTATAAGGAAAGTGATTCCTATAGATGGGAAAGTGATTGTTGATTTTGACATTCACGACGAACTGAAGTATGTATATTTTAACAAGATATTCAAAACTTTCTTAGAAAATATGTAATTCAATTTTCATTTTTATATAGGCTCACTGATGAATACGAAAGACCAGTTATGCTTGATGTTACAGTAGAGGAATCTTTAACTGGTAGAAGACAGAATACTTCTGCACATATAACACTACATAAACATAAATACACAATGGATTTGATAAAAACATCAGAATACTACAAACCAGGATTAAAGTATACAGCATATGTATGTAGACGAAATTATTCATATTATTTTAGGTTGAAATATTTTCTTAACGTTATGCGGATATTAAAAAAAATGTTTATAGATAAAATTAACATACCATGATGGAACACCAGTGAGAGACAATAAAAATTTTGTTACGGTAAAATATGGATATACTTACATTATTGATAATCAATCTACATATACAAATATTACTGATATGTTAGATGAAAATGGAATGGTAGAATTGAATTTTTATCCACCAAAAACTAATGACAACATGTCATATCCTTTGAACATTGAGGTAAAATACATAAATAGCAAATACAAAAACATTTAAATTAATACCAATCGCTTAACAATAATCATCAAAAAAATTATTATAAATAGGCTCAATATTTAAATCTTTATGAATGGTTTCCATCAATAAACCAAGCAATGTCACAAAATAATGAATACATACAAGCTATTTTGAAAACTGAAAAGCCTATGGTATGATCACCTTTTTCGTTATTTAGATTATTTTAATATGATATTTTTGTATAAGGTTAATATGATATTTTTAGGTTAATCGAGATGTTGAAATTGAAGTAAATTCTACAACCCCATTAAAATACATTAATTATGAGATATTCGGACGCGGCGATATACTGGATGCAGGTTCTATATTTGTTCAAAATAAACATACAACAAGTTTTAAGTAAATATCTTAATTTCTAATTACGAAATAATCCGTTCTTATTATTTTAATATTATTTAATTATTATAAAATCATAAAATATATTTTAGATTCTTGGCAACGTATGTTATGGCTCCTACTGCACATATAATTATATATTATATAGGAGACGATGGAGAAGTGATTGCAGATGCCTTAGATGTAGAACTAGAAGGAGTGCTTCAAAATTTTGTAAGTTCAAAATTTGACGAATGGTTACAATAAAAATTAGATTATTAATACTCTGATTTTTATTAAAGGTTGATATTAAAATGACATCTGAAGAAGTTGTACCGGGAGATAATGTTAATTTTGTTATTACCTCAAAACCAAATTCATATGTTGGATTATTAGGCATAGATCAAAGATCTATACTTTTGAAGTCTGGCAATGATATCTCATACGTAATATTATAGATAATTCTCGTCAATTCAAGCATTGTCTTAATTGTAAATAATTGCAACACATTTTCATTTGTAGGAACAAGTATATAAAGAGCTAAAATCATATGATAATACTCATAAATCACCTTATGCAGATTCAGTTTTTGATCGATACCTATGGTATCCTGGTTCGGCTACAGCAAAAGATGTTTTTACAGTAAATGAATTAATTATTTTATTTGAATGGATTTTTATATTTTTTCATTAATGTCAATATAAATATTATTTAATAGGAAAGTGGTGCCGTCATCATAACAAATGCATATGTTCATGAAAACTTCCAAATTCGTAAGTAAAGTGCTTTCTGTTATGGGTCAAGTTAATTACTAATATTATTTCACCTATCCCCTACATGTGATTTTCTAATGCAATAACATATTAGTCGACAACATTTTATTTATTTACAATATTAAAATGAGAAGAATGTTCCTAAATCTAATTTTTCAGTAATACTTATCAAGTCTTTAGTTAATCAGTTTACATATTTATTACTTAACAAGGCTTATGTCTGTATAGTATACTACAGATCTGCTGTAGCATTCGCCTTTCCATCAGCGGTTGGAGGTTTCAATTCAATTGCATTGCCATCAGAGAAGTACGCGCCAACAAGAACCACGAAAGTACGCAAGAATTTCCCTGAAACTTGGCTTTGGCAAACGCTTGATGCTGGGTAATACCATTGAAAATTTTTACCTGCTGAGAGAACATATTTTTTCATTATTAAAACAATACCAATATAACTTATTAAGTAAATATAACTATGTGTTACCTATCTAAAAAGACTTAACATATTCATTTTAAAATTAATTTACTAATATTTATTTGATAATGGCTTTATGGGATTTAGTACTCTATGGTGATGGACTTATTACAATTCATTTCGTTCATTTCATTCTCTGCAATGCAATTATCTAATCGTATAAAATATTAGTATTATTATATAACATGAAATACAAAAAATATTATATAATAAAACATAATAAAAAATTAGGATTAGGTTCTGTAATAGTTTTTCTTTTTTTTTTAATTCTCTTGGTTGTGCTGATATAATACAATATATAGAATTGGATTACAGAACAACCGGGAATACTGGAAGGTAGAATAACAGGCTCATCTCATGGGGCATCCACACTTCGACCAGACCTTGGTCCACCCGTTACGCACAAACTAGCAACAAGACCACCACTGGCAGGTCCTTATGCCTTCTCTCGCATCCCACCTCCTGTTTGGAATAAGCCCCGTGTATTCCTAATGCATGACATCTCAAACACTTGGCTTTTTACAAACTTCTCTGCAGGGTATTTATCTCATATACTTTCAGTTTATAAAGCTTCATGTACATGCTTTATATACATTATTTGACAAATGATATTCATGGGTCATGCTTTATTTCAAGTATAGACTACTTTTATACAAATAAAAGCTGGAATATTCTGGGTGTCCTTGAATCAACTAACTCTGTTAGCTTAAACTACTCATAATTATATATACATACATACATACATATATATATATATTTTTTTTTGAAAGTGAAACTCTTAAAAATTTTAATATAATTGATTGACAACGCATTTGTATTGACTGTGATAGATAACATTTTGATCGCTTGCATCAAAAATTATTTGAAGAATTTTTCGGTAACTATTTGTTTTGAATGTATATACTTTAATGTTTAATATTTAATAGACTATTTAATTATTTAATAATTTCTTAAAATGTCATTTCAAATTGACAGGATAAATATTACACATTTGTGATCTTAAAAAGTAAAATTACAGAAACTTGCATAATTATTACTACTTTGATATTATGTGAATTTTATTTGAAACAATTTTAATATAACGAGTAATTTGAAGCAACAGAGCTAGATGATCCACTCTGCATAATTGATATACATAATCAGTAATAGAATATATTCTTAATATTTGCATATTTTAAATTATGTTGCTTTAGATTGTATCATTTTCCAATTGTTTGTTCTTTCATATCTAACGAATTTTCATAAAACATATCTATTACTGAGTATTCTATAAACAGGATGTGTTTCTGAGCAAATAAGTTATATTAAGAGAAACTTTTTTATTAATTTTATTTGAAACATCAAATTTAATATTATAAGTAGATTTGTTTTTTAGTAAATAAATTTGTAAATTATTACATTATGATTAGCATAAAATAAATTATGAAACAGAACTTAATTATGGATTGAAAATAGATATGAGGGAAAAAATGAGCTGAAGAGAAACGTACCTGATTCAATTACATCATGGGTGCTCACTGCATTTTCTGTAAATGACGTTCATGGATTAGGTCTTATAGAAGAACCACGAAAGGTAAGACGAAATGCTTACGTAAATAATTATAAAATTTATATGATGCAAATATGAGAAGAGAGATTTACCTTTTTACAGTTAAAAGTTTTTAGACCATTTTTTATTTCCATGGATCTTCCTTACTCTGTAATTCGAGGAGAGATTGTTGCAATCCAAATTGTGGTATTTAATTATATGAACAAAAATGTTATGGCTGAAGTTTTGTTAACAAACGAGGGTCAGTTTGATTTTGCAGAAATGTCCAACGAAGTTCAGGATGTACCAAGTAGGATAAAACTTTAATTCGATTTCGTATTTCGTACTATTCATATGATATGACATAAACAAATTATGAAAAAATATTCCAGAATTGGAATTATATCGTAAGAAGAAAGTGGAAGTGAAAGCTAATTCTGGAAGTAGTATTTCCTTCATGATTGTTCCACGAGAATTGGGATATATAACGATTAAAGCAACCGCAAGTAGTGTACTAGCTGGAGATAGTGTCGAACGTAAACTACTTGTTAAAGTAAATTATTTTTTATAAAAATTATATTTATTCATTAATTGAAATTTGAATTTTTCTATTAATCTATGTGCAGGCTGAAGGAGAAACACAATATATGAACAAAGCTACTTTTATAGATCTCAGAAGTACAACGAACACATCAATGAATGTTACAATTGATGTACCAAAAAATGCAGTACCAGGTTCAGAATACATTGAAATATCTGCAGTAGGTAAGGCTATGAAGTTATTGAAAAATTTGACTTAAAAATTAACATTATTTTTTGATCAATACTTCTGATGCTTAAAAAACCACAGACTGCTTCATAAAATATCAGGCTCAGAAAAATAAAAATGTACAAACAAATATTTACATCAAAATTCAAGAATATGTTACAGTGTTTTATAATATATCATTGAGTTCATTTTAACATTAAGGTTAAATTATATTTTTGTCAGGTGATATATTGGGTCCAAGTATTTTGAATTTGGCAAATTTAATTAAAATGCCATCTGGTTGTGGAGAGCAAAATATGTTAAAATTTGTTCCAAATATAATGATATTAAATTATCTGAAAGTAAGTCGATATACAATATGTGTAGATATATATAATTATATGCAATATACTGTTAGAGAAATACATTTAAAACTTCTTCGTAGAACACAAATCAATTAACACAAGCAGTAGAAAGCAAGGCTCTTCGATATACAGAAATAGGCTATCAAAGAGAATTAACTTACAGACATAATGACGGATCATTTAGTGCATTTGGCATGTCAGATAGCAATGGAAGTACATGGTATATAAGTGTTTAATTGTGTTTAATGACATATATTGTATTAATATTGTTGTGTTTGTTATTAATACTAACATTTTATATTACGCATTTTACTTACTAGACGTTTTATTTGTTAGGCTTACTGCTTTTGTAGCAAAAGCTTTTAAACAAGCTGCTGCATATATCCCAATCGAAGACAGAATAATAGATGAAGCTTTGCAATGGTTATCAAATAATCAAGCTCCCAATGGAAGTTTTCCTGAAGTAGGAAGAGTTAGTCATCGAGACATGCAAGGTGGTGCTGCAAAAGGTCTTGCATTAACAGCATTCACTCTTATTGCTTTTCTCGAAAATGCAGTAAGTATAATTTTTTTTATACTTATTTTGCGCTCATCCATCATTTCATCCATAAAAATATTACCATATATTTCTTTATACCAAACAATTTTTCTAAGAACATTTTTTGTATAGCTTCAATCTTTTACGAAAAAAAATGGAATATACTTAATACTTCTGATATTAAATTATTTTATTCCGATATTATAGGACTCTAATGGAAAATACAGAAACACCATAAATAAAGGAATTGATTACATCGTTCGTAACATGAATGATCTAGACGATGTCTATGCTTTGAGTATATGCGTATATGCTTTAAATTTAGCAAAACATCCGTATGAGATTGCGGCATTTAATTTGTTAGAATCTAAAGCCATGACTAAGAAAGATACTAAATGGTGGAGCAAACCTGTACCAGAAAACGATAAAAATCCGTGGTATCATTCTCTACCACGATCTGTCGATGTTGAAATGACATCCTATGCTTTGTTAACGTATTTAAGGCGTAATTTAGTTGCTGATTCAATACCTATAATGAAATGGCTTGTACAACAAAGAAATGCTGAAGGTGGTTTTGCATCCACACAGGTATTAATATTGAAATAACAAAATTGATAAAAATCCGAAAAAGTTGTTAATAATATATACGCACTTGTACTACATTTTAACAACTTTTAGGATACCGTAATTGGAATACAAGCTTTGGCGAATTTGGGTGAAAAATTAGTAACAAAAACCAATGCCATTTCTATAACATTCATGTACGAAGGAGGTGGACAAAGTCAAATGAACATAAATTCTGATAATTCCATGATACTTCAAAAACAAGTGGTAAGTTCGAGTTGTATTTAATATATTCTAATAATTAAACATCTCAAAAAAGAAGGAATTCTATAAATACATATATATATATAAAATAAATGATTTTAATATTTATTGTTTCTCAAGCTTCCAAAGAAAACACGGTTAATTAATATAACAGCTACTGGAAATGGATTTGCTCTAGTTCAAGTTACGTACAAATACAATCTAAATGTAACTGGAGCATGGCCGCTGTTCACTTTGGACCCTCAAGTAGATAAAAATTCCAATGCTAATCATTTGCAACTTTCGATTTGTTCTGGGTATGTTATACTTCATTCTTTTGATATTTTACTAATATTATCTAATATTATGTTATATATTTAATGTAACATGTTTATCACTAGATTTGTTCCGACCAAGGAGGCAAATGTAAGCAATATGGTTGTGATGGAAGTTACTTTGCCTTCTGGTTTTACTGTAGATAAGGAATCATTACCTAGTCTTGAAGTATCACAGAACGTGAAACGAGTGGAAACTAAAAACGGAGACACAGTCGTGATATTATATTTTGACGAGGTATGAGTACAGTACAAAATATGTATTTATATTATTAAGCTATTTCAGATTAGATTTTAAATCAAGTAATATCTCACAGATGAATAGACAAGAATATTGTCCTACAGTATCTGCATTCAGAACACATAAAGTGGCGAAACAAAAACCAGTACCAGTTACTATATACGATTATTACGATTCATGTAAGTTAATAATAATAATAATATTATTATTATTAAATAAATAATTTTTTTAACATATTGACTGCCACATATATTTTGCTCGTGAGTCATATTTAAAATTGATTAAAAAATAAAATTGTTTAAAATAAAAAGCGTATAAGCGTTTAAGCATCTTTAACTTAAATATTTTAATTGGTATCCAGTATTCTGACCAATAACAATGATTATCATGGCAGTCAATGTTATGTATTTCGTATCATAAATAAGTTAATATATATTTTACAACTTCAACTTATTGATTTTACTGTATTACTTAATTTATAACTTTAATTTACTAACGACTTTTTATAACACGTTTAGCAAGAAGAGCAAGAGTATTTTATGAACCACGAAAAGCTACACTTTGTGATATATGCGAGGATGAAGATTGTGAAAATTTATGTGTATCGCAACCTGATAAACAAAAAGATTTCTCCCAATCTGCTGCTTCATGTTTATCAAATTGTACACATCTTCACTTGCTTTTCATTTTGTTTTATACCACATTTGGATATTTGTTTGGGTTTTTTTAAGAATTTTATATAACTTTTTTATACAATATAATGAGAAAGTTTTGTATAACAAAACAAAAATTTACAACCAAAGTACTTACATTACATAGGAGAATCAAGCTTTTTCACGTTGATATAATCTAATCTAATGTTGATATAATATGATCTAATGTGACGTAATTTTAAGTTAATTTAATCTAATGTAATCTTAAGCTGCTTGAAACTAATGTTCAGAACTTATTAACTCTACTTTAAATAATATACTAAATATAGTTAAAAACATTACACTTTATTCAATTAAGTGTTTATCTATTTCTGTTGTATTTTGATATTTTCTTATACTAGACTAAATATACTTTATTATTATTGATAGCATGTTAATATAATTTTTTTTGTTTCTTTACAGTTAAAAATCCTAACTTAAAATAATATAAATTCCTGTTTCCACTGTATTTCTATTTTTACCAGTGTGTAACTTATTTAGCTAAAGAAAATTATTGCACATAACTACATATAACTACTTATAATTTAAGTTAATACAATGAATATGTACAATTAATCGATTATGTGAAATACATAAAATTAAATAAATATTTATTAATTTGTTTATACCTTTACATCGTATTTGTTATTGAGTTTATATAACCTCAAAATATCAGAAGACGTGGTTGTCATTTAAAAACTGTATATATATATTAATAAAATTTTGTCAATCGTTAACGTCATATCCGTTAATATGTGCAGTAACATAAAATGCAATTCCGTAAACAAAAATAATCTGTATATTAATATATAAAAGCAAGTACGTAATTAAGAAGCAGCAGTACAAACTAACCACAAATCTGTATAATGATAACAATGAAAAGCAATTAACGAAATAACAATGGATAAAATATTAAGAAGCACATTACGTATTAATCAACGATTATTGCGTGGATATTCAACCTATCAATATTTGAAGTGAGTTAATAAACTTTAATCTCGATTTGTAAAAACATGAATGTTGCATTATTTATTATTAATATTGCAGAATTCTTAAGGATCATGCTACGTGTGTATATATGAACAACAATAATCACATAACAAGGAGGTCAACTCTGTTTTTCACTAAGAAATCGTTTAATATTGTACAAAAACGTACAATGTTCATACAGACGCAAGATACACCAAATCCTAATAGTTTAAAATTTTTACCTGGAGTCAAGGTATTAGAACCAGGCCAGACTAAAGACTTTCCTAATGCTACGGATGCATATTGTTCACCACTTGCAAAAATGTTATTTCGCATTGACGGTGTAAAGTCTGTATTTTTTGGTCCAGACTTTATTACAATAACAAAAGCAGACGAAGATGTTGAATGGAAATTACTGAAACCAGAAATATTTGCCGTTATAATGGATTTTTTTGCAACTGGTTTACCCACATTAACTGATGAACAGCCAGCAACAGACACTCGTAAGATTCTTTTCTGTTTTTCAATTTTCACACAGAATCATTTTTACATACATACATGAATCACCCAAAAATCATTCAGCAATCATCAATAGATTTGTAATTTATATTCTGTGTAACAATATTTATGTTTAGAACTATAAGAAAGTTATATTATTAAAATAGTATAGAAGGATAAGAAAGTATGTATAAGAAAAATAGTTATAGAAGTACAAGAAAATTATTATTATGATATAAATTATTATATGTATATTTGTATATTTTTTTTTGTTTGTTGTAGAAATTAGCGAAGATGATAGCGAAATAGTACAAATGATTAAAGAATTACTAGATACTCGAATACGACCAACAGTACAGGAGGACGGAGGTGACATTGTATTTATGGTATGTAATGTCTAAATTAAAATATATCGTATACATAGAGTAATAAATTATATGCAAATTTGAGAATCGTGGCTAACGATTAATTTAAACTAACAATTTAATTTTAACTCGTACGTTAAAACAAGTGTCTTGTATTCTAAATTTTTATCTTAGCTGATTCTAAATCTTCAGTTAATGGTAGCATAAACGTGTGATAAGTTGCTCTAGATTCCTTTTTAAATTCCGTTTAAATTATTGTGAAGATAATAACATTTTCAATACGTACGCGTATAGGGCTTTGAAGAAGGAATAGTGAAATTGAAGATGCAGGGTTCCTGTACAAGTTGTCCAAGTTCTGTGATCACTTTAAAGAACGGAGTTCAAAATATGATGCAATTTTACATCCCAGAAGTACTTGGAGTAGTGCAAGTAGAAGATGAAACTGATCAAATCGCAAAAAAGGAATTTGAAAAGTTTGAAGAAAAGATTAAAAATTCTAAAACTAGTGAAAAATAGGCTTTTAATCGTTAATCGTATATAAAAGTATTGTACATGTACAAATAAATTAAACACTTATTTCTTCTTTTTTTCCTGTTTTTATTATATTCCAGTCTAAAATCCTTAACGGCTAGTTACAGAAACTTGCCAGACACGAATGGTGTTATCTGAGTAACCGGCAAAAAGCGTTTGCCCATCAGTAGACCATGCTAAAGATAGACAATGAGGTGGTTCTGCTTTACTTGTCGCAGACACTACTTCTGGCTTCAATTCTTCAACCATTTCTTTGGTTTCAAGGTCCCATATTTTGATCCAGGGTCCAAATGCAGCACAAAGCCAGTAACGATTAGGACTGAAGCATAACGCCGTAATAATGTCGTTGTGGTCTAACGTGTGGAGATGTTTTCCATCATTTAAATCCCACAACATAGCCTTGCAATCCTGTAAACAAGAGAACACATTTCTTGATCAAAAGAATTTCCAAAGTTTGAAGGATTTTGCAATCGTACTGGTTTTAAAACTACTACTAACAAATAGTTTGTTAATGATGAATGTAACGGACGACTATTAAATAAATAACATATTTTTCTGATACATACTTTACCACCAGAAGCACAAAGCGATCCATCAGGAGAGACAGTAACTGTATTAAGATACCCAGTATGTCCACTATGATTGATTTTCAATCTGCAGTTTGTTAGATTCCATACCTACAAGACCATTTTATAACTTGCAAAAAATAAAATGACTAATAAGATAAAAACAGTTTATGACTTGAGAGATCAGTCCCATATCCGCTTACACTCACAGATATCATGTTTAATAAAAATGTATACATCATGTTAGATTACGCTAAAAGAAATGTTAATATTTTGTATGGCTAGCATACCTTGACTAATTTATCCCAACCAGCAGAAACAATAATGGGATTGGAATGATTTGGAGAAAAACGTACACAGCTGACCCAGTCCGTGTGCCCATCATCTTGAATGGTATACTTGCACTCGGCCAATGTATTCCACAATTTAATCGTCTTATCTCGAGAACCAGAAACAATTTGACGATTGTCCACGGAAAAGGCGACACTTAAAACATCCTATCAACACAATAATATAACTTGGGCGATTGATTACTTGCAAAAGTATTAAGTTCATGCATCAGACATAATCAATACTTACAATACTCTATATTTAATTCCCCACCTCTTCTATTTATTAAATAGAAAAAAAAATATATAAAAAAAAGCTTCAGTATATTTCCCGGAGACTCGCATAGTTACGTTCTTCTGCCAAGTGGCATTCAATAAAAAAAAAATTGAAAAAAAAAAGCTTCCGTATATCTCGTGAGGAGAGACGACCATAGATCAGAAGGAAAATTTCACACCTTGGTATGATCTTCAAAACGTCGTGTAGTACGACCTGCGGCCAAGTCCCAAAGCCGAAGAGTTTTGTCCCACGAACCAGACAGTGCATAATTACCATCTGACGAAAGCACTACATCGCTAATAAAATGAGAGTGGCCGTACAAGCGTTTCTGCGGAATACCATAATTGGCTTCGTCACGTGTCAACTTCCACACAATTAAAGTTTTATCTACAAACAAAATGTATAAACTCTTATGCATATTGTGCACGCTTTGTGTTGAATTACCTCTTCCTCTGGAGGAATTTACAGAACAGAAATGAATGAAGCATTTTGAAAGTGTTTTCCAGCAGTATGTAAATACAAGCAATGTATAGAGAAATACAGAAATAAAAAATAGTAAAGACCGCGTAGACCGCTACATGACTACTTACCACGTGAAGAAGACAATATCATATCTGGATATTTCGGATTTGTCGCAATTTGGGTGACCCATCCATTGTGCCCTCTAAGTGTCCCTCTCAACTGAAGAGTTTCGGTCATTTTTTAATTATTTTAAAGTAGTCTAAGTTATGGATTGAAACAGATTCCTATCCACGTCCCTCATCCAACGAAGCGTCGAACGAAAAGAACAGCTATGTACTTGGCTACTTCTCTCTTCCAATGTATACGTTGTCACAGTTTATACGTTCCATAGATGTGCAACTCACATACCTAAAATATAAATGTAGAACTATGCTCAATATATGTATATATGTCGATCAATTTAAAAACGATGTTAAACATGTATTTCAACATACTTGATAAATTATATTCTTAATGTATATTTGCTGAGATACATATACATACATATATTTAAATATAATATTAACATAATTTAAAATATTCATACGACTAAATATATGACTATATGCCATGATAAAAATAATATATGCCATAATAAATTGACTGCACAATGTTACTTATTAATAATGCAAAACTTTAATATGTATTCGTTCTACATGAAAACTGGCCTTCTGATATTGAGGTTATATTGTTATCCTCAAAGTATGAGGAAGTTGGAAATAAATAAGCAGTTACGGATTTAATAGATATAAAAAAGAAGATATATAAAACTTTGAAAAAAATAAAAAGAATAAAAATGGCCGGTAAACAAGGAAAAGATTTAGCATTGTCTATGTTACGAACATTACCCAGAGTAGCTTTAAATAATATTCGAAATAATCCTGGTGCAAATAAGCCTGTTAGTATTATTCTGATGTTACATATTTATACTCCAATATGTTTGAAACTAGACTTTGTATGAATGTCTGAATGAAAAATATAGCATTTTCAAAAACAATATTGTTAAACTTTCACTACTTAGTTTAGTTTCGTATAAGATTTTAATCTGTCACATTGTTTGAATCAAACAATAATTTTAAATTAAATTACATTGTGTGTAATATTACAATTTTCTATAAATATATAACAGTTTCATTTTGTAAAGAAATATGTTTTTTGAATAGTCAAAACGTGGTCGAGGTCAACATGGTGGAGATAAACACGGAGCTGGCAATAAAGGATCTGGTCAAAGACAAAATTTCATGCGAACTGGATATGAAACTGGAAACAACCCGTTTTATCTTAGATTTAGTTATGAACCATACTATAAAGGACATCAGTAAGTTGTTTAATTTCTATCTAAATTTAATACATAAACTAAGCCAAATTACAAGTTAAAAATAAGATATGCATTTGCTATTGTAAATCACCAAAAGATAAAACAAGGCAGGTATCATTTTGTTTTATGTATGTTGTAGTTTAAGAAGAGAATATCCTCCTTTATCTTTACAACAACTGCAAATGTTTATTGATACAAATAGACTAGAGCCATCTAAACCTATTGACCTTGTATCTATAGTCAACACAGGATTATATGACTTTAAAGTAGAATGGAAACATGCGGGTGTTCATCTTACGGATGAGGTTGTATTCAAATTTGTATTTTTGTACAGCGATATTAAATGATCAAGTCTTTTCTGAAATTTTGAAGTTTTAAATTCATGTTTCAGGGAGTTGATAACTTCAAGGCAAAAGTTAATATAGAAGTTCAATGGGCCAGTGAGCCTGTAATTGCAGCAATTGAGAAAAATGGTGGTACTATTACTACTGCTTACTACGATATTCATTGTTTGCATGTGATAAAGGACGTTGATAGATTTTTTACTACCGGTAAATTTTTAGAGCCTATTAAAATTAAAAAGATCGATAAGATTGATAATGTTACATTTAAAACATGTTTACTATTTAGGGGCGCCAATACCACGCAGACTTTTACCTCCATCAGATTGTCTAGAATATTACATGAGCGCAGAAACAAGAGGATATTTAGCAAATCCTGAAGAAATTTCTCGCGAACGTTTGGTTTTATCTCAGAAGTATGGCTATGAATTGCCAAAAATTGAAGATAATCCCAATAATGAAATGCTTACTCAGCGTAAAGATCCTAGACAATTGTTTTACGGTCTTGAACCTGGTTGGGTTGTAAGTCTGAAAGATAAAGCGATTCTTAAACCTAAGGCTGATTATCTTAAGGAATTTTATTCCAGTTGAAGCGTGCTTTTGTAGAACACTAATGGCTAAGTAAATAACTTGCAAAACTGAACAAGCTAATGCTTCTATTGTAGAATTTCTGGTAAATAAATTAATATTAAGAGTAAACATTTCTTTATATATTTCGAATAATAGATAAATAACTCTAAATATCTTATAATCTTTTTAATTACAAGGAAATATGTATCATGTATGTAAATGTAAAATATGTAAATATAAAAAGAACATAACCTAAATATGTAATACTTGTGATATATCAATAAAAAAAAAAAAAAAAAAGTAAGAACTAAAAGACCCGTTATCAAGCTAGAGAGTGGTAAGGTTGCAGTGGAGTTGAATCGGCAGTCTTTCGTGACAGGTGCTTTAACCTACTTCTCTTAATATAATATTTACATCTTGAGTCGAAACAATTAAAAAAAAAATGGCATTTTGCATTGAATCTGAGAAAGATTATGCATTTTTGTTAAAAAGTTTAATTGCCGGTGGTAAGTTGAATATATTTTTTGATATAATGCATTTTTACTCAATTATTGTTCGTTCAAAACGAAATGTTACATGAATAATTTATCATCAGCTTTCACTAGTGATGGTTATTATTAACTTTAGAATAATATTTATTACTATCGTTAAGAAAACGTAGCAGTATTGTTTCGAAGAATTGTTGCTGTATTGCTATATAAATTGTTTAATAATAAATAAACAATTAATCTAGTAACTAAACAAATAAATTATCAATAGTAAGCATTTCACAGGAGTAGCTGGAATGTGTTCAAAAACAACAGTGGCACCATTAGACAGGATAAAAATATTATTACAAGCACATAATAAACATTATAAACATTTGGGTAAGAAATGCAACTTTGTGAAAGACAGTGTTTAAAAGTGATACAGTCAAAGTGTTAACTTATTATTTTATATAGGAGTTCTTTCTGGATTGAAAGAAATTATTCAACGTGAACGATTTACTGCTCTTTACAAAGGAAATTATGCCCAAATGATTAGAATTTTTCCATACGCTGCAACACAATTTACTACATTTGAATTTTGCAAGAAGGTAATTATCAGTTCATTCGTAATTTTTGCATTAAAACAATTAAAAAAATAATATTAATTTGTTCTGGGTAAAGTGGTTCCACAAAGCGAAGTAACTGTTATTAATATAATGACATGCTCATGATTTAAAGGTGAGCTTTTACAATTTAGATTCACTGTTGGATTTATGTATATAATATGCAGAAATGCATATACACAGAAACACATATGTAAATGTGTTTGTAAAAATATTTAATAATTTATTTATAGAAATATAAAATAGGCATACAGTTTCAATGAGGGGAAATAGATAAATATTTTTTAAAATAGTCAAATACATGGACTAGATTGTAACTAAATTATCATTTTTTTTTTTTTTTTTAATAGTATTTAGGTGGTTTATTTAAAACGCATACTCATATAGATAAGTTTGTGGCTGGATCTGCAGCTGGGGTTACTGCAGTTACATTAACATATCCACTTGATGTAATTAGAGCAAGACTTGCTTTTCAAGTTGCTGGAGAACATCTTTATGTAGGGATTGTACATGCGGGTACCACAATTTTTAAAAATGTAAGTTACATTAGATTATCATAGAATGAATAAAATTTATTTATAAATAGATTCTATTGAAAGATTAGTAATATATATTACTAATATTAGTAATATATATTAATAGATCATTGTAATATATATTAATACATTTTTTGTTAAAAAAGATTAAAATAACTAATTTACATTTGAAATTACTTAATGTTAATATATAAATTTTTTGTTAAAATGCACGAGATAATGCACAACATAAATCAGCAGTCTGCATTAGTTAAAAGTAGATAGTTATTTTTTTTATATATGTTAATAAATATTATATGAGTTGAAAGTCGATTTATATTTATAAATGAAAATAATATAATATCATATCATTGAATATTTCAGGAAGGTGGCATTCGAGCATTGTACAGAGGATTTTGGCCAACTATTATTGGCATGATTCCATATGCAGGATTTTCATTTTATTCATTTGAGAAACTTAAATATTTTTGCATGAAGTATGCACCAAATTATTTCTGTAAAAAATGTGATAGAAACACTGGTATGATCATCTTCAAATTTTTATAGATTTATTAAAATAAAATTTAATTTTAATACTAATATAAATTAATATCTATTAATAAATTGAAATAAAATGTTAATATAACCACAGGTGGCTTAGTTTTAACGATACCTGCAAGATTATTGTGTGGAGGTATTGCTGGTGCTGTTGCTCAAAGTTTTTCTTACCCATTAGATGTTACCAGAAGACGTATGCAATTAGGTATGATGAATCATAATACTCATAAATGCAAGTAAGTATACCAACTTTTCAATTCAAATAAAAAAGATCTGTACGTTAATAATTTATGTAATATTTAATAATTATTACATAAAATTAATTTATTTTTAGTTCTAGTATGTTACAGACTATAAAAATGATATATAAAGAAAATGGTATCGTAAAAGGTCTATATCGTGGAATGAGTGTTAATTATTTACGAGCTATTCCTATGGTATCAGTTAGTTTTACAACATACGAGATCATGAAACAATTACTACATTTAGACACGGGACTAAAATTTTAATTTATTTAATCAGAATATATATATATATTTGTAATCTAGTTCTTATATTTCAATGTACTATTAATAATATGTAATACTTTCTACAGTCACTTAAACATGAATATTTTTGATGATTTTTATATTATAAGGGAGGTAATTCATTTAATTTAATTTGTTATCTTTGCACAATAAATTTATGCAATATTATGAATATATAAAATATTGTGGTTCTGCGAATCTTTACCATCAAGTTTTATTCCTGTTAATACAAAATTGAAATTGATTTCTAATGTTGTAGTGATACCGATTTCTGATATTGCGACGATTTTAATGAGACGGACAAACAATTGTATTTATATTATTTGATAATGTATTGCATATGCAAAATTAGAGAAAATTCTAATAACACTACTTGTTATTAGAAATTATTATTTGAAAATGTTATTTAAAAATTATTCAAGACCAAAGATTGTGATATAATAGGATATTTTTATTCATAGTAGTTACTATTATTATTAGATTATTAATGCAAAGAATATGTATAATGATAATTAAAACAAAGAAATTGTAATTTCAGTTTTATAAATAAATTATTTTTTTGATTACTACTTTCAATTTAAGTCCTATAATCTTAATTACCAACGAGTAAAGAATAAATTTAAAAAAAATTATAATTTTGGTTAATTAGTAATATATATACAAATACAAGATGTTCCCAAACTTTAATTCTAAAACAATACAATACATTCAAAAAATTAAACTGATTAAAAAAGTTGCTACATCACAAGTTCCTATTAATGACAAAATTAATTTCAAGTGAATAATAAGTAACAATGATCATATGTATTAATAATTGGAATTTACAGAATTATGTATTATTGTATAATTTTGTTCAGATAAAGAAAGTATAAAGAATAACAAAAATATTAGAAAACTACTAAAAGTTTTCTGTGACAAGATTTTTATAAAACTTTCTCTTAAATGAAAAATTTTCTCAAAACAGTATGTACTATATAATTTTGTTTATTTATTTTTTTAAACAGTCTATCAATTTAGTACTAATTTCAGAATATCCCTTAGACTTCAATATCTCATTACTACCATATATTTGAATATTTTTAGTCATTTTCAACAAAACTTTGGGGTAAATAAATTCTTTGTTAGTAAATTATGCTTCATAATAAATAATTTAGCTCACTGATAGTTTAATTTGAAATGTTTATTTTTCAATTAATTGCTTCGTAATAAATGTTTATTTTTGTACATATACTTAAAGTATCACTAGGATTATATAATTTATAAATATGACTTTAATCATAAAAATTTATCTATTTACTTAAGAAACTTATTTTTAAAGTCTTTATATGTTAAAATACACATGAATAATTATTTATTAGTCTTTAAGACTAATAATTAGTCTTATTTGTATCATATGTCTTGCATTACATTAGTTCAATGTGTAAAAATGATGTAAGACTCTCTAAATATGATAACATTTCTTTATTTTTCTTGCTTTCGTTTATAATGAGACGATATAATATTAATTGAAGGCATATTGTTTACCTTGCTTCAGCAAGCTAATTTAAAATTTGTAACTTAATATTTTTTAAGATACATAAAACCGGAGGCGTATGCTGAAAGTTAAAAACCAAGTGCACACACATAAGTCATGATTGTTTAAAGTATTTTTTTACGTTTTATACAAAACATTGCAAAAGATATTATTGTAAAAGATATTTCAAATTGATTATATACAATATAGTGATGTATAACAATTATATACATTTATAAAACTGATTTTATCCTGAATTTATGTACATGATAAATAAGTTTAAAGCATTTTGAGTTTTAATTTCAATTTATGTATGTGCATTGGTGATCGATCAAACAGCTTTCAATAAAAGCATATTCTTTTTTTTTTTTTGGCTTAATTTAATTATTTTATGAAAATTTCCATGTAAGTACATAAAATATTGACATTCAATGTCAAAATCAAAGTGAAACAGAAAATAACTAGACATATGATTTTGAAATGTTGAATTTTTAAAAATTAATATATAATGTACGAGTTTATGATATTGAAATTTATGCCTTATACGAAATATTTAAAAAAGAGAATAAATAGAACTAATACAAAATTAACTATACAAGCTCCAAGATCTATTATTGATTTTACTAAAAAACATATTTTTAATTAACTCAATCTGTTTCGCTTGTTATAATATCATAATTTTCTTTTCTCTCTATATAGGAAATTTTATTTTTATTTCTTTTATAACTCAAAAACTATGTGTAATATATAATATATAAAACAAAAATGAGAAAATGCTTAGTCCTGCATCATGCAGAAAATGTTGCTGTATCCACAATATGGTTTCAATATGGTTTCTGTGCTATTTTCTTTTACATTTACAGTCTTAGTAAATTGCTATAGTGTGCATCTATACATTTTTCATTTTTTTTTTCATTTTATTGTTACTACTGTATCGTTTCATTATGCATATGTTCGAATTACATGTTAATTCTATGAAATTATGTATTCTGTGAATACGTTCAATGCTCATGTATACAATGCTTGTGTATTGACGAGTATGAATGATTTGACACAACACATTAAATTCATTAAACTTGCATTACACATGTTTATTTACCAGAAGCATTTTATACCTATTAATTAGTAAAAAAGTTGTCGATAGGTTCCCAAGCAATTAACTTTCAATTTAATGATTGTGACTGTATGAATTCATTCAGTATAAAGTGTGTGTTTCACTTAAGAAGTCTTGATAGGATTGATGCAAAAGTGATTTTTTAATTCTCAAATCACGTATCTTAATAAACCATAAACACATAAGGTGACGGATGACATTTATATTTGATATTAATATTTAAAAATTTGAGATTTAAAAAAGAATAAACATGACTAAACGTGCACTAAATTATTTTTTTTAAGATAATTATAAAAATAAAATTTACAAAAATTACGTTTTGAGGATTAAAACACTAAAGAATTTATTGAATTGTTCATATGGCACAACGTGTATATACCAAATTCACTGTTGCACCAACCCTTTATATATTTCCCTCAAGTGGAACATTTCATGCTCCATTCACACTAATAATTATGTGACACTCTCTTAAATATAAACTATTATCATTTTGATACATTTTTTGAAATCTTAAACAACATTATTTCTATTCAGTACGCGCAATAAACAATTTTGCTTGTACAAACAGTTTTTTATAAAGTAATATTTGTTCAAGGTCTCAAAATAATACCATGCACAGTTTTTTATTCGTACTATTTCTTATATTCATTTCTTTTGTTTCGTTTCTTGATAATAAAAAATACAAGCAATACAATAAAAGTTGTAGAATTCAATGCGGTATATGAATTTTAATTGGTACGTGTGTACATTATTGTTTGTTTTTTTCTATTTGCATATATTTAATGTTGTGTCTACATGTATGGTGTGGGACACACGCAAAATACTCGGTTGTGTGTGCCATCTTTCAACAAGACACCACAAACAGTCATGATATAATACTTGAGACTATAATGTAATGTGTAAGGATAGCTGCTAACCTCACACTTTATTGATGTTCTATCATAAATTATATTCAGTGGCATTGCTATGAAGCCTGAAACATTTTTATACCCCTACCTTAATAGATAATTTAGGGGATTTGATACTTTACAAGAAATAATCTGGTGTCCGCCTAGTAACGTGCGGCTCACCACGCCTTGGAGCTGGATCAAATTGAAGGCTGTAAAAATGAAAAACAAAACATTAGATGTAACTGAATAAGTGAAAATAATTCATACATTCTTTTTCACTTATGACACTATTTAGTATAAAATTATTATATTTACAATGAATATTTTAAAGCATCATCTAATTCCATAATTGCAGCTTGATTTCCACAACGATAGCAGTAATTGGGAGCTGAGAATATAGTTACAACGTTGCGATCGTGACACCTGTAATAATAAATAAATAAATAAATAAATAAATAAATAAATAAATAAATAAATATATATATATATGAGATAAAAAAAGAATTTTGCAATATTACAATATTTATAAAACAACACAAAATATTTATCAAACAATGTACATGTTAAATCATAAGTAAACAATTTGAATAAATATACCAATTGTAACCCTCCATAACTAGCTGATGTGCTCGCGATACTAATGTCAGACCATTAGAATGATTAAAAGTTTCTGAAATATCTTGTCCAAAAGTATATCCTGCACCACGAGGAGAAATACCCCACCCTCCTCTATCATCTGGATCTGACCACAAAAGATCACACATCGGTCCCTAAAACAATATGATATTTTATCTATTCCTTTTTTTTAAATTTGGACAATTATAAAGACAATTATAAATGCTTACCTCGTGTGGTACTTCTTGAAGACGGTCTAGAGCACGTATATGATCTAAAGTATCAATCGAAGGTGATAAACCACCATGTAAACAAAATATTTGACCATCAACCAGAGCAGTTAATGGTAAATAGTCAAATAGGTCCGTGAAGAATTTCCATACATTAGCGTTGCCATATTTACGTAAACATTCATCGTAAAATCCATATACCTGTGTGATTTGCCTTGATTCATGATTACCTCTTAAAATAGTTATTCTTTCTCTATATCTGACCTATTAAAATATGATATTTATTTTATGACTATATACAGATACTTATATTTTTATATCTTATTTATTCATTTATAATATTTTTTAAAAGTATAGTATAGTACTTTTTAATATATAGCATTATATATTTTTTAATATATATAGTATTTTTTAAAAGAGATTGTACCTTGAGTGCAACAAGCAAGGTAACAGTTTCAACAGAATAATAGCCACGGTCTACATAGTCACCCATAAAAAGATAATTTGTATCTGGAGACTTGCCTCCTATTCTGAACAATTCCATTAAATCATGGAATTGTCCATGTACATCTCCACACACTGTTACAGGGCATTTTACTTCTTGTACATTAGATTCTTTAGCTAAAATTTCTTTTGCCTATAAAAGTACATCAACTTCTATATTATTTATTATTACTATTTAAAAACATTGAAACAATATAAAAATACACTGCTTAATTTTAATTGTTCTTAAATGTATATTGTAATTGTATATTAAATAACTTAATAACTAAATTACAAATATTTATGCAATTTCATGATTCAAATATTTTAATGAGGCCTGTACTTTTAATATTCTTTATATTTTATCACATCATAGTATTATATAAATTTTTATATATTTAAATTTTCCACAAATACACAAACAATAAGAAATCATAAAAGAAAGCATTGCGATTGCAAAGATATTGCATTTTCATTAAGGAAATCATTTCTATATTATGTATGACTGTCAAGTGTTTTAGCATTTAAAATAAATTAATCATAACAAAATTGAAAATATTTTGTAACAAACAAAATTCGTAAACAAAAAAAGAAAGTCTTGTTTCACTTACTAAACATAATAATGACTAGTAATAATGATAATTTTAAATAATATTTTTTGCATTTTTGCATATTGCAGAAAGTTCTGCAACCTAGCAATGATAGTAATTAACACAATTTGTATTAAAAAATGGTAGAAACATTTCAAAAACAGTATTGAGAGTATAATAAATTAGATAATTGCATTACAAATTAAATAATAACAGAGTAAATGTACAATTGCTTTTTCTCCTCATTCAAATGTAAAAGCATTTATTTATTTATAGAAACAAATAACGCAAATTTCTGCTTTGAGCATTCGAATGTTGATAATAATTTGCAACAGATGTAAAATATATTTTCTTATTTACATATATATATATACACACACATATATATTGTTGCATTTTAAATACCAATTCTTATGAAAATTTTCGTGCACAATGATTAAATATTTGTTAAGAATCATTTGTATGCGTACGTTACATATTAACATCGAAGAGGAATACAATCGAACAAAATAATTTCGATGTAACATTACAGGTGTTTAATTCGTACGTCGAATTCTACAAATTAAAACGATGCATTTTTACATGCTACGAGTAATCTCATTTGGGAAATAAAAATAGAATCGTCGGTTGGATCCGATAAACTTGCTAGAGTTGAACAAGTTGCAAGGTGCAGATAAGTTCGAATAGCAATGAACACACTGATTTTTTTGCAGCGTCTGACCGTAAATCTTTGTTGAATATTCGTCAAAGCTGAATTTGTCGAAATCGCGAAATGCAAAGTATCGATAGTACTTTTTCTGTTCATAAAGTACGTTCAAACGTATCGTAATGTAATGAGTAATGACACGTCAAATTATGCTCGGTGATTATCAGCAAAATAACGAACGAACGAACGAACGAACGAACGTGAAACATCATGATAAAATTATTTGCAAGGCAAACAAGAAATACTTCGATAAGGAAAATATACCGAAGAAGCCAACGTGGTGATGGTGGTGATGATTTTTTAACGGATAAAAAAATGAAAAAAAAAAAAAAATTACGTATGTACCTTTTCACACAGAGATTTTACTTGGCTTTCTGTTAGTTGTTGGCAGTTATTTAATTGTTCTATCCACTGGTCGAGTTCCTTCAACGATGCCTTCTCCTCCATCGTACAAATCTACGCGTGAAGTTTACGGACGGTCCGCGCACTTAGCACATATAGTAAAAGTAAAGCAGGTCTGTTCTGTAAACTAAATCATTCGGTTTTACTGGAAAAGCTTCTTAACACAAATATCTCGATCCAGCACACACTCACAAAATGGCCGATTGCGAGTACTGACGGTGACGTCACACTCAATTCATGCGTGCTTCACCAGTTATAACCTGAATTATCACGCTGGCCAATCATTTTCCGCGGTTATCCCGTCTTGACCAATCAACTGTTAACTTTACTTTTGTCGCACGTACGTTATCGTATACACTGTGCGACTATGACTGCATCGTTTTAACGACAATGATTACGTTTCTATTGGAGATGTCGGAGTTTTCCAGTGACGTGTAATCTTTACTAGAGATAAGCTCTTTCTTTTTTTTTAATCTTTACAAAAAAAAAAAAGAAAGATATTTTAATACAAAACAAGACGATAGTTTCATAGTTCTTCAGGGGATTCCATTTTTCATTTTTGATTCCATCATGTGTCCAACTGTCTTCGCAAAGATTACGTTTGTTTCGTTACCATGCCCGTTGAATTCAATCGAAGTAATGAAAAATTGTCATATTTATGTAATGGTAGTTCCTAAAATGCATAGATCGTATCACTTTGAACTTGGCTACGGATTGAAATAATAGGATCAAGTTGATTAGTTTTGGAACGTATGTATGCGTGCTATCGGTTCGATTTTTCCATCTTAAATGACACAATCAATTGTTTCAGTTTTTAGGTTCTCTGTCTGAATATATCTTAATCATTAAATGATGAAATAGAACGAATGATTTTTTTTTTAAGAGAAAATATTTCAGCTGAATTATTTAACTTGGATGTTCGAGATTTTCGATAAATATATCGAATTATAATTAAATCTATATCGAATTTATATCGAATTATGTTATAATTAAATTATATATATCAGATTTATATCGAATTATATTTGCGACTAATATTAAAACGTTCGTTCAATGTTGCGATGATTACTTTGAGATAAAAATGTAATAGTTGATACCCTATCAGTAGAAATCGTCTTAATTTATATATTTATGTTCAAATGTTTAGTTTGAATTTCGTTGATAAAAATATTCGATGTCTTCCACGATGTTCATGTTCGATCTCGATATAAATTTTGTATATAATTAAATATCATCATTCAAAATTCGTTAAATTTAAAAGATCGTAATTTTTAAAGAGCGTTTCGACTTACCGAGTAAATCTTTATATATGCACTTCTCCTAGAACGAATGAAAAATGATCTTCCCGTCGAGAAAGAAAGAAAATCGAGCGTTTAATTTTACAAAGCCAATCGAAGACGTTCATAAATTAATCCTCTTGAATAGCTTTGTAAATAAAAATTTGCTCAATTTACGTACGCTGGAACAACAACGCCGCGTAACGGTTGTATGAGTTATATTTTAAATATCAATACTGGTACAGCAATATTTAAGTTATTTTGCTTTTATTATTATTGTTACTTATAATTACTCAAATATGTATTTAAATACACAATGAATAATAATATCTCCCTTTTTTTTTGTATTTAGACTATAATCAAGATATCACTGTACATTTACATTATTTCAAGATACAATTTCTGAAAATTAGTTGAAAATTTTTTTTTGTATTTTTAATGTATGTATATGATTACAAACTTCTTTTTAGCATAAAACCACTTCATTACAAATATGTCCAATTCATAAATTAATGACAATCAAGGCAATCAACAGATAGAGTAATATAATTTGTGAATGTAAGGCACTTAACAAATACATACTTATATACTCTCCATATATTTCACATGTATATATAAATAAGCATAAAATTACAGTACAAGATGTATATGTAAGATAAAAGAGTGTATGTTGCACATCAATTGAATGAAAATGTAATTTAGTTGCTTATGTTGTAAATATTCTGCAGAAGTTATGTACTTTACAGTGACACTGACTGATAAAGTAGATAATTGAGTGTTCTGTTGTGAATATTACAAATAGAATACTGTTGTATTTGATTTAAAAATAATTTAATTTTAATGTATTTGTAGAATTACTATCCAGTAATTCCTTCTATTGCTTATGTTGCTATTCTCATACAAAACATGTTCAGTGCCATTCAAGTTTTACAATTAGAAAATTACTGTATATAAAAAGATATAAAATGTTTCCAATACTTTTAAAATATTAACAATAACTAAATAAATTATTGCATCTAAGTAGATAAAATGAAAAAAGCAATCCATGCTGTACAATTATACAAAGATATAAAGGAGACAGGTTTACATTATTTAATCATTGAAAACTTATATTTCGAAAGATGAAAATATTGATCAATTTCAATTTTTTAACAACGATATTAATACGATTATTAGTAAAATGTAAAACATAAAAAAAAGGAATGCATTTCTAATTAAAAAGCCATAATTATTTCAAACCTTTCGTTGCTAGGATTGTAGATACATAATTAATACTAAAAAGAGATAAGCAACAATATCAATAGGTATAATTTAAAGAATTATAAAAAAAATCTACTTTACAGAATGATGTTATCTATCTGCAAAGTGTCGCGTCTAATTGTACAAGCCATGGCAACAATAATTTAATTTTTCTTCTATAATTTGGATCTTTGGCAATAGGATTATGCTCTAAATACACAGTTTGTAATTTCTTATTAACTGTTAGATTTTCTACAGTTGTCCATTCCTCAATTTCATTGTTGTTTATCTAAAAAAACATATCAAATATCAAAAAGTATCTACATATATATATATATAACTCCTAATAATATTCTTACCCAAAACTCTTCCAAGTCTTCAAGATGTTCAATGTTTTCAATCTTTTTTATTTTATTATTCGCCAGATCAAAAGTTGTTAATTTCGGTAAGCTTGATAATCCTTCAATGCATGTTATTCCATTTTCAGATAGATACAATTGATCTAGGTTTTTCAACTCTTCTAGATTCTCTATTTTTGTAATGCGATTACTTTGAAGACTTAATAACTGAAGATTTTGTAAACAGGCCAGGTTTTCAATTTTTGTTACTTTATTTTTACCAAGGAACAAGCTTGTTAGATTTTCAAGTCCTTCGAGATTAACTATTTCCCTTATTTTGTTGTCACCTAATTCGAGACTCGTAAGATTTTTTAAATGCGACAAGTTCTCGATGCATTGAATCTTATTTGACGACAGGTATAACTTCTGCAAATTCAGCAAGTTGTCCAATCCTTGTATCTTTTTGATACGGTTAAAAGATAAATCTAAAAGCCTGAAAATATAATAATCTTGCATGAAAATTTGCTCGTATTCAAGAGGCGTGAGGTATTATTTCGATCCATTTATTACGAGAAAAGCATTTTATTTTACTTATATGAAATATAATAACATACTCCAAGTTTATAAGAGCATCTAAGTTTTCTATATCGACAATCTGATTATCTCTTAATTCTAGCTCGACCAAGGTTACAAGTGTGTCGAGATTCTCAATTTTCTTTATTAGATTCCATGTAAAACATAATCTATGTATTTTCCTCAATGGTTCCAAATTTTCTAATTTTGTTAATCTTGAATGATTGAAATCTAATTCCTGAAACATTAACGAAAGTATAAACATACAGGAATCGTACTGTAAGCTTTCTAACTGTTATTAACGAAGTTAGCAGTGAAAGAACAATTAAAAACGAACTTCACTATCAGGATCTATGATAAGGATCTTCTCCGCTTCTTCATTCTCGTCATTCTCATTCTCACCGTCGATTTCGGCTGAACCTTCGCTTTTATTATCCTCTAAAAACACAATAATATTTTTATCAATAACCATGGTCATTGATTGGTTTTACTGACGATTCTGCTGCAATAAACAATTGTTATACCATTGTTTGCCATTATTCAAGATGTAATTATTAACTTCTGCGGTCTAATTAATTTGTTTAGTTTAAAACTGCGTGCACGATTAATTACGCTGCTTCATAAAGGTCCAGCATCAAATACAAATCAAACTATTATAACATTAAATCGAATGATTTGAAATCGTATAAGCTTTACACTATAATAGGTTCCACACCATCAAATACAGTTGTGTGTTATATCACGTAAATGATAATTATATCTTACGCACAAAAGTTTTGGTCTGTTCATAATTCTTACACGTTTTCCAATGATTAGTGATAATTTGATTCGTGACTGTTTCAATCGATTTATTTAAATAAAATCGCAAGGGTACTAATAACAATAAGCTGAAATCGTTTTTATTTAATTTTTTCTTGTAATTTATGGCTTTTTGAGAACAGTAATTTCAAATTACCGTAAAAATGTTATGAAACATTTCCAATAAAGAAGCAATAAAGGGTGCTCGTTTTTGAAAATCTATTTACACATTTCGCAGATTGCAAAGCTGTCAGGAGCAATCCATTTGTATTAAAAATCTTCAGATATCAAATCATGCAAAAATATTTTGGATAAAAAATAAGAAAACTTAAGAAAGAGAATGAAAGAGCTTAGAGAACACTCGTGTCTGAATTCTAGAAAGAAATCTAGGGGAACATCAAGTAACTACAGAAACATCAAAGTAAATTTAATATCTTCATTTCGATAGGAATACTAATATTCATTTAAATATCGACATCGACTGGAACGTAATAAATATAAATTTATATAAAATACAATAGTTGGTCCGAAATGGAGAAAAAAAATATATATATATATGAGACAGTACAGGGCCGTATTTTATTAATGAGTATTCCCTTTTATGTATCATTATCGCGTCCGTGACTTTGATCAGTAGCTAGTCTAGTGAAGATGGCCGAAAACAATGGCAGTGGTCATTGAGTTAACTTTGCGTTCCCCTGGTACTTGTCAACAAAGAAGTTATCTTTAATTAAAAAGTAACTGAACCACATAACATAGTCACACGTAAGTCCGATTTCCATTTCTAGTTCCTCGTTTCTTCTGAAATTTTAACCTTTTTTCGTTTAGCACCATGATTGTCTAACTTGCTACGAGGAATAGCAATTGTGCTTTTCGTCTTTTCTTACTGTCACCTCGTCTAATGCGGTGGAAATCCTTCCTGAGATTTTCATCGGAAAATCCTTCGAGAATTTTCATTACACATTCACGCGTTTTTGCGAACATTTTATCTTTTAAACGTTTACGCATTTACACGTTTCATTCGCAGTACTTTTAAAACTGTCCCGCAGGAATCTCCATTCAACTTCCTTCGGAAGTTGATTATCTTTTTCAATGAAAATTGATACATCCTTTATAGAACGTATCTCCACTCTTATCATATATCGTTTCGGTGAAGTAGTATCAGTAATATACGATTTTACATTGTATTGTTTTATTTATTTTTAAGGAAAAAAACTTGCAGCTTTATTTTATAATTTATATTTGTTTATTTCGTGCTTTTTATATGTTCGAACATATAATATGAATGATAAATTGCTGAACAATGAAAAATTTTTAAAATTCAAAATTACAGATCTAAGATTTAAATTTAAAATTGAGAAGTATTTTAATTTATACAATACTTGATGAAATTATAATGATTTAATATTTATTAAATTTTCTTATAATTAATAATATAATGGCAATATTTTATTGACTAATTGATAATTGTTTTTTAATTTTTTAATAGTATGAGATATTTTAAATATTTTACTTTTCAATACTTGGATTAAAGAAAACTAGTTTCCATAAAAAAATGAGATCTTTATCTATCAAAAATTATTTCCTAAATTGTGCAATGAAACATTATGCGAAATAACAAATATAGTGAAGTAATAAATGTAATATTTTATCTACATAGACTAAAGCAAAAATGTAATATTTTAACTATATAGAATAAAGCAAAAATTAGTATCGTTTTATCTATTTTAGGTATATATTATGGCAACTGCTATTCAAAAGAATGGCATGAAACCTTTAACAAACACGTCAATAAACCATGTAGAGGATGTAAAGAATTTAGATAATACTGACATATGTAAAGAGAAAGATGAAAGAATATTTGATGGACAAATCCAACCTTACATGGAGTCCCATGAACAAGAACCTCGTGAATTGGATATCGTTATCAATAATGTAGTTTGCAGTTTCAGTGTTAGATGTCATTTAAATTTACGAGAAATTGCACTAAATGGATCTAATGTGGAATATAGAAGAGAAAATGGGGTATGCAGTGTTATTTTAAAGCAGTATGGTTTTTTAATTTGCAGTAAATCAAATATAAATTCATATGTAATACATTTAATTAAGATGTAAGCTTAATATATTTTTAATTCCTGTTTAATGTTTGTATATACATGAAAAAATTTAAATTATTATACTTTAATTTAATAAGATATATATTATTCAATAAAATTATCAGATCAAGAATATTAATAATTAAAATAATAAAAATAAGTGCAGTGTCAATGAGAATAAAGATACAAAGTTGTTTATTAGAAATACTTCATATTAAATAATTAATTATAATTAATTTTATTAAAAAGGCACAATCCTTATTATTGTAATATAGGTTTTAAGTTTTTAATGGTTTTAAATAGTAATTTATATTTATAAAGAATGATTTTGGTATATTTTATGCGTAGATGATAACTATGAAATTAAGGAGACCATATACTACTGCTTCTATATGGTCTTCTGGTAAAGTAACATGTACTGGTGCAACTAGTGAAGGCCAAGCAAAAATCGCAGCTCGCCGCTTTGCACGTTCACTTCAGAAATTGGGATTTAAAGTACGATTTAATAATTATAGAGTAGTCAATGTATTAGGTACATGCTGTATGCCATTTGCAATCAAGATAACATCATTCTCATCGTGTCATAAAGAAAATGCAGAGTAAGTATATTTATGTATATGTTAAGACATAAAAAATGTATATAGCTTATTTATTTATTGTAGCTTATTTCATAGAAATATGTGAAAGATCTTGTGTATTATTTTCATTCAAAAATATTTATGTATCTATTTTATTTAGTTATGAACCAGAATTACATCCTGGTGTCACATATAAACTAAAAGAACCAAAAGCTACATTAAAAATATTTTCTACTGGAAGCGTTACTGTAACAGGTTTGTTTTGTTAATGCAGTAAAATTTATCTTAATTCGTATTTTCTGCTTTCACGAATACAATACCTTGTCAATACAATGTCGCTTATGCAATACTGTGAATGAAATATTTAAAATATTTTTTAGAAAGTTTTTTAGAAACAGTTGTGAGACATGGATGAATGACATTCAATTACAAACAATTGAACGCATTCGTAGCTTGATGTAGACATTGTGTTGAGATATTTTGTTCATGAAAGTTAAAATAAAGAATATAGGAAAATATATTTTTATTTATTTTATTTTTTAATCATTGCGTTCATTGAATACATGGAAATTGCAGCTCCCAATGTTGCTGCTGTTCAAGCTGCGATTGAATATATTTATCCACTAGTCTACGAATTTCGTAAAGAAAGAACAGCAGAGGATGAACTTGCCTTAACAACAAAGAAGCGTAGAATGAGGTTAAGTAAAAGAAGTCGTGATGAGTTCCTACATGATCCAGATTATATATATGATACCATGTTCACTGACGAGGAGGAAGAAGAAGAGGAAGAAGAGGAAGAGGGTGAGAGTGATGCCAGCTGGGACTGAGCTATTTATTTTGTTCCTCTGTTAATTGTGACACTGTTATACTTACATCTTGTTTTTAAAGGAAAAGAAAAAAAGTAAATACATACTACATTGTGTACAAAAGTGTTATCTAAAGAGTGAAGTGAAACATTCAATTTCCTTTAGTGAAAGGACAATGTGTAAGTGCTAAAGACAAATATGAACATGCAAGTGCTTTAATTATGATTAAACTAATATTGAATCAATTGAACTGAATTTCATCGTTAAAATAATATCATAATTTCTTTCATTAATGATATATTCATTTTTATATATACTGACATAAATACATTCATATATGTATATGAAAATATATGTATACATATATACATACATGTATCTATGTACGTATAAATAGATATGAAAACAATGTATGCATATTCATTGTGTTTAGGAAACAATATCTCAACATTTGTCCGATGTTCTACATCTTTTCCTCTCATTCTTGTTTTTCTGATAAAATTTGCTATAGCTAACTAATTAAGAATAATTCTGAAAAGAACTTGTTCGTAATCATGTTCTTTTGTAATTTAAATATTGAATCATTTATTTAGTTTTTTATTATGTAATGATAGATTATGTACTGAATTTTTGTTACTGATGAAAAATGTGTACATTTTTGCTGTCTTTTATTTTACTTCTTTCTACTTATAGATATAATCTACTTTTGCTTAATTAACATACTGTGCCAAAGATGGATGTCTAAAATTTAAGATAAAGTAATCAAAGAACATCTAAGAAATTAAGAATTTTGTTTATCACAATTTACTTTTCTGCAATGATATATTATATTATGTATGAGGGTATTTCTGAAAAATTCTTTATAGTAAATAACAGAGAGTTGTATATGACAAATCTTTTCGTTTCATTTCGAAAATATGTTAACAAAAATACACTGCTAAATAAGCTAAAAAAGTTATGAATCAAGAAAAATTTATTTAAATGTCTCTTTTGTTAAATATGAAATATAAATCTAAATGACTGGCTGTTTTAGCAGCTGCAATAATAAATGTAAAATGGTTATCATTTTTATCTATTAAGCATATAAAATTTACATAGGCCTGATTGCAGTGTTCTAGGATTTGACTTTATTATTTCTATTTGTATCATTTGTACAGATCAGTTTCAAGCTCGAATATTTAAAATAACTTGTCAGTTAAATCTCTCATTTTTATTTATATACTTGAAAAAATTAAACATAAACTGTTAATATTAGGGAATTGCTTAATTTTATTTAATCATAACAAAAATTTAAAGAATAGAATACTAACATATTGCTTATTATTTGTAATATCAATTATCCATATAAGATCTTATTTATTTATTTATCACTTGCAGTATCCTTACGACAATAAGTGCATTTGAATTATGTCATCATCATCTAATTCATATATCATAGTTTGAGGAGCAATAAACATTATGTTTGCACATTACGAAGAATATTCAACAGTTCAAATATAATATATTTTAAATACAAGAAGCTTGACTGACACAAAGTTATTTTTAAGTTCTATTTGATAATAAAAATTCGGAGTATATAACATACAGATTTTGTATAAGTGTATAGTGTAATTTAAAGAAAACAAAAGCATTCTTTGACTACCTGTTTATTGTTTAAAAGCAGTAGTGTGGGCTTTAAATAAGACGTATTGTAAATAAATCATGTTATTTAGATATGCTGATATGCAATCAGTTGTATACTTTCTGAATATTACGAAACAAAATGTACATCTTGTTACATACATTCTTAATAATCCTTTTTCATATCATAAGTATGCATGAATGAAAAAAATATTGGCAATGCTTTTCAATACTATTATAATGAATATCAATCTGTACCTTGTGCCATACAAAATGCTATTCGTACACTAAGCTTAATTGAATTCTAATAATTTATCATGATTTATTAACTGTATATGAAACAAGTTCTTTTACAAAATGCTATAGTCACTGCCTTAGTATATCCTATACAAAAATTAAGAAACTGAATTTAATTAAAGCATTATATGATAGCAATGAAGCATTCTAATTTTTACATTGTTCACCAAATACATGCAATATAATCATGTGAATGAAGAATTATTATTTTAAGAATGGCAATAATGTCAGAACCATGTGTAATTTATAACTTCATTTAAATTAATGCGTACAATACTTTACATGATTCTTTTCTTTCTTTCATAAAGTTAAACAACGTACAATATATAAAAATATTATACACTTTTGTAATTATTTTAGACGCGCATTAAAATATAAGACGAAGTATTAATAATTTCAAGCGTTTTACAGGAATGTTATTTTAATCAAATTTTCAAAAATTTTTATTTAGCATTTATAAATACAGATCTTTTTCATTATAATGTAATATCATTCTTATTTGGAGTCCTTCATTTATATCCTTTGACTAACATATATTAAATAATTTTCAAATTTTTAAAAAATAAATAAAAAAATGTATTTTGAAGTTAGAATTAAAATTAAATTAAGAATCATAAAAAATAAATAGTAAAACTTCATCTTCTATGAATGATACTAACATTAAAATGATTATAAGTCCATAGGTTTAATTTATTTTAAATAAAATATATATTCTTATTTATTATAAAATTATAAAAATACAATTAATGGATATAGAATGAATATAGAATTTCTATGTTTAATCATCTAAATATAAAGGTTTCTGACATTGTTCCATAAATATTACATTGAAATTTGGAATATTAGTAATTGTTTAAGAAAATCTAACAGTAGTCATTTTAGAATTATGTAAAAAAAGAAGAAAAGATGAAAAATTTGTGTGGTATTAAATATTTATATAATCATTATATATAAATTAGTGTAACAAATTTCTCGAATGAAATATTTTGTCCTACATATATTGCATCATGAAAACTATGCATAGTGATAATATTCAAAGCAGTGAATTACATTTTCAATTATAAATATTATGATTGAGTGCAAAGTACAGATACAATATTTATATGGATTAAAAGGTAATGTAATTATGATTAGTAATCATATCATTTTCAAATAGCAAACTATTTTTTTTTTTTTTTAATATGATTGTTAATGTCATAAAGAAAATTGTTCTGTTACAATTATTATTATATTTTACATTTTTCTAAATTCTATATGTTACTAATATCTTCTAAAACATATTTAAAAAGTGTTCGTCAATGAAATTTTATTCAAATTCAACTTAATGTCAACATGGGACTGCAATGATGTAATTAATATTATATTTAATTTAAATTAGTTTTTAAATATATAACCATGCTTTATTTCAATTAAATAAATGACTGCCAATCTATTGGAGACTATAAGAGAATTACTATTTCAATATTTTCATTCAAACAAACACAACTATTTTAATGATTTTTCCAAATTCATGACAAGATATTACTTGTTATTGTACGATAAAATTTTTTAATAATAATTTAAATTTATTTGTTATGTTTATAAGAAAATATTAGATTCTGTATTCAGGTCAGTCGATTCAGTATCAAGCATTGAGAACATTACTATAAATGTTTCTATTTCTACCAATATCTTGCATATTTTTAATATCAAATATTATTTTACATTGGACGTATTATTGCCTGAACAAATTAGCTAAAATTGACATTCTGTAATTATTATAATACAAAAGCAGAAGTTTCTGTTCACTAATACCACGATAAATGTGCACTTTTACCAAAGTCTTTAAATTTAATTTACATTATTATTTTCACATTCCAAGTCTCTTGATAATGTTATTTTCTAGTCTGAAAATATATGTACACCAAAGACACTTTACAAAAGCTTATTAAGATTTAAAGTAGTATAAGTAATATAAATGTATTGCTCAAGATTGATAAAATTTAACTATACTATTCATGGTTATTGATGAAAATATATAATACCTTTTGAGATATTTGCAAATCACATTGTATGCCATCATGAGAAAAAGAAAGAATTTATTGAAAATTTTGGTAGAGGTGAACATTCTGTGTCAATTCTATGGTATAATTATAAAACATTTCTAAATATAAATGGCAAAGTATAATTTTCTACTGTAATACTTTATTAATCACTATTTTTATAAATATAAATAACTAGATGAATGAATATATATCTAGTTATTATATTGATTTCTAAATATAGTTTATTTGCACTTTACTTTGAGACGTTTGTAGTACAAATATTATGATAATAAACAAAGTTTTATAATTTTGATTTATCCAGTAAAATTAGGGATAATTTACAATATATTATTATTGTTGATAGAAGTATCAAATTCTTGATGTTACCTTGTTCTAAATTGTTGTTATTAATATGATGATGCACTATTGCATAATTGTCTCAATTTATAGCAAAGAAAATGAAAATGTAGAAAAATAAGCTAATATAGTATTTTATCAATTGAATGATAATTGTACACATCATTGATGTGTATATACTTGATATTTATAACAAATCTTTTACTTATTTAATTCAATATAATTGTTCGTATCATACATTTTCTTTATTCATTCCTCTGTATAGCACGATTATTGAATATAAACAGTTATCATTAAAAAGTATACTTTTAGGAAAATCAATCTACAGTCAAAAAATATAATTTAGTTATAATTTAAATTATATTTTTTTTTACAAAATTGTTGAAATTTAATTTACTTACGGATAATTTGTGTATCGATCTATCACTTTAACATTATTCGTAGTAGTAGTACACACACACACACACACATATATATATATTGCTTTAAAAAATGTAGCTATAAAGTATGTTTAGTCTATAGAATGATATCACATTAATAGTATGGCCTCTTCTAGAATATGTATTCAGGATACTTTCAATAAAACATAAATTTTAAAAGATGTTCACATTTACTTTCAATGAAATTTTCTGCATGATATATTATTGAATCATTATTTTCATGTAAACGCAACAGTAATTTTCAATTTACTGTAATGTGTACATTAAATATTAATGTATAAGTAAGATAAGCTAAAAAATATGTAAAAAAAATTATATAGTTTATAAACTATGAACCCAAGGCACACACGATAATTTATATGTAACTTTTTATTAGGTAGACACATATTAAAGACTGTTAAATGAACTGTAAATGAAAATTTTTATGTAAATCAAAGAAATAAAAGGCAATGATTAATTTAATCGAGTAATTCTACATATATTTGTTATTGTATAAAATGTATAACTAAAAACATTTATTACATCTTAAAAATAATTTAAAGTCACAGTCATACTTAAAAGAAAATCTTTCGAAACAATATACATACTTTCTCATACCTAATTTTATCCTTATATTTAATTTCGAAATGTATCGAGAAATTCACTTATGATTGGGTAATAATACAATGCTACACTCGTAGCAGCCTGTAAAAATTTTATTGTCATTAAAACAACTTTTTATTATTTAGAACTTATTATCAAATGTTAAAAAGATAATCTTGCTCTATTGCCTATATTAAAAATAATTACAAATATTAAACGTAACTACGTGTTATTTTTTACCTCTCTCGTGTCGATACTTAGTCCTGCTTTGTTCAATATACATTTATAAGGTAAGATGGCATAATGATTACTGATATTTAAAAGGCAATTTAAATTGCAGTGTTCCAAGTCTTCTATCACTCTTATTGGAATATTTCTTAAAAAGTATGTATTACTGCGTTTTTTAAATAGCTGAAAAATATTTAAAAATTCGAGTTTAATGTTAAAAAAATCAACTGATTTTGTTACATATACATACCTTGTCATACCATAATGCTTCAACGATGTCTTGAACATAAATAGATAGAATGTTAAATTTTTTCTTATATAACTTTTGTATTTTATAATTTTTTAATAACGAACTCCTACTACGATACCTATGAAGAAATATTGAAATCAAAAAAGTAATTTATAAATATAAATAAATTTGTAAGATAAATACCTTAATAATAATTTGCATATTTTTGATAAAATCACACAATGTTTTGTTGCGAAAGCTCCATAAATTACTGCAGGTGGTGCCAATGTGAAAGACATTATACTGCTCTGGTTTTCCAATATACAAATCTAAATATTTTGGATAAAAATACGAGAATAAATTATTAATATTTAATTATTATTTATGTTGATTACGTAACTATTATTTACTTTTATTATTTCTTACCTCTTCATAGAATGATATCGCTTCTGCAAGTAATAAAATATCATAGGAATGTATGTTTAAGCCAGACACAATAAGGTTTTTCGAGATTTCGGTAAGAACGGGAATAGCTTCTTCTAAGCTATCCATTGCACCTTGTCCTAAAAACGGTGCACGTATTTTATGGTTGTATTCTTTACATGCTTGACTAACAAACTGCAAAGGAATGTTATTTTAAAAAACGGTCCTTAACTATTATGCTTTATCAATATCTACATTGCTCTTAACATTTATGTTATTTTTGATATTGATCTACTTGCAATAAAAATAATGCATGCAATAAAAAGAGTAACTATTAACTGAGTTAATATAAAATAATAAAGTAATTGGTTTAACTTACCAAATTTACGATTAACATTTTCAATGTTTTAATGATTTCACACTTTACGCTTAAGGTCGATTCATAAAACATATTTTGTACATGAACTAATATGTTTTCCTGTAAATCTGAATAAATTTTATTTTAATATAAGATTATCAAGAGATTACATATATCTAGAGAAATAGCGGAAAATATATTTCCTTTCTAACTTTTCGTTCTTTTAGATGAAATTAAATTAAATTTAAATTGAACTAAATTTTTATCTATTAGAAGAATGTTTATAGATATAATAGTCTCTTAAATTTTATTTAAAAAAATTTAACAATATTTCAGTAGAATGTATTCTTGTATTTAAAAACATTCATTCATCTACGTAGTTACCAAAAATAAATCATGTATACTAATCTCTGTAAGAATAATACTTATATCAATTTATATATAACTCGTGTACTACGGATAAAATTTGATTCACTTGAATAAAGATATTTATAGAAAATCTCATAATAAATACGTTTAAATATACCAGTAATGGTCATCGAAGTCATCCACTGTAATAAAGCTAATAGCTTCGTTTGATATTCTCCAGTATTAAAATACAGATATTCATCGAGGAAACGATTAACGACAAGTACATCTTGTTGCATGTATCGTGAAAATTCTATAGTTACATCAAGCAACTTATTAATTTCTTCCATTGAAAATTTTTCATTTTCCAACATAAATGCTAAAATCGAAGAAACATTAAACGTTTTTTAATTAAAATGTATTTTTCTAAGAAGTCGTTATACTAATTATATTATGGACATGAAATATACCTCTTACTAACGTATTATAGAGATTATAGGAGAATCTACTCTGATATTGGAAGTCAGCAAATGTAAGAAGATGATATCCAGCGGTGTTAGACAACAGAGATACGGCATTACACGGTAATTCCACATTTAAATTTAATTTTCCTAATTCTTCTACGCTGAAATATATTTTAATATATAAGGAATATCAATAAACGCTATAGAACAATGAAGTTGCTATTTACCTAGAAATGTCGAAAATAGATTTTGTATCTTTCTTTTTAAAGATATTAGAACCAGTTTGAAAATATCCTACAGATGGTAACAAAGGTGCTATAATCTTCTTTGTTTTCATAAACTATCAAAATCAGAAGAGAAATATATAAGTATTTCACGTTTCAATAAATCTTATGATTATCAAATCCTTACTTCAAGTATATTCCAGTTAAAATATTCCGGATGTAAATCCTGTGTTTGCCGAATTTCCGAACGATTTTTCGCGTCTTGAAGCATTAATCGCAAAACTTCAGGTATTGGTTTCCATACACTTTCTGTATTTATAGACTGAATTTTTTCAGGGACTAATTCAGGCTTATATGACTTAAACAATCTAAATTATTATTATTCGAATTAATATTTATTAATATTCGAATTAGTATTAATATTTATATTAATCGAATTAATATTACATTTTTCAAGTAAAGTATTTAAAATCACGATTACTTACGACAATAAAACAATAATATGTTTTCGGGGTTTTGAATATCTCTGATGAAGATTTAATAATCTAGATACATCTCTGCGAGTTACATCTTCTGGTTTTGTTAATACGTAAATAATACGTGCTACATGTCTTTCCTATAATGAAAATAATAAGAAAATATTAGAACGGCGTAGTTACATTGTGCTGATCACCAAAATTTCTGAGTATAATTACAATATTCAACAGAATATTTACCAGTTTTTCTTTCTTCAGCATTATATAAAAAAAGACACTATAATATATATTTATAACTTTTTTGTCTACTAATTGATGATCCAATATGCCTGAAATATGCATATAATGTTAATTTCTATCTTATATATATTTTTATTACATTTTTATGTAATAAAAAAAAGAAGGCAATATTACCAACTGTCCATTGTATGATAATAGTGGATACAGTAATAGGTAATTCATTTATCGATGCCAAGCACCAAGAAATAAGAGACTTTACTGTATGTCCACTTATCTTGTATCTCGGAACTAAACACTTTGCTAAGGATACTAATTTAGTAGCACCTATTAAAATATATTCTTTAATTCAAGATTTTAATAAGATGTAATCATTTGTTTCTTATAATGTTTGTACACTCACCTAATTCTGTATTTATAATAGTATCTGCCAATAGATCAATATCTTCATCTATCAATCCTTTGGTTGCAGCATAATTTTGTAATATACCAATTGATTCTTCAAATGTAGAATAATCTTTCTTCTTTGCTACAAGAGAAAGAACAAATAAACTGTAGTTGTCAAAAGAATTGAAATTCGAAGAACATCTTTCTCTTTTTCTGAGGAAAATAAATACAATACATATATGTATATGTATGTAGTGTATTTAGTGAATAATGAAAATATTTACATACCTCTTAAATCATGTAAAAACTTTAAAAAAGTATCTTTTTCTTCATCTACCATTTTACAACTGAATTAATATTTGGAATAAAAGGAGCGTAATTCTTTCTTTTGAATTATATTTAAAAATTTAGTTTTTAATTATACAAATCATTATCATTATTTTTTTCGACGGCATTTTCTTTTTCAAAAGTGAGACGTTTAAACCAGGTAGTTTTTTTTATATATAATAACCTAAATATCATAACAATCTAAAGTATCCACTTTTTACACGTTTTTAACAAATTTTCATGTTAAATTATTTAAATAGTTAACAAAAAAACCTAACGTTAATAAAAAAATTTTAAAATAAATTGTTGTACACAATATATAGATGAAATAAAGACACCCGGGACAGCCCGGAAATAGTCTCCAGCATTCTTATGTACATATATTGAATATTATACTGAATCTATTCAAAACAACCAATCAAAACCAGCATTTACATATTTTGTTAACCGATGTCATGGCAACGCGTCAAAATGGCTGCCATCGAGATATTTTCAAGTCCTATCAATTATAAATACAAAAGTAAAATATGTTCCTTAAACTTTCTCGCAGTATTATTTTTCATCCTTTTATCATTGATTTCACCGCTTTTCATTATTTCTAATACAGGAGGTATATATCTTTTAACTTTCTATTTCTCGCAAATGTCATATCAGTATACTGTGCCACAACTATAAATATATACTATATTACTATAAGTATTGTAATTGTCAATTTTTTACCATTTTATATTGTTATTACGATTAATGTGATTTTCAGGTTATTCGTTGAAAAATCACGTACTCATGGAAAAGCCTGGTGTATCGTTTAATTACAAATATTTATTGTTAGCAAATAAAGATTACAATATTGATCCTGTTGTATGTTCAACTTTTAAAACGTACAAGGATAATGAAATTAAAGATGACTGTATATTGATAAAGGTTCTATCATTACGATGCCAAAAAATAATACTTAGTATATTAACATTTGTAAATTGTTATCATCATGTTACATATACATATCTCGTGTAAGAGTTAATGTTGTAAGATTTTAGGTTCGTGAAATAGATACAAATATTGATGGTAAAAAGGATATTTTAAAATTTGAAGCGCATTTTTATAGCGATCAAGCTATAAAGTCTTTTAAACTTTTACTTTTTTTCAATTTTCAACTAAAGGTAACATTCTATCGTTACTATACCTTTTTTATTTTATTTTATTATTGAATCTAATTTCATTATTAATTTATTGCAGCAATTATTTAAAACAACAGTAGAATCTATTGCCTATCTCACTCATACATTAAACGAAGAGGTCCAGAAGGTGCACTTCTATGGAGATTTGATATTGCAACAAAAAAGTCTTCTCACTAGTGAAGGTTTATACGAGTCATACAATCGTAGTATAGAAGTTGCTGATTATTCAATAGATGAACTGCTTATGCAAAATTTTAACAGAAAATGTTGGTACTAATTTTCAATATCTTATATTATGTATCTCCTGTGTTATTTTGTATTAAGAACATGATAAAATTGTAAAATTTTATTTCAGTCGTAGCTAAAATAACTAACAAATATGTAATGGAAGAGGCTGGTTATACAAATGACAATGTAATAATCATTCAAGCAGAACTAGTTTATAGGGATCATTTAATTTATTATCAACCGAGTGTTTGGGAAGAATTGAAATGGATATGGATTCAATATTTATCTTGTTTTCTTGTACTTGCCTATATAGCTAAGCATGTTTTAATTTTCTTGTTTTCAAATCGATATTTGAATTGTTACATTGTAACACCATGGAAGAATAAATAGTATTTTTATTAAATTCATTCTGAATTATGCTCTCCTATCATCTGTTAGATTTTCCCATTTATGTTCTTACTGTATGTCTGATAACTTAAAAAGTAAATTATAACAAGTTATTATATATTTTCTTGTGCTAGTATTAATATTTAAAATTCTTTGAAATATTAGATGATGATTATTATTATCGGTACATGCTAAATTATATTGTAGACCTTAGACAAGTTTTTTAATTTGTATACCGTTGTTATGATATGCTAAAAGGTTGCCCAGTCAATCTATCTATCTCTACGCAATTTATAACATCTGGCAATATCATATTATATTCATTCATTTTTAACAGGGATTCTTGAAAAAGAAAATATTAATTTTATCTTAATTTTAATTCCTTATTTTTTGAAACTAATCTAATCTAAAGCTAACCTATAAAGTACACTTATTGCAAACAATAACGCCAATGCAAGTGAAAAAAATACACACATCTTTTGTGATTAAAATTAATCATCGACGTTTTTTCTGATAGTTTATTTGGGATATCTGCAGCAATGCAAACTTGATTTCGAACATATATATAAATTGTTATTATACTAAATAATAATTGCTATTAATAATTGATAGTAATGATTTTTTAAATCATACAAGATACTAGTATATAATAATATATAATGGAAAGATACCAATATTAATGAATAAATGAATAATAATAATGAAAACATAATAATAAAATAAAATTTCCTTCAATGCGACAACGTAATCAAATTTACCAACATAACTTCGAATAGCAATTAAAACAATCGGAAACATATACACATACAAGGTAATTTAATTGCTTTTCCATATTTTTTTCGCTAACGTTATTTCTGACGTACAAATGAAATTGTATAATTATGATTCACAGGTTATTAATTAAACTTTTGCCAATTTCTAACAAAGTACTAAAATATATGTATATACATATGTATTTAATCTGCATGTATCGATGTATTATATGTAATGCCGATGGTGACGTACCATTAATACTAAGTTTCTCATAAAATTTCGAAAAAAGAAAAAAAAAAAAAAAGAGAGGAAAATACGAATGTTCGCATCGTAATGAAACGTTGACGTTGAACAGGTTAAGACGGCCCTGGCCAATACAGCTAGCGATTAGCAACCCTTCCGAACTACGCGCCCGGCCAGTTCAACCAAGGGTGGAGACTGCGCCGTGTTCTGTCGCGATCGTAGTGTCCTTTGTGCATCGTGCTCTTGAGCAAGAGCAAACATTCTTCTCCGAATTATTCGCGTATTGCGGGCGTGTTGGTGGCCGACTTAACATGATTCGCAAACGATCGACTGCAACCACACGGAATTGTCTCTGATCGCAAAGGGAGGAAAGGGTGAGTGGTGCAATTGAGCGAATACAGTTCACGTTGACGCAAACTGCTGCGGATGCTGAACCTCGCACCAGAACCTTTTTTCCGCACTTTTCACTCTCACAGATGAACCTCTTGCGTTCCCTCTGTTCTATTTCTTTTTCACTGTGTGTCACAAATTTCGATTGAAGGAGACGCATTTTAATTGAAATTTAGGAAAGCTTGTTTGCATTTTTTTTAAAGGAGAATGGGGCGTGACGTTACGAAATGAATTGTATACAGTATATCTCGTTTACAAGTTATTGGATAGTTGGTGGTTGACCGAGGACGGGCTTGTGTATTGTAAAATCAGACGAAGATTTGCTAGTTGATGTTTTAAAAAAATGGTATTGTATCATTATAATAATTCGTTTATTTATGTAACATAATAATTATTTATATATAAACGGATATGAAATATCCATTCGTTTATTCGTTCGTATCGCAAAGATGTGATTTTCTCTTTTCTTTAAGATGTTGCCAAAAGCTTAGCTTAATTGTATTTCACTAAAAATTGGTAGACTTGTGTATATGTACATAATTTTAGTTAATTTGATAGCTTGTACGTATGTAATTAAAAAAAAGAAAGAGCGTATCTTTTATGTACATCATTTATGTACACAGTATGTATTTTGTTGAAAAGTTCAATGACTTATCGATCAAAATATGTATATATGTAGTTAACGAAGATCATGTATTTTAGCAGTTTCAAACATAACGAACAATTTCATTTGAAAATATTCATACAATTACAATAAACTTTATAACAAAATATTAATCGCTTAGTGTACTATACTTGATATACTATGCTATAATTATAATATTCGATGAAAGAAAACATTAATATTAATATTGTTAAAAACTCGTTCGAAATTTTAATTCTTGCTGAAATGTTTAGTAAATTATGAAACTTAATTTGAAATTAATTTGAAAATTTTTAATGAACAGCGTATTGAGAAGATTGGAAGAACCATGTCTACGAGATCGAAGGAGAAGGTGGTAGCTGCCTTTCGGAAATTCTTTCGATCCTCGGAGAAGATATCGGAACAAGATGGAGCTGGCAGTTCGACCAGTTCTCCCTCGAGAAGGCTTCTAAGTAGACATCATCGTCCGGATGCGGTTACTCCAACTGATGCCTCCTCGTTGTCTGATAACCCCAGTGCTAGCAACTCTAATCATGGAAATTGTTTTTTTAAGTCAAAAAAGTCTGCTGGTAATCCAACGCAGGTGCATATCTTGTTTACTACTGTATCCATCTATCATATCTTGTTTAAGTACCTAATATTAGATATCTAATTCATTATAACGATCGTTGCTGATGGAATTGCAGAAGCTTCGTGTTACACGAAGCCTCTGGCAATTCCATTATGTTTTATATACGTCATGTACAAAGTTCATGAATTAAAAATAAATCACATAACATCCTTGTTACTTGTGCCTTAGAAACGACAGTGAATTCTTTATGTACCGTGAAATTAATTTGTCTCGTTACTTTTTATAATTCCTTGTCTTTACTGGAATCGAAAAACGATAAATGATAAGGAAATAGCAGATGCTCGATATTTATATTGCAAGTTTGATAAATATTATTTTAGGGAACAGTTGCGATGCCAGATAAAAGAGTCCGTCTGCGTCGTTTAATGAAGGAATTGAGCGAAATTCAAAGGACGCAACATCGGCTCGAATCAACCTTCACCGCGGAGCTGGTGAACGACAATTTATTCGAGTGGCACGTGAGACTACACAAAATCGATCCAGAGAGTGAACTAGCTGCCGACATGAGAGAGCTTAACATACCTTACATACTTCTGCACGTGGTGTTTCCGGAGAATTTCCCGTTCGCGCCACCTTTCATGCGCGTTATTTCGCCAAGAATCGAAAAAGGTTTTGTTATGGAAGGCGGCGCAATCTGTATGGAGCTTCTCACGCCTAGAGGATGGGCCAGTGCATACACGATCGAGGCTGTCATCACGCAGTTTGCAGCCAGTATTGTCAAAGGCCAGGTGAAATATTTCCTTACGTTTTTCTTTTTTTCACGATTCTTCAATCGTTTGGAAACCTGAAAGAATTTTAACGGTTCATAAAAAATATGCTTAATTAGGTATTAATATTATACTTATAACAAATATTTCTAAAATTATTTTTCAGGGCCGTGTAGCAAGAAAACCAAAAACCAACAAAGAATTCAATAGACGTTCTGCCGAAGAATCCTTCAGAAGTTTAGTAAAAACGCATGAGAAGTATGGTTGGGTCACACCCCCGCTCGCAGAGGGATAACTCTCCAAGCTGGTTGAAAAACAAAGGACTTTATTGTTATTTGAGATGTTGCGCTCTGCAGACTTCAAATGTGATTTTGGTCGGTATAATTTCTTCTCCAGGCAACACTGTAACTGCATTACAATTGCATTAAACGATGCTTTTGTAAATAATAAATAATACTTGGGAAAGGAAGAAAGAAATCAAGGATCAGTTGGAATAATAATAATAATAATAATAATAATAATAATAATAATAATAATAATAAGAAGAAGAAGAAGAAGAAGAAAAAGAAGAAAACTCGAGATATAATTATAATAACATTAATAGTATATTTTGCAATTCCATAATGAATGGATTCTCATAAAATTGATATGATACGAACATAATGACAAATATTTTATAACTCTTACGTAGTTTAAACATATCTGTAAATTCCTTTCTCAATTTGTTATCAAAAAATGTCTTTCATCCAACGAGTTCGTTCTATTAATACTATAGCGACCGATTATTTTTAAGAGCAACGTTCAGCACGAACGTTGCCGCTCATTTAGTATTAAAATATAAGGATAAGAATTAGTAGTGTAAAAAAAAGAGCTTTTATTACAACAAATAATCGAGTAATTTATGTTATTACATAAAGCCAACGTTAAATAAGATTGATAAATGTGAAAGATTTAAAAATTAATACATTAATATAATATTTGTAATAATAACAACATTTTTAAGCACAGAAATTAAAATGTAGTCTGTTGATTTGTTATTTCGATTTTTATTTTATTTGATGTATAATGCTACAAACATATGCATCTTACAATACAATTTCCAACATTTTGAAGTCGAGATTATTCTATGTACGTATATAGATACATTCTGTAATAATTGTAAATCAATGGAAATATATATACATGTATATTGTTGTATTTACTTAACGTTGTCTCTATTATCAACTATGAAAAAACGAAAAGTTATCCAGCCAAAATGTTGTATACAGTTTGCTATTTAATTAATTATTACTTACTAGCATTATTTACTTAGCATTACAAATAGAAAATAATTAAATTTAATAAAAAAATTTGTTATATTAATATATTGTTTATTATATTACATTATCGTAATATTTATCACTTACACATTTGTTATTCTTCTCATTCAGCACGTTTTATTTTCTATTTCTTCATACGTGCAATAAATGCAAAATATTAAGTTTTCATTGTACAGAAGCAAATTCATTAATTCATCCATAATACAACATTATGATTTACTAAAATCCATTTACTTATTGATGATTTATATTAAATCTGACCAGTTTAAATCATTTAATGAATTATCTGCAAGAATTTTCAATTTATACATTAGCATTGAACAGAGTATGTAATACTATTTGAAGAATCTTATACAGCAGAATTCTTAAATCTACATAAACGAGGTATTTTTTCTTATCATCATTAAATTCTTATTTATTTTAGCATTGTGTTACAAGTTAGCCAGATTTAAATTAGTTTAAAATACATGTGACAGTCATCTCTTTTACATACTATAAATATGTTATCTTAAAGTCATAGTTGAGTTTACTTAAGTTAGAAAAATTATATCAATTCAATTGCTGATTATTTTAAAATATAACGAAAACAAAAGAACATTACAAAGATGTAGAACCATTTGATATACGTAGAATAATACTACTATTAACAAATACATTTTTATGTTTAATAAAATGTTTTGGATACAAATTTAGATATATCAGAAACCTTAACGAAATTCCTTTTTACATGTGTTATACATAAGGCACGTGATCAGTCGTTATCTTTTTCAATACAATTACTATAATATTGTACAATAATTAGTTTCGCATGTTTCAAAATGACTATTGCTTTACAAATTATTTTTGTGCTTCTTAAAACCTACTTATTGTCTAAATTAAATTTATTATGCATTAGTGTTGAAATCGAGACGAGATCTAAAAAAAAGCTACAAATATCTGATAAAATAGTAAGCAGTATAAAATATTATCTCGTTGTGTAAAATATCTTATTACATATCATATAAAATATATTATTTAATACCGGTATATTTCTAATATAATGCAAGATATCGTTCAACTTTTCTACTTTTTAAATGCATAACTTGACCAGACATGTTATACAGTAACAGAAATACAATCGTAAATTATCAAATATAATTTTCATCACGATTAGTTATAGCATAATTATTATATTCTCTTTCTCGATATTCTATAAATAATTCATTAATAAATAAAATCATAATATGATAGGTAAAAGGGATATATAAAAATTACTGTCACTGGTTTATGAACCAACGTTGGGCGTTTACCTATTCAACAACTGATCGAGTGATAATAAATAATTTATAATGCTTCGTTTGGTATGTACAATTAAATAATTTAAATATATACGGTTGTATTACTTATATTACAATTATTATGCGTGTATATTACTTTTTAATTATTGTAATTAGATGCAATATTTTGAAGACGGAAGATCTTTAAAAGAATTCTAAAATAAGCACGATTTAGATAGTTCTTTGTGCGTTGATGAATGTTTCATGCATTGTCAATTAATCGTAGCCAATGCATAAAACGAATCGCGTATTTTCGCGAGGCAAATACCTTGCAGTCTTACAATTTTATAAAAGCGCCTTATTTATAAGACGTAATGAATAACTGCGTAATTCGGTATACAAAGTGGTTAAAAGTTGGATTCATTTAAAAGCAAAGATTTTAAGAGACAATCAAAAATGAAGTCTTTCAATTTTTTAAATGAGTGAAGTTGAGTGAACGATTATATTGTAGTCTTTATGATTTTGTTATTTACTCTTGTATAGAGACTGTTAATTCATTTAAATTTACAATTTAGTTACGTTTAGAAAGTACAGTACCTGTATACCTAAATTAAAGAGAGTAAAAGTAATATAACTCGAGACATTATGTAAACAATATTACATACATTTAAATAATGTAAATGGAATTACTTTTCTTTATATCCCTTTGCTATTTTGTTTTCCCTCATATTTAAGATTTATATTTCAGATTCGCTCTGAATAATGTGTACTTACAAATCCTATAATAAATGAGCAATTGATTTTCTAACATAGTCTCTTCTTCTGTATACTTACTTTGTTATACTTACAACTTTGAAACAATTTGTATAAATGAGTAATTTAATATAAAATTAAAAGTGAAAGGAGAAGCAATTCTCTTATAATTGAATGTGAATAATATCTTGCAATTATGTTATGCGATTGTTATAAATATAGATTATTAGAAACTATTATTGCATAATCGATGATTGTTTCAATTGACATAGGCAATGAAGGTATATTATCTATATATATATAAAATTTATATATAAAAATGTAAAGCAAGTATGACTGATTCGTTCATTTACAAATTCTATAAGAAACAATATAAATTTTATTGGAATGTTGCGTCTACTTTCATTTAGAGTTAAATAACTATGTATCTTCTTTTGCATTGTCATTGCAAGTTGTCATTAGTAAACTTTATAAATGAACGGATAGATCAATGGAGCACATTCATACTATACAAATTTCTATACGAAACTATACACTGTATTAGAACGGCATTTGCGGATCAATCACTTCTCTCTTCTTGCACGCACATAAATAATTTAGCGCAAATCATATTGAAGTTATCTGTAAAAAATAAAGAATTCTTAACTACAATAAATAATTTACACTTTATATATTAATAAATTATAGTGTGACTTAAAGATAAAAAGACAAAAGTACATATATAATTTAAAATGATTTAAATATTTACAATCATTTACATCGAATAATATGAAAAAATGTGAGATTATTTTAGTAATATATGTATAACTGTAATTAAAATAACGTAAAAATTAGGAAATGTAGTAGGCAGTTAATAGTAGGTACTTACGAGATGATCTTATAAGCCATTTAGGCTTCTTCTTCCAATAAATGAAGACGCAATACATAGGAATTCCAGATAAAATGATTATTACTCCTACTCCTACCTCCCATGGAGAGACGTAGCATGGAAATATCACGAGGAAAGCACAAATTATGAAAAAAATAATTGGTAGTACGATGGATACCTAACGAACAAACAAAAAATTTAATATTAAATAAAAGTATATTGTATTCTAATTTTATTACATATACATAAATATACACAAATATATATTTCGTTCTCTAAATGAGAATCATAGCTTCTACTTTTTATCAAACATTATAATTCTTTCTTAATTTGCATCGATTAGTTGGAATTAGTATTTTTTTGATAAATTTCGTTACATGTTACAGCTTATATAAAAGTGGCTACAATTTTGTGTGTGTACTTAATTATATAATTAATACCGTCTTAATTCCAATCGAAAAAAAGGTAGACTTTTAAGTTCTATGTTATTATAGACGGATAGGAATGTTAATATGAAATGTTGAGAAGGAGAAAATTGCAATTTTTTTACATACCTTTATCGGTCGTTCGCGATCGGGACTTTTGTAACGAAGCCAGAGGAGGCCAGACACCGAGAGCGTGGTGAATAGTGCTTCAACGAAGCTAACATAATAGATTAGCACATAGACATCCTCTATGATCAAAAGTGCCAGGGTGATAATGCACTAGAAACGGAAATTATAGTTTAACGCTCGAGCCAATTCAAGCGCAACGGCGAGAAAAAATTGATCTTTTACATATTTTATTATTTTCTAATAGTAATAATAATTCGCCACTTGATGTTCTTGAAAACTTTCATCTCGTGTTTTTCGTTTTTTAACACTAGAATTACCTTTATCAAAATGATCTGTCTATCAGACTTTGTTTGTTTAAACCATGGTAAAACACTAATTTCTTTGGTGGTATTAATGCTACTTTCATCGAGATAGAAACATAATTATACGTACATATATACATATTTGTAACATCATTAACAGATCAAAATTAGATAGACAGATCATATTTCACATATATACATATATAAAATTTCAAGAATATTAAATAAAAAAATTCCTCTAAATTATTCGGACGATGATTGCTCTTTAAAAGCAATCATCCCGTGATTTCTTGAGATTATTATTTATCCAAATTCTGCGTGTGGAAAATCTTCCCTTCTTATTTTTCACTTCAAAATATATTCAAATGTCACATTTTTCAAATTATTTAATTTTTTCTTTTATCGTTTAATTAGAATAGGATTTTTGCAAATGTTTTGAATAATTGAATTACTCGTGAGTCAAAAAGACTGCCGTTATCAACGATCAAAGGGACCATTAACGGGATGAAAGACCTAATTTATTGCTCTCAATTAGCAGCCGTGAATCAAGATGATGGTTCTACGATTGTCATATACGGACTAGTTAATTATAACGGTTTTTCATATGCAATTTCTAACATCCTTTTTTCATCTGTTATACACAAATGTTTCCACCATTTATTTCTTGATTTCACATAAAATTATTATTACGTTACTTTAAATAATGTAACTAAACTTGTATTTCAAGCGATTATGACGCAGATAGACACGCGTTTTTCTATGATTCATAGATATTTGTGTCAAGGAAAATGTAACAAAAAAAAAAAAAAAAAAAAAAAAAAAAAAAACCAACCAAGCAATAAGAGTATAAGAACGATCTACGTTGATTAGATAATTACAATAAAATGAACTTTATTTATTTAAATATAGAAATTATAATTGCTACATGTGCAAGCTGCAAATATATAATATAATGTAATGTACTGCAATGTAACATGATAATAAGTAATGTAATATAATATAATGTAACACAACACAACATATATATATATATATATATATATATATATATAGTATTACATTACATATTGACTTGTTCATGAATTTACAACTTTTTAATTCTTTGTTCACTTTCGACCCAATTATATCTCAAAATAGCTCTTTATAGAGCTCTTTTAATAGCTTAAAATAGACTTCGCATAAGGCGTCTAAAAGATGAATAAATTTCTTACCAGGAAGATGAGTGAAGGCATAGGTGTTAAATTTCGTACATTGATGAGGGCAATGGCAGCTGGCAAATGTCCATTTCGAGCTCCTACGAAAAATAATCGCGACGATGCGAAAATTGCTCCGTTTAACGCCCCAAAGGTTGAACAAGCCACGAATAATGGCATTATCCAAGACATTACACCCAGAAGCTTGTCGCTGAAAGTCTGTGAAAAATTACAAGATTACTGTAATATAACATAAATTATTTAAAAATGAACTGTTAAATTTTAGTATGATGATTCTTATGGTTTAAACTGCTAGTTCAATTACAAATTTTCTAGTCATTTTCAGTGTCAGATATAGAAAACACATTCATTCTACTCTTTATGTAAAAATATTAATAAATATACGGTGCGTCATTTAAGAAGTAAAATTTACATGTACCATTATGTTTAACAGCTTATCTGAGCCTCTTTTAAATTACATCGTTAAAAGTATAAATATGTAAAAGGATTTACTAAGTCTTAAAAAAATTTTTTCTTGAGGAACTAAATTTATTATTTAACAATAGTTGCTTTTTTCTTTTTATAAAAATAATATCGTATCGTATCGCTAATGTCTTTCTTTTTATCTTCTTATCTTCCTTTCTAAAATTTGACGAGAAGCAAAATAGAAAAAAAATGGGAACACGACGAAAGGCTTTGTCTGACAGTATCGTTATGGATAAGAGACAAATTTTCTGTTGGCCTCACAGCAACATTAGCCAAGGAATAACACGTTTTTCCCATCAAAGGGAACCTTTTCTCAATCATTTCTATGCTTCGTTGCTTCTTTTCGGGTTTTTTGCGCTCTTTTCTTCTCTTTTTGTACAAGTAGGTATATAACAATTACATCGATTACAGCGCAGCGACTTTTGTGATTGGATGATAAGAGCGAACACAAGGATTTGTGACTCGTTCAATTGCAAGTGAGTATCTGTATATCGCGTCACGTCGATGTGTCGATGCCATTTGCCTAATTATTCTATTCTAAGTAGGTATTTACAAGATACAATTTTATACAAATTTAAATAAGAAAAAAACTTACAACAGCGACAGCATTCGATGCGAGAATCTCGTCCTGCGTTAACACCACGAAATAAGCAATATTTGCCAAGACATAAATCACAGTCACTAACGGCAATGATATACAAATCGCTCTTGGAAGATTTCTGCAAAAATGATAATTAAGCATTGTATATACATTTTTCACATCGCGTTATCGATTCTATTATCGTTATTCATTGCACTTTTGTTACGTACTTTGTCGAAACCAGCAAAGTTTCAGTTCCGCGAAAATAATATTCACATATAATTGTTGTTCTAGAATCAAACTTTTATGAGAGTTAAAATGACTTTTGTTACTAAAACGATAAACGTCCGTCCAATCGTTACAATGGACTAGACACAAGAGAAAAGAATTGTTTGAAGTACTGGCAAACAAAGAGCGCAAAACAGAAATAAGGGAACCGAATTCAAAATGTTTCATTGATGTTTTAAATATAAACTGCATAAATACTATTCACATATGGATGCGTCACTTTCACTCCGTTTTAAATATAACTTTCTGAATTCTTCAAAGAACTTTGTTTGGGACGTTATTGAAAAGTTCGTTCCACCTTTTTGTTTCATTTAATATTTGTTTCTGACATCAAAGAAAAGCGTCCCATGAAAAACTGAATCATTTCGATCCTGCACGAATACACACGTACGTACTATCTTTCACAAGATTAAAATTTGACATGCTTTACTAATAACTTGTTTATATTAATAATTTGTAAAATTTCATTAATGCCTGATATCTAATAGTTACGTTGTGGCCACGTAATTAGCGTTCAATTTCTAAACAAAAACACATAACATAACAACACACACACAAATTCATTGATCCGAAACAAATCATACAAGTAAGGTAAATATTATAAAATATTTTTACTCACAATTTTTTTTTACTTTTCGATTTATGAAATTATTAATCAGTACGATTTCCGAGCGATCCGCTAAACACATATATGTTTATGTATATGTATATACATGTAGCAGATGAGAGTAAATGAAAGATTCAATAGAAATAATGACAAATTACTTGTAAGGATCCTTTAACTCTTCGGTCACGTAATTCAGATAATTCCATCCGGAATAAGAGAAGAGGCCTGAATAAATGGCTAAAGCAACGTAGCCGGGTTGAGTATTGGTTCCATCCATGGGATGGCGAAAGTTTTCCGTATGACCCAAGCAGAGCCACCAAAATCCAGCGACCATGATGATCACCAGCGCGAAAATCTTCGTTCCGGTGAAGATGTCCTGCACCCTGGTCGCCCATTTCACATTATAGCAATTAATCGCCGTCAGTAAACCTGCAAACAGGTTTTAATTTTATAATTTTTCAATTGCATGTTGGACAATTTTATGTGATTATATTTATTGGATATTTTCACATATTGAAAAGGAAGAAGTAAACTATAAGTAGATAGTACACTTGTATGTACGTTGCAGTTGCAGAGTGTGGTAAATTGAGAGAGAAATTCAAATCTAGTTTCCCAGAGAAACTAAAAGTCACTGTTTTTGTTTGTAGATTGTTCATTGAAACAGTGAATTTTTAATCTTGGTTGAATTTCCGTCACTTATCTCGCAGAGTTGTAGCTAAGCACACAATCAATTTTGATGCCTATATTTTATTATCTTGTTACTTATTACCTCATTATTCATACATAGTTTGTTGTAGCAGAACTGTGCCAGTACGAATCGGTCATAGTGACATAGCACGTCATTGACACGTAGTAAACCTTTTACTGATATATCTCTGACGTATTTAATGAATACAGATCATTGATAAAGTATACAAACTAACATAACATAAGTATCACATATTTACATATAAAGAAACTGATGTCGGAGCATTTTGTGGAACTGGAATCACATATAAGTCATGGATTTGTACAAAGAAGAAACGTATTAGATGTTTAAGTCGAAAGTGTGAAAATACCTACGTATATACATACATATGTATACGTATCTAGTTGCACGCGTCAGCTTGAAAGAGATAAGTTTTTATCGACACTACCGCGGCTTGTAGACAATGCAAATGTCACATAACGAAGAAAAGTAAGAAGAATAAAAACATAAAATTGAAGTTGAAATAGCAACTTATTTATATTATTTATGTGTATGTAGTACTGTCTGTGTAGTAGCATTGTATTTTTATAATATAACAGAGATACATAAAGTAACGAAGATATCAGATTCAACATTGCCTCATTATTGATAAAATAAAATAAGATACTGTTATCGATGAAATATTATTCTTTGTCAACAGCAAGCTAAGAATCATGTAAGTACCTATGCTTAAACACGCACGCAAGCACGCATGCAACGAATCTTCAAATCAACTATTGTATTATAGTGACTTAAGTTTAAAATTAGGACATCAATTTTAAAATGCGATTGATACCTAAGTTAAAAATGATGTGGCAAGTTCTAACCGAATGCAAATAACAAACACACCTGTTGTAGATATCGTGTTATTATCTACTATTACTAGTGATGGGTTTAAGTGGCACGAGCAACTAGGTAGATTTGAACATTAACTGATCAGATTCGAATCCTCTGTGAAGTCTATTTTGAGATTAAATACGATGGAATTGAATCCTCTGCGAGTAGTTTGACAAATGAGAAAAGTAAATTTAATCGATAACCTGCAAAAATAAAATTTTAATAGTATTCTTACATGTAATAACAGCGGCAAGCAGTCTCACCGCTGCGTACGGAGGAACACAACCATGCCAAACTGGTTGCAAGATGTATTGTGCGAACGTTAGGGCTGTGATCGCGTTTCCAGTTGGCACCAGGATGAACAATGCCACATAGAGGTATAGAAATGCCGGTAGCGGTCCAAAAGCATCGTTAATGTAAGCATAGTCGCCTCCAGACTTTGGGATCATGGTACCTAAAAATTCACGTATTCTTTCTTTAAACGAATGACTTGACTGACGAGAAAGTACGTGGCAGTAGAAAGTAAAAAATTATTCGCTCGAATTTAATATTTTGCATTGTACTTTATATGTATGTAATAACACATATAACGTGTCCTTGTAAAAAAAAAGAATGAATCTTCAGAGAATGAAGAATCAAAATTGGTTTATTTGAAAAAGAAGCAAACAAAGAGCAAGGAACAAAACTGATTGATTCATTGGAAATGAATCTATGGACATTTTACAACGAAGAATAGCTCAAATAAGATATAACAATCTATGTAACATAGATATCATAATCAAGCATATTCTTCCCTATTGTCCGGCGGTAAAACGAAAAGCAAATAAGATAAGCAATTAATCTTAAAAGGAGCACTCAGGCGATAAAAGGCATTCAATCGCAGTAATCTCGTACATCAGTTTTAATGATATAAATATGGTATGATATATGGTATAAATAAATGATATAAATAAATCTAAATATTGATCTCGTGAAGGTTTTCGCATTCGGAATTGTAGTAAAATAGAATTGAATAAAATTGTAAAATTACAGAACTATTGCAATTACATACGGAGGTTCCATTAGTCACCGCAGTAATTGCAGTTAAGTCAAATTGCATCAGATTAGAAATAACAATACGTAAAATACTTATTTAAATGATCGCAGAGAGTCGAGCAGTTAGTGAAATTGTAAGCATTCAATTGTATTTAACATAATGCATTCTATGTAACTCTCGTCGGTGATTGAATGAATTCCAAGTATTATGCTATTCACCAAGATGTGTACATACACACTTGTACAGGGAAATTCGCTACAGATGAAATTATCGTGACTCCTGGATTGGCCAAACATTCTAACATTTACGAATAAATCTCTGTAAAGTAATGGTAAAACGTTTAAAAGCAAAACTTGGAAATTGTAATCTATTAACACGTTTAACTGAGATCGAAAATTAGATTCGGTGAAATTAGATAAATTATTCGTAGCAGTTCTGTAATTCAATAAATACGTACATATGTATTTATCTATCACTGATCTTTTTCTCGGAGTTGATGGATCGGGGCACACTGGTCGCGTTCTATGATACATTTTAATTACGCATGTCACTTCAGCTCTCAAGAACTGCTTGTGAGTCAATTGAACTTATCAAGAGAACAATAAGAACATTTATATAATTATTTAATTATATTATTTTTAATGGCAGACGATAACTGAATCACTTGTCTTTTCTTTTTCTCTGCCTCTTTCGTTTCACACGCAGATATAAATAATTAGCAACAACAAGAGTATTCGTTGTGATGATTAATTTGATCCGTTTGCTTTTCGTTTCGACGCTCTGGAATCAATTATCATCTTCCAGTAAAAAATTAATCCAGTTGTTTATTGTGTGAAAATCAATTATTGTCAATCAATTAATCTGCAGGAGAAAAATACGATTAAAAATAAAATTATGTCACTTCTGATGGCAAATGATAGCTGAATCTCTCCTTTGTTCTCTTTCTCTTTCTCCCCCTCTTCGTTGCATACACAGATATAAATAATCAGTAACAACGAGAGCACTTATTGTGATGATTAATTTCCTTGACTTTTTATTTCGACACTCATCGAATGAATTATAATTATTATCTCTGTGAAAAATTAATCGAGTTGTTCGTTGTCTGAACATTAATTATTGAAAACCGCGGGAGAAAAATACAATAAATGAAATTTCCAATTTTTTGCAGAGAAGCAATTTAAAAATCGAATACCCTACGTGTCGATCAATTCAATGCCTTTTTGTCCCATCCGCGAGTTAAACACGTGTTTTGTTTTGTTTTTTTTTTTCCACAAAATCGTAGCTTTTACGAAAGTCGAGCGAGTGTTACGAAAGTTAAACGAACATGACGAGGCTTGAACAAACACTACTAACTAAGGCATTTCTCTCCGATAAGGGACAATCCTATAACGAAATATACGAAAATTCTATATCGAATTTCTAACAGCTAGTTGATCAACGAAGCAGTATCTACGTAGTTGATTTTTAAAACATTGGTAACGAAAAATACTGCATTGATATTGGAGAGCGACAGACATGTGGTCAAAGTTAGGGAAGACTCAAGGCAACGATACTCTAACTCTAATTGAGTTAGTTGCTAGCACAGGGCACGAAATTTTGCAAGTTTGTGATGCGTCAATTAAAATTTCTATTAAAATGCAGGAAACGTTACACTCTTGGTAGAAGATAAGAAAAGAAGTTAAAAAGAGGTATGTTAAAAATGGTTACAAAAATAGTAAGAAAGTCACGTCCGCAGCATGGTAAAATCCGGTATAAAAACCAACTATAGAAATAAAATAGGTTCAGTGTTTGTTTGATCGCATTATGAATGCATTATCACAATGTACTTTATTCGTTGCCAAGAAAACCTGGTATATTTTGGCGGATCGTGAGTGTACTTAAATATTTTCCAAATGACCAAAGTTGTGATAGAGGATATGTAAGCTTTTATTTCTGCAAGCAACGAATCATTTTCACTCGCGATTAATTTAAAACTAATGTATCATTTTTGTTCAAATTACATAATTTACGAATCTATTACATTATTATTCGATTGATTAATCGTTTAGTAGTCAAAATTAGAAAGAGAAAAATGGTATTCAAAATTGTAGATAAATTGATATTCAAATTGATAGTATGTCCAACCAACAATGACGATAATTCGATTATTTTGTGTTTGAATTTTTGAATAGATCGCAAGTGTCTTAGAACAGTCGACTTTCTAAGTCAATTGACACAGGCAGAAGGTGATGCAAGAGTCGAAAGGTCTGTCCGTAGACGCGTACGCTTGCCAACACGTGAATAATAAAATCAAAACGAGTAACTGATGTATCAGTGAAAGCGATACATTATTGTAACAGAGAGAAAATATATGAGAAAATACACGTGCGTACTATTTCCACCATCAGAAATACAATCGTAATTATGCATAATTTACGCGGCAGATTATTGATGTATTATTATGTGTTGAAATTATATTTATACTCAAGGCAAGAAACATTGACTTTACAATTTAAATTTAAATTTCAATTTAACTTTAAATCGTAGATGATGCACCATTTACAAATATTCTTCTTTTCCCAACAATCTGCTAGTAGATTTTTTTTTTTTTTTTTCGAAACACGCATGTTCCTCCGTGAAAGAGGTAATCGGCGCTGCTAGTAATCGTTACGTTGATGATCACGCAAGTACTGTTTTTGTCACGGTACGCCGTCACTGATTGGCCGTGATTTACAGACAGCCCCCGTATGTAGATCGCAGACGGGCGGAACAACGCGGCGACGACCGCATGGGAATTCTAAATGAAATGCAACGAATACTCCCGTCGCAGGTCGGGAGAGAGAATCTCCGACTTACACACGTGTAAGTTCAGCACTTACCGAGTTCCGCGTAGCATAGCGCGCCGATCAGTGACAAAACGCCGGAAAAGATCCACACGATCAACGCCTGGCCAACGCTGCCGCTGTTCTCCAGCACACCTTTCGGCGAGACGAAGATCCCGGCGCCGACGATGATGCCGACGATGATCGCCACACCGTCTAGCAAACCGAGTTCCTTCTTCAATTTCACCGCATGGCTATCGTCGCTGACAGTGGTTTTCACAGTAGTCAGGATCTGTTTCTCTTTTGGCGCGACTTTGTCCGGCATCGTACGTCTTGTCTTTCCAAAGATTTGCTAATGCTCGCTGAGTAGTTGAGCGTTGATCATTACTAGTCGAAAAAAGTAGTAAGCGGTGCGAGCATACCGGGAGGTAGCACATACGTCTGATGCACGTGCGAAAGCGACAAAGAGAAGAGGGGAGACAAACATACGCGCACGAACAGGAACACCGGCTCTATCTGTGTGATCACGTCGCGTCTCGTCGCGTCCCGTTTGCGTTCGTTCAACGGACACACGTGCTCGACTGCAGGCCAGTTCCGTCGCAGCGCGGCACTGTCGCCGCCTGCCGACGATTCACCCTTTATATTTTCATTCGCGCCATTGACGCAACTCCAGTTTCTCTTCTCTCGTGCTTCAGCTGTCGTACCATTATTTGTTAATTCTATTTGTTTCTCTGTTTGAAAAAATATTATAATTGCTTGGGAAATTATCTCGACACTTGCTAAACAACTCTGGCGCGATACTTTCCTCCAAATGAGTCACGCCCGCCATTTTGAAATGTATTTGAAATTTCGTCGATACTGTAACTTGATTCGGTTGCTAAATGATCGATGCATCTCGATAAGATATATATTTTCTTTGAGTTTGAAACTTTTAAAGATTTTGTTTGCTACTTACGTGCGTTGTTAAATTAATTTGAAATATTATTGATGTTTTGACTTGACGATCTTTTGCATAATTTTTCACAAAACTATGTATTACAGAAAGAATTTTACAGGTAATCACATACAAATATCTCGACTGATATCGACACTGATATCGATTCGAAAATAATGAAAATGGTTAAGAATCGTTTACAATATGTACATTACTCACATATATATTTGGAAAAAACGGAGAAGCAATGGACACGTCTTATAAGAGGCGACTATCCGTTCCATTTAATTTTTTCAATTCTAATGCATAGAATTTATACAAATTGTCAAACTCTAAATATAAATCATATAAATAAGTAAATTACAAATAGCGTCATTAATTTGCATACTCATAGTTAACCTATACAAACTTGTACTTTTAATCTCGTCTTATTTTACATTTTACATAATTACGTATTCAATTGTATTCAACGGTTGATTTGTAACGTTTGTTTTAAAAGATGCGTATATATTACGAACCTGGAAATATTAGCGTCACGTTGTGGCAAAATGGAGGAACTAAACGCTTTATAATCAAATAAAAAAATATAATTAATTTTAATTTTTCGCTCCGATAATTTATATTTTATGAGCGTACATTTCAAAGACAGTGCTATCCATTACGTTTACAAAACAAATTTGACTCCAATATTCAATGTAGTTTGCGAGGAAATGAGTACACTGAAACACATTTAAACACACAAGTTGTAACGTTAACTCTCGATCTATTAAATAAAATTTGAAAATCTTTATTAATAGATATTGAAACATAAAAGGCACAAAAAAAACTAAGGGTTTCAAACAGACGATGCAATTTCAAAAGTTAACAAATTATTACTCTCGATTATTTTTTTTTTTTTTTTTGGCAAATTACATGTAAAGTGCTCAGAGTTGGACATGGTGGCTCCATCTGTTGGAAGTTGACTGGTACTGACTAATTTTAAAAATAATTATTTCTGCATTTCACGGCTCAAAGGGGTTATAGAAAGAAGGCCGAGGATCTAATTAAGAAGAACCAATCACAAAAGTTCACCATTTAATTCTCTAAATTAGTTTTTTTCGCAAATGAAAATTTACTTGTTTTACGGGATAGGAAACACTAGCGCCGCGTTGTGGCAGAAAGGGAGAACTAAAACCTGTTGCTGTCCTTGTCGTACTCTGTTGCTCTCCTTGTCTAGCAAGCATAAATGTCTATCCTTGTCTAGCGCTATTGCTCTCCTTGTCTACCGCGCATATATGTCTGTCCTTGTTACATGCTATTGCTCTCCTTGTCTATTGACGCTAGACAAGGAAGGCAACAGTGTGCGACAAGGACATCCTTCGATTTATTGAAAAAAAAATTCAACTTTTTAGACACACGTTTTTCAAGGACAAAACACACAAAGAAAGAAAGCGGTGAGCCTAATTTTAACGAGGCATATAAAAAAGTTCGTAAATTATTCCTCTAAATTAGGTTTTTTTCGTAATTAGTGCGAACTGTCACAAAATGGACATGGTGGCGCCATCTAGCGGTAACTCACTGGTACTAATTATTTATGAAAATACTTATTTCTGCATTTTACGGGTCAAATGGGGTATGAAAAGAAAGCTAACGGTCTAATTAGAGTAATAGAATCACCAAAGTTCACAATTCAATTCGTTAAATTAGGTTTTTTCGCTTATAAAAATTTCCCTGTTTTACGGGGTAAGAAACACTAGCGNACTTTACATGTAATTTGCCAAAAAAAAAAAAAAAAATAATCGAGAGTAATAATTTGTTAACTTTTGAAATTGCGTTGTCAGTTTTAAATCCTTAACTATTGTTCTATGTTCCATTTAGGTTGCTTTATGTATTAATAAAAATTTGCAAATTTCGTTTAACAGATCGTACTCAGCTTTCAATTTATGTTAATTTCTTGCAAACTATACTAGATATTAGAATTAAATTTATTTGTGAGTATAAGCGAAAGCATCATCTCCGAAATGTGTGCTTATAAATTGCAAATATTGGCATAAAAAACTAGAATTAATTTTTTTTTTAATATGGACAATAGCCGTTTAGTTCCACCATTTCATTGCTACGCGGCACTAGCATTTTGCTGTCCACGAGTCAAACGAGTTTTGAAAAAAATGGTTGAAGAATTGATTTGTGAATTTTTATGTTTCTTGAGAAGTAAATTTTCAGCTCTCCTTCTATATTCCGTTTATCATTGAAGACGCATCTATGAAGATTTACAAACTTTACACAGCAGAACGAAGCAGACCAAAACCTTGCTCGAATGATTTTTTCATTTTCAAAAGAAACTAGTTGTTTCATTTTTTGTTCTTTGGTGGTTGCAATTGGCTGATGTATTAAACGGCGGTAATGGCAAGTACCTCTGGATGACTGAAAAATGTTCCTGTAAAAATGATTAAGTAATTAATTGTAATTATATTTCATAATGTAAATCATAACTAGTCGATCGTAATTGCATTAAATCTTTCTGTCGTTTAGAAATTGTTGCACCGTAATCGATTCCTACGGGAAATCAAAATGATCGCGGGATTGCGATAAATCAGACGTGTTTTTTACAAATTTCATAAAAAATTGTGAGAAGTTTAGTACATAAATGTTCTTTATTCTAGCGCCGACAACAAGTTTTAAATTTAGATTATGCACAATATCCTGTACTAACAATAAGTTATAAAATTAATTTCGAGCAATAATAAAATATCATTTATTTTGTTTTTAATTTTCAGAAATTCTTGTCATCATCCTGAGATAGTCAGATTTGTCAGTTTTGAATAAGTAACTTATCCATTTAATTACTGTTTGACTATACCGATTTGTATTAACTTTAAACAAAAATGTAATTACTCTTTTTCAGTATGATAATGAAATTACACACATAAGGTATAGATTCACTGGAATAGAACAAAACGCGGTGAATTATACAAATTTATTCATTTCGTAATAAACATGTTGTATATTGCATGTATAAATCTACCCTCTAATTGCGCTTAAATAGCCATCTTTCTGTCTTAATATAAAGAGTTTTTCTTATTATATTTTTGCAGCCTGTTTTTGTCCGATTTTTTACAACAATCTGATCATTTGTTTGCCCTTAAAAATATCTTAAGAAAGTAAAAAGTTATTACAAATAATAAGGTGGAAATAAGGAAGTAGTAATAATAATTTTAAAAGGCAGGAAAAATACAAGGTAGGTTCATCGTACGCAATGAACATAGTACATACTAAATACGCATATAACGTACTTTGTGCACGCTCAAGTTCTCCATCGGTTAATTGTTTTAATCAAACAATTAATTTGTTAATTTTAATATATTTGTATTATTTTTACAAGATGAATTTTATTTTATTCTTCTTGTGTCCATCTCGCATCACGCTCTAGGGATCAAAGTACTAAATTTCATCAAAGGCACAAATATTTCAGTAATTGCTTTCCACCAACTTCCACTTTACTAACTAATGTACTAGTAATACTTTTTTCAACAGGAAAATTTCTAATTATGTATAATTCGTTTTAAGTTAAATGATATGTACATCCTTTACTGTAAAACTGTTTGTATTTTTCAACATAATACACATTTTTCCTTCTTTCTTAAATAATTACAGTTGGCAATACCAAAACAATGTATTCAAAAGTTATGTTCTCAGCAGGTTATTACAAATTAAGAGACTAAAATATTTTCATCGGTGCATTTACAGCTACAAGTTTTATTTATTTTAATCTTGTTAATTTTATTCCAATACTAGGTAAAAATTACTTAAAAAGATCCTTGGAAATAGAAAACTTGGCCTCTATAGAAAAAGAAATTACTATGAAAAATTGTTCATTATTGAAACATGAAGAGGATGTATTAACTGAATGCGTGTTAATATTTTTCAAATGACAAGTACAATGAGAATTTGATGCTTAATGGGAAAACCCAAATTTACAAATAAAATGCATTTTCACGATGCACACAACGTTATGCATACACAAAATGTTTCATTAAAGTCAATAAATAAGAGATCAATGTTATTAAGTATCTCAATATTTTAAAAACTTTCTTGTACTAATATGTTAGAATTGATATCAAAATGATTGAAAATAAATTAACAATTATATTACTTAATGTTACACCACTAAAACCAATTCAAATACTTCAAATTTGAAATTTTATGAAAAAATTTTCTTATATCTTTGTTAATAAAGGTCTTATTTTTATCATATTTAATGAACACTGTGTGTACAACAGATCAATCTACAATTTTTACACAAGGAAATCTATTGTAAAGATGGGAAGACGATTCTTACAAGTTACATTACGGATTAAGTATTGCAAGTTGTAATGTTCTTATCAGTGAATTAAAAGAAACTTAATTGCTGCATTAACAAAAAGAATAATGCGTTGATATGACAGTCTCATTATAATACCAACGACAGAGATGAGTATTCCTTGTCCATTTTACAACTGATCTTTTTGTAGAAAAATCCCATATTTATTTAAAATAAGAAATTGCACCAGCTTATAATCAAAGCGCAATTTTTCTATTATATTTTTATAACATCTTTTTTTCTAACAATAATATTAAATGAATAACAAATTAACTTTCCGTTTTGATAACGTATTTGATGAATATAATTAAGTTTCTCGAATATTGCAAATTTCATATTTATTTTTGATAGAAATCTTTAATCACTGATAATATTATAGTATCGTTATGATAAAAAATACATATTTTTTACATAAATATAATAAACCAAATATAATCTGTCTTAGTTTCTAAACAATAATCGTAAAATTTTAATAACAAACAAACGTGATTCTTATAAAAATTTCTTTGAATATAATATATAATTTGGAAACGTGCGCGTCAAAATACAATTTATTTACAAAAAAAAAAAATTGTAAATTTCGCACGATTTAAAAAAACGTATCAAGTTTATTTACGAAATCTTTCCATCGTTGGTATGTGTTAAAACATACAGAGAATTAAAAAAATGTATTTGTATAATGGATAAAAATCATAATGTTCTGTTGATAATATGTTAGCTAAATATTATTACCTATTAATTATTACATGATTAACTGCTCTATAAGTAAACAATTGGTCGACTCATATTTTAAGTACACTTTCATTACCGGGGCATAAGACATTACTCTATGTCTTATTTTTAAGTAAGCGCAGAACGATACAAAATACTGGTTGTTTTATTATTATTATGATAATTATCAAAGTTAAAACTCTGTATTTGTCGTTTACTTGAACAGATTGTACCTACCTAATAAAATTTAGCATTTTTATACTATTTGATAATAACTTTCACTCTCTCTCTCTCTCTCTCTCTCTCTCATGCTCTCATTCTCTCTCTCTCTCTCTCTCTCTCTCCCTCTCTCTATCTCTATCTCTGTACATTGATATTGTAAAAGTAAATGCTCTGCTCTCTCCTTCAATTATACTTTCAGTCTCTTTTGCATTAATATGCATGCTGGATATTTCGAGCATGCCATAGGCCGCTTCGAAATTCATATTTTTCAAGGTGGAATTGCATTATGCAACACCTCCGTGATAGCATTTTTAATTATAAAAAAAAAGACAAAAAGAAAGATGTAGAAAAAAGAAACATTTTTCATCCATTATGCATCAACTAATCAACTTCTATAAGAGCGTAGTTCCTTCACCCACAACTAATGTACCGTAGATTGCAATGTTTATAGTTCTGTTTATAGTTCCATTTTTGCTGCTCCTTGATTATCTAATACACCTGATTCCTTAAGCTTGCGGACTCTATAAGCGTGGAATCTGGAAAAAATTATACAAATTAAATAGTACACTTGAATGATTCATACAATTTTTAGTTATTTGCGATAATATAATAGAATTTTATTTAAAAGTTGATGTCAATCAAATAAATTAAATGTTCATTAAAATTGAGGAAGAGAATATTAAAAAAAAAAAAATTTTGAACAATGTTTGTATAGAAGAAATAGTTCAAAGGTGATAAATGCTTGAGCTAAAAACAAATTACAAGTTGATCAAGTTAAAAGTTGTTCACGTCTATACCAAAGTAACAATTTTGTATGTTATATACTGATTTTGATGAATTGAGTAGTCAACTTACGGCATTGTTCAGTATGATAATAATTCAATGATCTCCTCTCAACAATTCCATCAACAAATTAAATGAGCTGCCTTCTCCTTCAGCACGTTTCGCACTTAACAATTCCTTTCCTGCCTGGCATGTTCTTTGTAAATCTGGAATTCTCAATAATAATTCACCAAACTTAGCAGGCATTTCCGGATACCTTGCTATAGTATATTGTTGTAGGGCTTGTAAAGCCTTTTCCTGAGATGCTCTAACTTTTTCAGGTTCTTTTAGTTCACTTGTGTCAGAAGTTAACAGCACTATAACCTGCAAATAATAAAAGTTAAATGTTATATTGGTTTAAAAATCACATTATTGATAAAATATCACTGTTGAAACATCTATATATTATTACAAAGTTTATAGAACAAATAAATGAAGGGAAAGTAATTACCTTCATTGCCACATATTCGTATTGATCTACTCGGAGCCTTCTCAAATTGTTAGTGAATGCAAGCATCCTCTCAATGCAGGTCGCCAAACCAAGCTGCCTAGCTTGTTCTAGTGTAATCGACTTGCCGAGAGACACTCTAATTTCACCTGGAGTGCTCATGCTGCGGAAACAGCATGAGAAGAGCAGTAGCTCGCACCAGGAATTAATTAACAAACAGATTTGATCATCGATTGAAATGTTCTTAAATAATGGTAAACTCTTGCACCATTTCACTATTTTATAGAGTCGGTGGTCAGCGATGTTGCAGAGGTTTGACAGGAAATCAGGATGTTGTGTTGGATTACCATTGGTGTTGTTAATTTGAGAACTGCTACTAATGGATGCAGCACATTGTTCGTTACTAGCATTTGAAACACTAGAGCATGATCTGTCGTCTCTTCTGTTACTGGGATTGCCATTTCCTGTGGTTCCATTAGAGGAACACTCAACACTCGAATCTGTGTCGTTCTCTATTCCAGATCCTCCGCTACTTCTGACACCTAATAACATTGTATCGTTGTTTCTAGACGGATTCATCCCTGCATTTTGAATCCCAGTCATGCGATCATTGTCATTGTAATGCCATAAATGTTCTACATCCATGATATCCTGTAGAAGTTGGGGTACCACTTGCATTTTATGCGAGTGATTCGAGTGGTGCCTTGCCGGATAGTGATGTTCGTTACCAGCTGGAGCTGGACTACAATTTCCCCCCGTGGTTGATTTATCGTTGGCGATGTTACTCGCGGGACTACCGACAAGACTTGCTGGAAGAGTATACGTACATTGATACGTACTTCTGCCACCTCTGGTGCGATCCTCTCTGATCGCCTCGAGCTTCATACCTATTAACAATATACAGAGTACTAAAAAGCAAGTCCCTTTTTGTTTTCAATAACTTTAACTACTCTCAGATATATGTATATGTATATGTATTATAGTACTCTAATCAAATTTTGTTATGTTGCGTCTCGTATTTCACAGCCATACGAGAATTGGAGCTTGAAAATTCTTTAGGCTGGTTTTATAATTAAAAGATGTATTGTATCTCAATAATTGATTTACATTTGGTGCGATAATAATATTTTTTTAGACTATATCGCAGTTAAAAGCTTAATTAATTTTAATAATCATCAACTTATACAAAACCCTATTGGATAATTAATATTATATTATATATTAATATATTAATATAATATTATATATTAATTACAGCTCAATTAAAAAATCAAAATTTATAAATTTTCATTCATCTTACCCATATTGAGGCACTTGTCAAATCTACAGGCGGGGCATTTTTTCCTGGTAGCGACGGTGACTGGACAGCCCGCGCCTCTAAGGCACACATAATTCTTTCGATTCTGGACGGTGCGTTTAAAAAATCCCTTACACGACTCGCACGAGAATATCCCGTAATGAAAACCGCTGATCTTGTCCCCACAAATTGGACACGGGCTGTTAATCAATTGCTGTCTCGTGGATATTCCAGACGGTGCTGAAGGTATTCTGCAGTCTTCCTGATCGTCTGTAGCAGCATGTCCTTCTGGAGATAGCTCTGAACCCGGTGCAGAGGAAGAATAGTGATGTGCAATGACGGGAGAGGCCGTTGCTGGTAGATGGAGTGGACTTCCTTGAGCAACTTGATGCTGATGATGCTGCGGATGTCTCGGTTGTTGAACGGGCGAGTGCGTGGGTGGACTAAGAGAGCCGTAGCTGTAGCAGCTGCTCGAGGCATCCGAATTGTTTCTCGAGAGCGAATGTGATAACGAGAGCGACAACGAAGAGGTGGAATTATTAAAACTGTGTCGCGACAAGGACAGCGACGAAGACGGGACTGGACTTCCCGTGCCTAGAGCGGAATGGCGAGCTGCGTGAGGACTTTGCGTTGGAGAACTGAATACGCTGTATGCGGAATGAATCGCCGAGTCCGGTGACGGCACCTTGAAAGTTTTAAAGATGTCAGGAAGCGTGACAATATAGAACGTCTGAGTCGAATTAAAAAATACATATACTGATCTATATTACCTGCGATCTTGTATGGCTATGCTTTGTCAAATGGTGTCTAGGATTCAACACCGGACTGTGATTTGGAGTTGAACTATTATAACCACCAAGTAATTTTCCTACGAGAAGAGGCAAATCGTTTTGCTGCGTCTGCTCAAGATTCTCGATGTTGCGTTGTTGCTGTATTTGTTGGCCGTGAACCAAAGGTAATCCTGTATCGTGAAAAGAACCAAACGTGAATCTTGGATTGGACTGAAAGTCTGGTTCTGGTTTTATCGGAAATTTTTGCTCCATTGGTCCCGGACTCGGGCCACACACTTGAACACCCTCCATTGATGTATCTTCGTGAGTATCCTGCAATAAAATGAACATTTTATAATGAACATCTATAATAAATAATCGTATCGAAGGTGAATTGGAATATAGTATAGTAAATATAGTATTGTAAATAAGGGGACCGACTATGATAAAACAAATAGTTTTATTTAGAAAAAAAATACGTATATTTTTTAATTACTTCTTGTAACATGTACGAGCATGTCAACTCTGGCCGGGAATTTTATTTTTATTTGTTAAATAAACGTGCAAATATTTTAAAGTTCGAAATTTGCTTGTAAAGATCGAAATACTTGATCGAAACACAATGAACGGATGATTATAGTTTTCGAGTTTACAATATTAGAATCCAATGAAATGAATGTTGTCTATTGAGTTTAACTCGAATTTTAAAAGTACGCATCTACGTATTGAACTTGATCCAATCGCTACCTACTCTGGTTTAGCATTGCCGAATTACAAACTTGAGTTTGCAAACAAGTTACCGACACGTACTTGATTTGTAATTGTATTGGAAGACATTTCTTGGTCAGAAAGTTCTCCTTCCCACGACATGGGCCTCTCGGGTTGTTGTTGAGACGCGTCATTCCCATCATAACAGCCGTTCCCATCTTCGACCTCTCCATCACCGATTTTCTCTCCACTCTGGCTACCCGATACATCTCGTTTCTTTTTCGTACGTAAATTCACCCCCCGAAAGTCGATTTTGCTTATCTCGACGTCACTGTCCTCCGCATTGTCATCCGCCGTATTCTGGCTGAGGACGTTGACTCCAATTCCAATACTCTGCGTCCCAGTACTGGTGCCAATACCCGTGGTTGACGCGACATTCGCATTTCCACACCCTAGTACGGAGCCACAGCTTGACACTACAGATACTGTCACGCCGTTTTGACCGGTAAGATACTTGCATATACCTTTGCCTAAAAATTTCGTCGGATGATTTTATTAAGAATAAAACAAAATGATCAATCGTTGTTGTACATTTCAGCCGTAGAGAAGAGAAAAGTGAATTGCGATGGAACGCGACACTGTTAGTTAATGAAAAATCCTATAATAACGATTTAATCTATCTCCTATGCTAACGATCCCCGAAAATTTCTAATTACCATCGTGCATATCCTGATTAGGAGGTACGTTAATCGTCGTGACAGAGACATTCTTTCCTGTTTCGGAAGAGCGGACTGCAGTGATCGTTCCAGATGGTCCATTGCCATGGGTCGAGGAACAGCAGCTAGTCGAGGAAGTGGCCGATGTGGTGGTCGCCAGGGAGGAGGTAGTGGTGGTGCAGGAAGCAGAGACGGAGGCGGAGCTGTCTGGAACGGTTGAACTAGTGGATGAGGAGGCGGCGGTGCAGGAATTCGTTTTCCAGGATTGCGAGGCTGGCCACCAGCCAGAACCAGGCCCTGGGCCTGGGCCTGGACCTGGGCCCTCGCTGGGCCCGTTTTGCTCCGACATTCTCAGCTAGTTAATCTGTCGCACGCTCGTGATGCGACTCGCAGTCTTTGGATGGTCGCGAAAGCTTGCGGCATTCTGGAAACAATCCGCTGTGGCTTTTCTAGGAACTAGTCTTTGCGACTATTTCCCGGATAAACTGTATCTCTATTGGACGTCTATCGACCACAACAGCTTGAGTTCAAACATCGAAGAAACGATCGAAGAACGATCGATGCTTGCGTGCCTGTGAATAGAAAAATTTCGTTATTATATTTTTAATTTGATACTAAAAATGTTAATGTTTATTTAACTGGATGATCATTACACTGTGTGTGTGTGTGTGTGTGTGTGTGTGTGTGTGTCATTATCGCTTTATCATTATCTCTAAGCGCTTTATTTGGAGAACAACTAAAAGTTCACCAACTTTTGAGATTTTTAAAAATTATAATTAGATACGAGTGGTAAAAAGGTAAAGCTAAAGAATTGTTAGGGAGCATAAGCATAAAAATGTCGAAGGAATATGTAGCTAGTATGAAGAAAGAGTAACGTTCAGTATAAAAAAGGAATAATTCTTATCAGAGTGATATCAAGTTTCATGGTAGAACGTCGCAAGAAAATGCATTCAAGTGCACGGTGAACGTTTACGGATCGCGTCTGAGAAGCAGAGGCTATGGAAGCGATCGCACACATCCAAGTTCCGCTAGTGTGCACCAACGGCCGTCCCGCAAGGCCGGTTCACTTCCGGTCTCGTAGAACCACCGATCGACCTTCGTGCGGAAACGCAAACGCGTTTCTTGCTCGTACCTTTTGTTTGTAACTGATCACGCAATACATACGATATAACGCATCTGGCAAGAAAAAACTGCGACAAAATTGTGCTCTTTGTCTGTTGGCGTTTGATATTCGATACGTCGTATTAATTATAATACATCCAGACGATAGTTCAATGTTTGGCTTTTTTCTTGTTCCAAGCGATAGTATGTATTCATTGTACGTTTTACCATGTAGTTATACCGACTCTTACAATTGATATTTCAACATTTCGAATATTTCTACGGCATGAAACTTGTGTATTATTTAATTATTATGAACATATGTTTTATGAGTATGTGAAGTGTGTATGATCTTTGGTACAATATACATAAATATTTCTATCTGTACGATTACGTTATAACAGAAACTAAAGCAAATGAACTTGGTAGAAACAATGATGAAAATGACTTTTGTGTTATACGTGTGAAACCTTAAGTACCTTAAGTACCACACACACACATATATATAATTGCGTGCTTGTTTCCTATATTGTTAACTCGTAAGATTAGTTCAATTACAATTAATATATAAATATAGTTTGTGTTGATTTTTCAAATTCCGTTGGTTTGTCAAAATGCTTTGTGAAGACGCCAACTATAGTTGGTACGATATCAGAAACGAGTAGAAATCTGGGACGAGCCGGTAGGAAAATGAGAAGAATTAAACCGTAAGAAAATGTAGCGTCACGCGGCCATATCGGCCTCTTCGGGTCCTCGGATGTTCGTAAAGGCCACGACGATGGTAGTTACAACTATGGCTGCGACGCCGACGGTAAGGTCAAGGCCCTCTGCAACCGCCCTACCCAACTCCGATGTACCTTCGTAGTCACGTGACGCGACTCAAGGTCTTTTCTCCCTACTCTAACTGACACACCGACCATGCTACCGCACCGCCATTGCCATGCCATGCCATGCCATGCCATGCCATGCCATCCACCACAATGCACTAGGATTGTTTTTTTTTTTTTTGTATATTTGGATGGGCCTCAATAGCCTCATAATGTTTTACCTTTTTTTTTTTAACAACTTTAGAAAGTTGACCCGATCTCGTTCGACTTACCTTCTATTAAATTTCTCCATTCGACTTGCAGGATTCAAACGCCTATTTTGATCTAATCACAACGCACGTGCTAAATTTCACGAGACGTTGCAATGGAATTGTAATAAAATATTAACGTGCACACAACCGCCAATAGTCGTGCAGTGTAGCAAGCGTGTTGATATCTCATAGGCATTCCGTTCTCATTATGCGACTGTAAACATCTACTGAAAGAAAAACACAGATATGTATACGTAATTGAGTTCAGCAATGTGGTACGTATGTATTTCAATATCTTAATCACAATTTTTTTTTTTTTACGAAAATTCAACATTACAGAGAGTATAATTTTAATCTCTTATTCCATAATTTACTCCTTCACAGAAAAGTTACGCTTTTTTGTTAAAATATATCTTTAATAATTATTTCAGTAACAGAATTCAACTAGAGAGAGAGAGAGAGAGAGAGAGAGAGAGAGAAACTGCAATCAAAGAATCAGAAGTGAGAATAGTTGTTAAACTACCGTAATGACCGTATTTTGTATTTGTGGTGTGTAATACTATGTTCACCTCTAGATAAAAGGTGCAAGGATGGCAGGTGACGCGGAAGAGGGATCGATGACCTTAAGGGAGTACACGCCGGCTCTATTTTGAGCGAGTCGTATATATCGTAGGCCCCGATTAAGATTCAGAATGACCATGAAAGAAGTATAAGTACAACGAGCCATGGGTTTGTTTTCCTATTACGTGTGTCGTTACTGCCGACGAAATTGCGGACTAAGTAAAACGTTATCTATGTTCTTAAGATAGAATTAGATACATATTAACAAGAATTAACAAGTCACGAAGATACAATTTTTAAAAAAGATTCGTTCGCTTTAAAAATTTTATTAATTATGGCGCTTGATTAAAATTTCTTTAATTTTCTTTCACATAGAATTAATATTGGTATAACGGTTATTCGTATCCATTTGGTGAAAATTAATAACACTAAAGCAACTGCAAAATTACCTATAGCTATAGTCGATAAATTGCAAAAGTGACGCGTTAATGAAACGTTGATTTTTTTCAGAATTTCTAGTATATACAGATCGTTTAATTATCGGATTAACAATTGATTATCTTACAGTTTCGCATTGATTGCCTGTAAAAAGCAGATTTTATTTAGCAAATTAAATAAACCATTTATATTCCGTGAAAATAGTTTACAACATGAGAGATGATAGTTTACAACATGTTCCCAGTTCCTATCGGGAACGTACGTATACACTCTGTAAAGAGAGCGATCAACCAAGGATAAACCAGTGTACTGAAATTTGATTTCAGTATGTATAATTATGAATTTATTAATATTCTGCATGTCGCAAATGAACTCTGACTTACGTACATGCATATTCTTTTTACTATATTGTACAAGATTAACATGCCTAAAAAATCAGTATTGACCTATCGTACAGTATCTGTAACACGTACCATAAGACAACTTTTCGAAACCAATTTGTACTGCTACATAAATTTAACAGATTTAGCATTTTTTATTTTAGAACATATTTTAGAACAAAAGATTAAAAGTTGCGAATTATTATTTCTAATAATTTCTAATCTTGTTGTTTGAATCTTGTTAATTTATAAATTGAAAACTGATTTATTTCACTGAATATAACATAACTGATGAAACTGATACGAAGAGTACCAGACTTTAATTTATATCGGACATCGTTTGACAAACGTTTCTAACTTACAATTAGAAAGTACATGTACTAAAGCTACAAACAAGCACTAACTTTTACCGATCGATAACGCGCGATAATTGTACGTTTACACGACTGTTCGTTACACAATGAACGTGCTAAGGTATTTCATAGAGGTTTTCCTCGCAATCGTATTCTATGTATAAAAAAGTACAGGATTCGATGTGGAATCTCTTTTCCCCTCTCTCTATTTCACTCGCAAGGTAGACGCGGGTTTTTCCTTTCACCCGGGCCAGTTAGCTCGAGGAGCCCCAACATACATATATACGTTTAATATCTCTCGTTGAACGTGTGCCTTGCCTTTTCACACGTAACCTCGCACAAATATTTTCCATAACCACGCTTTATCCTTTAACCACACGTATCTCTGTCATTTTCTTCAATTATTTTACTCACTTGCAGCGTTCCTTTCGTTATTTAGAAGTGTTTCCGTGTGAACAAATTTCGAAATAACTGGCATGACCATAATTTTTATGATTGAAATGTTATCGGCATTAAACAGCGATGTAAAATGTAAGATTGATATCTATGTATCTGGTGTCCAGTCCGAATGTAACGTACGCTGCATTATTCGTTTCTTCAACTTTCAACTAAAAAAGAATTTAATAAAAATTCTAATGAAATTCTAAGATACGTTGCTTTCGCAATTAATCTTGCATCACGTTTTATTATAGCTCATTGGCGACCGATAAAGCGGGCGAAAAGAAAAAGAATGAAAATGTCGCGACGTTTAGATAAAACGATCAAGATTAAAATAGTGAAAAATACGAAGAATGTTCGTTTTTCTTTTACCGGATACGACACCTTATACGAGGCTATATGTGCATACAAATGCCGATCGAAGATACTCAGTGGTCTGGTCTGGGTGTCAATTAAAATTATTATAGCCGGTCGAGAAGCATTTTTGAGCAACATCAAGAAACCGGTTCGGTTTGGGATCGGCTGCAACAGTCAGCTACCGTCGCGTCGTCTCATATATACACTGCCGCATTTTGTTTTCGCCTGGCTCAACGAGATCGCGTCGAATCGACTTTGCACTCGAGAAAAATTCGTACTGCCGATAAAAAATGATCGATATCGACCTACATATAATAGGTTAGATTGTCTTTCGACGATTTGAATTATACGGATGGCGTAACAGTAACACATGTACATTCCGCTAGCTCAAAAAATTCACTGGAAAAGAAAATCTAAATATCGTGTTTAATTGACTAGAACGACTATGAATTAATATACATGTGCAATGCGTTTTAAAGCGTGCAAACTACAGACACATCTATGTCGTATGCGTACTTATAGGTAAGGTGCAAGTAAAATAATTTTTTTTCTTTTTTCGTTTCTTTTTCTTTTTTCTTTTTTTTTTTTTTNTTTTCTTTTTTTTTTTTTTTTTTCAAGAAGACTTTTGAAATACAAATATTTAAAATATTTAAATCGCTAGTACAATTGGAGCAAAGTTAAAAGTGATTTGCATTGACAATCATCCGTCGAATCGAAGTTACCGTTCATTGATTAGATTGATTAGATTGGACAAGAAGATCGGTGAATAGAAAAAGATGTACATAATTATGCTACATGTTCGGAAAAGTTAGTTGGGGAAAAGAAACGGGAGGAAGAAAAGAGGAAGACTGCCGTCGAGTAACAACAAATGATCGAGGTGCGGCCGAGCTGGTACGCGAGAAAGGTTCATCAATATTCATAAGTTGCACTAGGCCTATTCGCGGTCTCAAGGATCCAGGGAGTTTCCAGTATAAACTCCTTCTCCCTGACTCCCTTTTTTTCTCTTTTCATGCGCAGGGTGTGGGACTGCACATACTCGACGAAAGCAACTCGCGCGACATAGAATTCTCTACGTAATGTGCACATACACGCGCATACTCATGCATTTACACTGCATTCTATATCCATGCTGTCATATCGCGTTACTATTTTCACGTTTCATTGTGTGTGTGTGTGTGTGTGTGTGTGTGTGTGTGTGTGTGTGTGTGTGTGTGTGTGTGTGTGTGTGTGTGTCGTGGCAAAAATGCATTCAGATGCATATTTCTACTTCGCTCCTGATGGAATGACAAAATCCAAACAAAATCAAATACTCTGCAACATTAGCCATGTTATATTCGAATGTGGATATGTGTTTTAAGCTTTTTAGCTATACATTTTACAGCAATGATACCGTTAAGCATCTCTTTTTTCTTCTAGAGAGAAATAATTGCAATTGGACTCACAAATGTTAAATTGATAGTGTTTTTGAATGAAAATCACAGTCTTCGTCGATGTAAATTTTCCATCTTTGAATAAGTTATATTAAGTTCGTTTATTTTTATGCACATAATATATACATATATATACATTTATGTATACAGCCATTATAGCCCGTGTATGCATATGTAATGTATATACTCTGCGGTCGTGATAAGATCGGGAAGGAACTTGCGCAATCTCGAGTACCGATTGCCAGGAGAGGTAGTATCGTGGACAGACCCGTCATCGTCGATGGATTTTCGATCTGTATCTCGCATTTTCTGTTCTATTAACGAATAATTTACTCGTTTAATTGCTTAAAAATCCTAAGACATAAAGAGGATATTTTCGATGGAAAGGAGACCCTTTCATGAAAACGGTTTTTACGATTTTTGCAATATGCCTAGCATCAACATATTTGTCGTTGTTGAAAAGTTACGTTAACGCAAAATATATATCGTTACTGCATTACATATCATTACATTTTTATTTCTGTTTGATTTAATATTCAAAATTTGAAATTGAATTAATTGATGAGAAGTTTAAAGAAATTTTCCCGAGATTAGGAAATTTGCACTGTAAATTGTTTTGTGCCAAATTGATGGAATAACATCGACACAGTAATCTACAGGCCATAGAAGAGGCGTTTTTTTATTATCTCAGTAATAAACTTCAAAAATTCTTTTTTTTTCAATAGCGTTAATAAAACAGAATATATATAACTGTTGTCTACCGTAAATAACATCGAATTACATACACGTGTATCACTAATAAGCAAAATTTTATGTTTGCTTGTGGGAACTATTTTTAAAACGTCCTCTACGTGTTGAAAACATTAAAAACATTAAATATAAGCGAAAATTTCGAAAATAAATTCAATAAATTTTCATTATTGTTATGAATATTTTTAAAAAGTTATAAGCAATGTTAACATTATTTCTGACAGTGACATCAAGTCAATAACATCATCATTACTGACTGTATTCACGTATACCGCTATAGGCTAACGCCCCATCCATTTGATCCCGTTTCCTTTTTACTGTAACAGTCAGCTTCGAGCCAGCGATTTTCTTATGTTTCTCTACTTCTCCTCAACCTCTACCCTCTCAACCTTTTCCATTTATCTTTCTCCACTTGTATATTTCATTATTCTAGTACATTCCCTATTTCCTTTTCTCACAATCAGTAACATGCGTATTATATATATATATATATATATAACCGAATGAATGTACGATAAAAATTAAATAAACACATTTATCTGTGTGAAAAAGAGATTTCTATATCAAAATTCTATTTGGCGATAAACACCGAAATTCCATTAGCAAACTCGTATTAAAAAAAAATACAAAGTTAGTAGGTAGAATGTCAGACTTTCGTTCCGAGTTCCTTGATCGAAGATAACTTGTCTACGCGCTAGATTCCGAGTTCGACCTTCGATTTGATAACGTTAGGATAACGTTCCGATGAGAATGCATTTATCACCGCACCCGAAGCGATTAAATCGACTCGCATGAGATTCACAAATGTGAAAAATTATTCTTAGAAAATATTTATTAAAAAGAAAAAAAGAAGTCATTCTATGTGAAAGCGTCGAATCGAAATGTAATAGAAATAAATTATTCCTATACACGATTTTTCTTTCTCTGTCATTCTTTAAAATTTTAAAAGAGGTAAAAACAGAGGTGCGAAACATCGTTAACGAATTAACAAAGTAGACAGAGTGGTCGTCGAATTCATAATGTCGAATAACATACGAAATTCATAACTGCGGTAAATTCGAATTTTCATTACGTTCTTTAAGCGGATAAAGGTGTTAAACATGGACAACGAAGCTAGGAAGGTGGCTTAGTAAGCAGGCTGAAGGCTCGAGCCCGACAACTCGTCTTCTTGGCTTAACGGGTTCACGTTGGAACACGAAACGTCCATATACAGCGAGTTACGAGAGAAAGAAGTTAGTGCGCGCGCGATCGAAGAAAATCTCCAGGCACAAGAATCTCGCGTTAAGGAGCACTGATCTGCAGTGTGTATCGTGTATTACCTCGAGATGGTAGGGATAGAGGTGAAGGGTGCAAGAGGAGGGCGCGAAGGGGCTCAAGGCCGGTCACGCTGTCAAGCCAGAAAGCCTGCGCGCCGAAATATCATGACTATCCAACTCGGTTAGCCTCGCTTGCTGCTCCGATTACTTCGTAGAGACACGCGGCTATATCACGTTCTCGTTCTTCTGTTGCCTTCTTGACAGAACAAAAGTCACGAAAACGTTAAAGATTCGTGTCAAAGACTCGTATCTCACGGGTTTTTACGAACGGAAAACAGGGTGAAAAGGGGTGAAAAACTGTGAAATACAGACAGAGAGGGGAGGGCAGGGGAAAGGAGAGGAGAGGAGAGGAGAGGAGAGGAAGAGACTCGACTTTAAGACAGGTGGTACGAGCACGGAGGCTGACAGCTGATAGTTTGTACTCTTGTGCATCGAGGGAAGTTACGAAACTTGTTACCACGAGAAAGGCTACGACACAGTCTTGCAGGAAAGAAGCGGAACACGTTGGTGTGTGAGAGCGTGCGTGTGCGAGTGCCTTCGCGGCTCGCGGCCGAGCGAGAGAAAGAGAAAGAGAAAGAAAAAGAGGAAAAAGGACGCGAGGAGACAAAAGGGAGAGACGAGAGGAGAGAGAGAGAGAGAGAGAGAGAGAGAGAGAGAGAGAGAGAGAATGTGTGAGATCGGTGACCAATCGATTCACGATCGAAATTTATCGCGCTCGTAGTGTCTAATCGTAGGCCGACGATCGTAGCACCTAATGACTCTGATGGTAAACTTAAGGCGATTTTCAGTTAGCGAAAAAAAAAAAAAAAGAACACGTCGAAGAGAAGAAATGTGGCGAATAGTGAGATGAAGAGACAAAAGGGACGAAAGTGAAGGGTGAAGTAAAAGAGAAGAGAGGAAGAGACCGATGAAAGGAAAGGAGCATAACGAGGAGGAGGCGGGAGTTCGGAGGGGTCATCGGGAAACATAACCTCTGTACGCGTAACGTCCGAGCAGCCGAACGAGCGATTTTCGACTTTACCTTTGCTTCCGATACACTTCCGCGTATCTGGTTTTCTTACCTTATGTTTCGCGTACAGCTCGATGATTGCGATGATTGTCTGTTCGTTTGAGCGTTCGCGTTCCTAGAAGCCAGCGTCTGGAGCACACGACACTCTTGACAGTTTTCCGCGATGATGTACGGCTCGACTGGTGCAGTTTTTTTTTCGGCTCGACACGAGGATAGATAGACAAGCAGACAGATCACACAACACCACTGCCGACACTTTCGATACGCGACACTATGGTAGACGTGCGATCGGGCGTCTTCGGACGAAGTAACAGGCAACCGAAAGAGCTTGGCACACCTTCGCGTCACGTTACAACGAGTTACAACGAGAGCCACGGGCAGCTACAGCTACAGACACGGACACGGACACGGGCTACCTCGGACTCTCCGTCTCCGTCTCCGTCTCCGTCTCCGTCTCCGCTGTTGACTGGTGGCTACCTCATACCACAAGTTCGTCTCCTACCTGTGTCTCTCTTTCTCTCTCTCTTTCTCTCTCTTTCTCTGTCTACGCTCGTGCTTCGAGCCAGCACCCGCTAGTACAGTGCATTGCCACCAGATGGACGACTGTGTTGCCTCGATGTATCTGTAACATACAGCGATTCTGTATGAAACTGATTTGAAACATTCTTGAAAAACGTGTACGAAACGAAAGAAATTTGAAAAGATATATTGGCTCGTTGGTATTTCAGCGATTGCTTTGACGAGCAAATGTTTCTTAAGACGAACTCGGGGAACGTAAGGAAGGTATGAGATAAAGTATAAAACTTCGTAATCGAGCATGACTCGAATAAAGATGAAATGTGAAATGCGTATGTTTAAAGGTAATTTCTTTTTGCTGCAATCGTTATATATAATGGTCAATGATAGAACAGAACTACATGTGCGTACGACATATATTGCCGACATAATTGAATTAACTTTTAAATGAAAAATAAAAAGATTACACGTTGATTGCGTAGGTAAAAGTTAATAAGAACTTGTTTCGCGTGAGATATTCTTTTATGAAATACTTAACTCCATTAGTCGACATAATCAACATAAATCAACGTAAAGAATGATTATACAATGTAGTTTTAAATTATTGATTTCAAATTTAATTGATAAATAACCTATTCAATTATCAATAATGAATTGAGATACGTTCTACCTATATTTTATCTTTTTGAGTATTTTAAGAAATATCCACAATATATGTGAAATAGGTTAAAATAAAATAGGTCAAAATAATCTTACGACACAATTTTTCGAGGGATAATTTTAATCGGGGAATATTCGAAACAACTGATATGTAAGTCAGTGTGTATTTACTTAAGTGTATTTACTACCTACCTACCTACCTACCTACCTATCTATACATACATACACACATATATACGTCATACATCACACGGAAGCAAGATTTCAATATGGCGACGCGCAATTTGATCTAACCGAAATATTGCGAGTAGATCGAACATGTATCTCCATCTTATATCGTTTGCATCTCGTCCTTTGTTATCGTTTATTTTGTGATTCTGGTGGAATAGAAGGAATTAGAGAAGCACAGTCGATTGATTATTCATGTAAGTGTTTATTTGCGTGGTGTAATTTGAATCACCGGAGTGTAATTAATATTGCGCTTCGTAATTTTCGCAGATAATTCAAATTTTTGTTCACATATTTAATCGACGAACAAAATTCGTCGATTTCATTTTGCACGTAATGTTGTTAGTAACTGTTCCAGTTGTGAGATTTTTAACTTCATTTTATTTACTTCGTTGTTATTATTGATGTCGTTGTTTATTAAATTAAAGTAAATGAGAAAAATATGGACACAATTTCAATGCTGAAACTCTACTCTATTTAATATTTCTCGTTTCGTATTACGAGCATCGCTATGATGATAGATACCTGAGATACCATAGACGATTTAGAAGAAGTTTCAATTGGATCACGTTTGACTTGTGCGTGCCCATTATCTATTTTTGCAAGAACTGTTAGACATTGTTACAAATCTCAAGAACAAGATGGGATTAATTTAATTTCTGTATATTAGTTTCAGAAAAATTGGATTAAAGATTGCAGACAATTATTGTACAACACTCGGCCGTACAACCTAGTGGCACAAGTGAAGTAAACGTAAATGATCATAGTTCAATGCTCGAGACTGACCGGGGTCGCCAAGACATTTTCCTTGGCTCCGCTTGACAGCGATTGGCATCTATAATTCTCGACGGTGTCGTAAAAAAGTCGTGGAATGCTGTTTGATTTGAACTCGTTTAAACGCACTTCAGGAAACAAAACGTGAGTTAGCCCTTTAAACTCGACCATGTCTGTCCGATGATTTTCGTACGAGTACTAATTGCAATGATCGTACCGAATTTATACCCAAGAGACGCCGAGTAATAATGAGCGTAAAAATGATATAAACACTGATAAAATCTATACACGCGAAAGCACGCGAAAGCATTCGAATAGTTGTAGATGTCTTTTCTGAATATCCTATATAATCCTATTTTATTGGGATGAAATAATTATGATAAAGGAAAGAGAAAAGCATCCTAAATCAACAAAATAACTGGAACTTGGAAAATAAAATTATCGGAACGAATAGTCTTCTTCTTTTATATGATAAAATATAATCTGTGTATTACGGGAAACAAAATGTAATGTCATGAATCAAAACGCTTATATTATTTTCTTTTTATTTGCAATAGATACATACATATAGAAACCGAACAAGTTCGAATGAAAGACGGAAAATCGCTAAGCGATTCAACGGCGTGAGCAAGTTTGCAACGAGAAATCTTACCAATGACAGCATACATTTTTATTTATTATCATTGTACGTATACGTGGTCGTGTTGTTACCTATTTACCGATAAATAATTTCGTCAGAATAACTATCGAACGAGACCACTGACGTGTAAATTACCTATGAATCACTTAAAAAAAATACTTATAAACGTGGTACAGCTCAAGTAGACCCCTGAAAACTTTGAAGAATTAATGAAATTTCTTGCTTTTTATCTGTCGCCTTTACAAGTTGACAAATCACTAAAATAATACTCCTTACTTGCTAAATCTGGCTCGATCAATTTGATTTTTCACGTTTCTTTTTCGCGATGCACGGAAAACGAGACACCTTGTTTGAAAATTTTATTACAAAATGAAATTATCACCGAGCACTAAATTCTTACCGGCGCACTTTTATAAAGAGTTGTTAAATACAAATTTTTATTGGAATTTGAAGACAAAGTAAATTTTATAAGGGTAGATAATATTTAGATGGCGGAAATTTATATTTTCATGAATTATAATGTGAACTGAAAAAAAAAAAAAAAAGAAAAAAATGAATCGCAATCATATTTTCACGAACTGTGAAAACTGAGAATGACTGAAACAGGAATATTAACATTACTTAAAGAAAGAAAATGATGAAACTTCATTTTTCTTCAATTTTAAAATGATAAACTTTAAAACTTTAAAACTAACAATAAGAAGGCCAGCATACTTTGCCCATTTATCACTGATCATTTCACAGTTGCATAAACATCCGCAACCTAGTATACTCGTTTTTCGTTATTCATTTTTCGAACGCAACTTGAGATAAGCTGTGCGAAACCAGTCCACAAATTACGCAAACAATTAATCCTCATTAACAGTTAACGTAAAGTAGCCATTTTTAATTAATTAAATAAAAATTGATTAAAATGTAAGAAGAAAAAGGAGTGACAGGCGCGTGTACAAAACGAAACAATTGTTGTTGCTTAAGAGACGCCAAGGGCACTTTTTGCACGTACAGTTACGTTGTGTCTATCATAGCAAAATTATTACATCTCGATTGCTCTTTGCAACGGCAGTAAATTCTAGCTACAGTTGAAACGCACTGAATAGTGTGCATTATCCGTCGTCGATTCTACCGAGGCACGAGCGTCAGGTACAGCCTGCGATCTGTCAGAAGGTCGTTTTAAATGAAGCTTTGCGATCGCGATCTAACTTATTTCCTGAACCGCGGCGGCATCATGTCCGTCGGCGTTGGCGTCGGACTACTGCTACACGACCTGCTCAGTGCTCTGTGGGGCTCAACGCTTAGGAAACTTTTGTCGCTGGTCGGCGGCGCCGAGATGATCTCTGGTTCAGCAGGGCTAGGACATCGTCGTTGCGAGCAGGTTGACAAGGTACTTCTCGATAACGTTTGCAACGGTATTTGGTAGATTCTTATCGGCTTCCAGTCACCTTGATTTTCATAAAAAGGAAAACAATATCTTTTGTACCACGATCGCTGTATGCTTTATATGTTTTATATAGCAAAAAATTCGCAATCCAACGATTAATTGCTATATTGCTATTAATTGCTAATTCAGTGTCTGTATCTTCGGGCAACGAATTGTTAATTTGTGATGAATATTCTGTGACGATTTCTAGATGTATCAACATCGTGTCTTATTATGAAACGCAATGCGTTTGGATTGCGCAAGTAAAGCAACGGAAAATTATAATCCGTTTCGGAAAGCGAAACGTTGTGCACGTACTGTGTAGATTAGATCGAGATGTCGAAGATTGTGCCAAAGAAGGCGGACTGGAAACCGGTTCTTCCTTGTCCACGGGCTTTGAGTCCAGTCGGATTCTTTCGCATTTTCCAGGCAGAAACTCCGGAGCCGTCGTGGAGAAGAAGATGTCTTGCTTCGAAGTAATTAAATTCAGATTCGGCATGGCGATCGTGTGCACTAGATTTCCATTGATTATCAATCGTATCTCCATAGTGTCGTTGGTAAATGCGATTACGTAGGGAAAGGCACAGGCTAGAAAAATTTTTAATATGTTTCACAAAATTATCCAAGACTAAAGAACTAAGTTTGACAAGAGGATGAAAGGGGAAAAATATTTTTTACCTATTGCTGCAGGAACAGAGTTCCAGTTGAAATCAAATTCCGTTGGTACGGTATTTTCTTCTAGAAGCTTTTGAAAGTGACACGTATCTAGGATAAATAAACGAATGTTAAAACGCGATGAATCGTAGGTTCAGAGATTACTTGGAACGTAATCCTTAATCCTCCTCTGTCTCAAGTTCATCGAAATTGGTACCTGTTGTAAGCTGTACCTTACTTCGTATACAGTTACCTACCTGGTTTTACATTTTTAATTAACATTTTTAGTTTTAGGTTTTAAGTTTGATTGGAAATTTGTTGTCAAAGATATAATTTAAAGAGTTTAAGAGTAGCTAGTTGATCGATAAGATACACACTGTTGTAGCAGAGTAATAATTCGGGTTCTTCATCTTCGCAAAGGTCCAGAGCAGCCACCAGATGTGGTTTTGTCGTTCCCTCGACATGAAGAATTCTGGTGCTTCCCGAAGCTGAGATTAGCTCAAAATGATGTCGGACGCCGCAGCAAAGCGTCCATTCATTGTTCAAGTCTGTATTTTCGATTATCGTTACTAAAGACGGAGTCTCACTAACATTGAACTCTTTCAGATGCAGAAATCCTTCGACGGTGTCTGTGTCTGCTGCGGAACACCAAGCAGTCCATGCGGCACTGTGTTTCCATTGGAGAACTGTTAAACGTCGTCCAACCGCTACGCACTATAAAAAATTATAGGTGAATCGTACATATAATTTAAATTTATCATCACCATCATCATCATCATCATCATCATCATCATCATCATCATCATCATCTTCATCTTCCTCCTTCTCTCCTTCCTCTTCATCATCGTCATAAATATTATTGATGATTTTAGTATTTAATTTAATTAGTTTACAATTTATTTGGAAGAACTTTGGACAATCTATTAACCTAACCCAAACCGACAGAATCGAAAATAATAGCCGAATTAAAAAACGAACAAAACTATATCGTTTTCAAGAAAATAACTTTTTACGTATGTATTTAAGTACCTTAAGTAGAGATACAGCTTATGTCAGAGTTATGTTCCCTACGATCGTACGATCAAACGTGTACGTTTCTAATGCAAGGCTAATTAGACACATGTAGATACAGCGACTTCTACTGCGAAATTAAACCGTTCCTAGCTTGAACGTTCTTTTTCGTTTTAATATTATTTTATAAATAATATTGGAATGTTTCCAACATAAGTTAAAGTAATGCGAGAACGAAGAATACAAAAGTTGCGTTCGAAGCTTTGTTCTTTAGATATTGGCAGAGTGTTTTTTTTTTTTTTTTATAAAAATACATACCATACGCAAATGGGAACCACCGGGCATAGTAATGGTGTACAAGTGACAGCCCCGAGTTCTAGGTAGCCTTCTTTCCTTTATGTGCGCTCGTCCCCTGACGGCCAGAGGACGAACACGAACGTGAGCACGACGAATCACGGGTTTGAATTTCGTAGTGGCCCGCGTGAAATTGTCGTAATCGGTCTCTTCGCTCTCGTCAGCTTCGTCATCCACGTCATCCTCGTCGGCATTATCTTCGTATTCCTGATCGTCTTCGCGATCGTTTAGAACCTCGGCAGACCTGTTCGTCGTGTTATTTTCGAATTCTCTTAGACGAAAAACATAGACGTTGCTTTCTTTCCCTTTGTCACCGGCTCGAAACAACAATATCCCGTGTTGTTCGACTACGTCCAACTGTTTGATCTGCACGGACTCGTCGAAGATTAATCTGTGCGATAGGCTGTCTGAAATAGGAAATCCATCGTACAGTTTTACAATTATCTTTCTCGCAATTGGGATAGCTTGCAAGTTCTTAGAGTTAGTTCCTGCAGTTTCCTATTCGAGAGAAAGATGAACAAGTGAGGTCAGATGGTTTAAAAGTTTCGACTGACCTTCGATCAGAAAAGTTCCATTCTCGGTAGCCAGGATCAGCTTGTTATCCAGCCAAACATCCCCACAGACGACCTCGTGAGAGAAATCCGGATAGATACACCTCGGCTCCCATGGTCTGGGCTTCAAAGGGCCAGCAGTGGCTAAGGAGGTTGGTGCCAAACCTCTGACGATCGCCTCCAGTTTGAGGGCCTGGCCGACACGCACCATCTCCACAGCACGTGTCTCCTCGCGACGTCGACCTGGAGCCTCCACGACATCCGACAATGCTCGTCGGTTTAACATACTCTGCGAAAATTCGATCGGTTTTCCTTTCTACGGGGGGCGAGGGAACAACTAACGCATACCATACCAACGCAGTGCGTGTTTTTTTTTTTTTTGTGTTTCCTTTTTTATTTTTTAGTTTTCTTTCAATTTTGATTGGTCGTTAGGTGGATGCGTTGCAAAATTGTGCAAAGTCGTGCAAAGTCGTGCAAAATCGTGCAAAATTTCACATACGCGACGAAAGGAACCCTCTAATGTTGGTTATGCATAGAATCTTTGGACGATACTTGTAATTCTGACAGTTATTATTTTTAAATAATGATTCATGCTGTCATATAAACGTTAATAATCTATGTCTCAAGAACAGATAACCGTTACAAATAACTAAGAAATAACTAAGAAACTGATAATTGATAGATGAAAAATAAATTGGGGATTCGATCTTGGTGTCTATTTATATTTTGCAAATTTTCTAGGAGGATTCAACAACTTTATTTTCCAACGGCATCCATTGTCCTATTCTAATGGAGAGTCATTCTTCACGGAAATATATAATGTCATATTGCGTATATTATGCACAGGATGGGTCAAAATTCAGACAGGCTAAGGTTTGAACTACGATTCAACAGTAATTTTTTCTTATCAAGGAAGCAATTTCAAAGACACTGTGTACCTAGAACGAATGCTCAATGTGTTTGACTAGATTCGCTTGCTAATTATGGAGGATGACGACGTTTTAAATGAGTTTCGTTTGTCGACTCGCAAGTTATAATATAACATATAATATTCGACGCAATGAAAACTTTTTCGCCCAGTCGGGCAAAACGATAAAATGCAGAAATTAAATTATCGTTGAACAAACTTACGTTGCTCTTACTCTCCTGCGAGTGTTCTTGATACATGTCCCGGAGAAGAGCGTCAAGGGTTCTCTCCCTCTTCTGGGCGAACGTCGGCGTGTTGAATGTGGCCTTCTCGCCGTTTATTAACTTGACGAGCAGAAATTCTCGCAGGGTGTACGGGTCTTCGAACACCGGTGGACACGGAAGGCTTGGGCCAAACAGAGGAACATTTTCGTCGCAGTAGATGGCCACGCGCCATCCTTTGCCGTCTCTTTCGGCCGACACCACGGCAAATACATCTATTTGCATTCGTGAATGCAATTCGTGTGTGAGAGAATAAACTTCGATCGAGTTCGCGACGATATGAAAAAAGAAAAAAAAACTAAACTACGTAACGTTGACTCACGAGTAAATTGACTTCTAATGCAATTCGGGTTGAAAGTGTCAATGGCGTCAGGGTCGTCAGTGTAAACGATGTTAACGATATCGTTACCGATGTGTCGCTTCCTCTCCAGTTGTTGCGGGTTGTCCTTTGAATAGGGAAGCATTGTGCTCACGTGATACATCACCTCGTGTCCCGCGTACACGGTGTAATAACTTTCTTTCCCTGTCATATCACCTACGAACGTCGACAGAGAGAGAGACACGGTGAGATAGAAAGACAGCGGAGAACGTGTCGACGAGAAAAAAAAAAAAAAAGGTACTTTCATGTTTTATGCATAATGTTTAATGTTTCACGTGGTTGAAGGTATTGAGACTGAGAGTGAAAATGTTGAGTATTCGTTTTGAGGAAAAAAGGAAAGAAGAGGAAGAGAAGTAAGAAGAGAAAGAAGATGCATATAAATACGACACCTTTTACGTCTAAGCCACCTCGATACTTGTCCCAGTTCTTCAATCCTATCCTTTCGCCCAGAATTTCGAGGAACTTGTCGAAACTTGGACTGCCCTTCTCTGTAAATGAAGCACTATGTAGGGAATACTACTGTTTCGTCACTTTTTAAGTCTCGACTCTTGGTATTAATTACGTAGAAAATTACGATATCTTTCCCTACGTTCTTCAGTTATGTACAATATGTAAGTGAAAATTATATCAAATCGTACTTTTATTCAAAGAGGTTGAACATTGCGAAATTATAAAATTGAAATTTCTGACAGATAATATTTCTACGTTCGATCAAATTTCTGTTAAAACGGAAACGAGATACAGTGAAAGGTAACAAAGAGGCAACTCCGTTTCATTTTTCAAGTGGAAACGATCGCCACTGTTGTGTTGTCCAGTGTCATTAAAATCTCGACAGTTAAAGTGACTTTTTATTGATTTACCATTGGATAGCATTTCGTCGTCAGTTGTTTGCCCTTTCTTCGCGTATATCACGCCAAACTTGAAATTGACAGAACCTTCTTGTTCTTCTAGCAACAGCAGGTCCTGAGATGCAAAAATCCATTTTTTCAAGTTAATAAGTTTCATGAATCAATTTACATTTGTGAGTGATGTATATTTAGCAGTTGCAGTGTCTTCTGCAAGGGAGGCTCTGTCTCCAAGAGTCGCGAAAAGATAAAATACATCGAGAACTTTTCTCTGGACTATCGTTAATTTATGTCTGTGCGTATGAAATTATTTTATGAAGCGCATTCGTTTCTTGCAAACAAATAATGTCTTCCCGGTTAACGGACAAAAACGGTTTAGGTCCTTTCATTAGTAATTAATCCAGGAATTAGACGCTCACCTTTTGAATTTCAGGAGAAAAAATTTCGCGCGGAGCCTTATCGAGTTTCTCCAGTCCAAAGAAGTTGCTGAAATGAAATTTCAACCGCCAATCAGCAATTTACTTACAATTTGCACTTTCGAGTGTCAGGTAGCAAGGATACGTACCTTAAGATATGCCTGATGGTCATCGTTTTGTTGGCGGAATACGGCAGCGATATCTTCTGCGCACCCTAAATTTTTCATTCTTTTATTCGAGCGAGGTAATTTTTTCGATCAGGAATCGAAAGGAAATAAACAATTTTCATTGAAAGAAATGTTAGTGAGTTCTGAAAAATCTTTAAAAACTCATTGTCAGTAACGTCTTTAGCTTTCTAACTGCTTATTCGAGAAACAAACACAAACAAGCTTTGAACAAAAGGTAACAAAGTTGTACTATTACCATTCATTGAATAGTACTTGTTTATTAAATAGTATCAGTTCTTGTTATAGAAAGATTTTTATTTAAAAACAAAATATTTTTATTTTTAGTCTTTCTAACTTTTATTTTCAAAGACTTCTCTTCTATTTTTTTTTTTTTTTTTTTTTCATTAATACTTGTAACGTGGAACATTTTTCTAAAAATGTTCCACCAGTCCATGTTTTAAATAGATTGTTACACCTATTAAAAAGTTCAACTTTCTACAACTTTCTCGATCCTTGTTTTATATTCTATTTGATACTTTCTAGCTTTGAACAAGAGCTTTGTTTCCTTATAATGCATATAATTGATATAATGGATAATGGATAATCTTGGATAATTATTAGTTTTATTATACTATTATTATAATGCAATTAATAGATAGAATCTTATAAACATAAATTTCTAATAATTTAGATAAATTGAAAAAAAAAATTTGTAACTACCTTTTGCTTCCTCAAAAATTTCAATTTCGTGAAATTCGTTTTATTCGTTTTGTATCTTTCATTCTTAGCTGCTTGTCTCGAGACAATCTTGGCTGCATACGTACGTGTATGTATATATATGCGATATTGACTATTTAAAAATAGACTCTACGTTAAAATTATTTTCTAAAAATGCAGAAAAAACTTTTTTTCAGTTCACAAATCAACTTTAAAGAAAAGAAGTATTATCTGCCAATGTTACTTTCGATTTTATTATCAAAAAATTCATTTAATTAATTAATTTTAATTGATTCTGAATTGATTTTAATTTTAGGCAATACTCACGGTTTTTCTCCATAAAATCACTCTGTAGTGTGGTACACTTTGCTCACTGACTTCGCTTGTCACAACCGACAGAAACAAGGGATTTCTTTCTTGATCCGCAGCAACGTAATTTTGATGCACTATTTTTCATACAAATATTTTTATACAATATACATATAAGTACAAATTATTCCACGCATGCTCAGGTAAATTTTGTTTACACATTTTATAAATACGTAATAATGTACGTGATATATAAATGTAACGTACTAAAAATGTTTAAGTGAAATGATCGTTCCTGTTATCTATTATATACATATACACAGATATTCACTTATCTAAAATGTATAAAAATACCAGCATGCACTCTACTCACATTTTCCGAGAAAGTACTTGAAGTACCAGCGCGTTTGATACTCTGGATTTTCCAATATCGGTGTACTCGGCGATCCGAACATCTGCACACGTATGAAACCAGTTCCACCACAAATGTAATCAAATTTTGCGTCAAAACAGAGAAGTGGAAAAGCAACAGAAAAAGACACGAGGAGAGAAGAAAGAAAGACACGAAAGAGAGAGAGAGAGAAAGCGAGAACAAAACCTTGGGCAGAAATGACAGAGTAGAAGCAAAAGAGGAAGTGAGTGACACGGATGCATAGAGACGCAATTACAGGTTTCTTACTTCTTCTTTCTCGCCCGGAGAATCACCGTTCTCCACTCGAAATCTTCTTCCATTGTCGGACCCGTCTTGCTCGATTTGCGGCAGCTGAAAGGCGATTTTAACGGGCTAACATCAGCGACTGTGCGAATTTCTTCCGGTGCGGTGCACGTCGAGGAGGGAAAAGAAGACAAGAGACAGACAGACTACACCCTCTCGGAGTGTCATCGTTACGCATGGTAAAGTTAATAAAAGAAAGAGAGAGAAAGAGAGAGAAGAGCGAATTTTCTTGAAATCGTGAAAAATAAAATTGAGAAAGGTATGTTTTATTTGTTAGAAAAAAAAAAAAAAAAATTCAAAAATATTAAATACAAAAATGTGATACCACGAAAGTAGAACGTAAAATTTGATAAAAGAGCATTTTATATATAGCATTGAAAATGCCATTATTTTTTTTTTTTTTTTTTGTAGTCGCTACAAGTTTCTTGATAATATTTAATTAGTAATAGTCGTCGAAAACAAAACTCACCATTTCCACGCTGCCGTAATATCGTCTGGAGAGAACACCTCGCCTGGAAATAGCATCTGTGGTGGATCTGAAAACAAACATCGTGCACGTTCAATGATCGTCCGATAAATTGCTTTTCGACTTTTATGCCGGTTTTTGTGCGTAACAAATGTCGCCACGACACAAACCAAGAAGTACGAGTAATTTCAGTCTCTTTACAGAACTTTCATCGATATTTCCTGTTTTATTATCACCAAGATATCTGGGTTAATGAGGGCAGCACGCAGGAAAGGATCTAAATTGCATCAATCAACACGTTGCCTGATCAAATTATTCTTTTCGTATAAAAGACGTTTGGCTGCAATTATTTTTAACCATAGTTGTCGAAACTTTTTTAGCGTAAAGAAGGTGCTCGTTAAAATCTGAGATAGTGGCGAACGATTCCTTGTAATTGATGAAGCGCCGAATACATTTAACGAGAGGTATTTCCTTACATAATCCACACATGTTCATCTTTAAAGTTATCTTTAAGAAACGTACACATGATGGCTTGCCCGTCGATGAAGGTGTCTCGAGTGAACAGCGGACAGGGCGGACACGCAAACTGATCTAGATCTGTTCCGATGGATCATTTGCGCAGCCGGCAACGTTTCTTCGTCGCTGTCGCTTTCCGTCACCGAGTTCCCGTTCCCAGCGGAACTCTCTCTTCTTCCTTTGCTTCGTTTGCACTTTTCTCCACTGGCAGTCGTCGATGAGGTCGAGGTCGACGACAACCGGGGTACCGGTGGCACATTTGTGGATGAGCCACTCGTCAACGAGACGCCTCGCAAACGAGAGACCAGCTTTATGTCCAAGCACAACATCCGTAGAGTTATTTTGCCACAGTTATTTTTCTCTTCTTTTTTTTTTTTTCTTTTCTTCTAAATTTTCTATCTCGAATAACTTCTCGAGAGTCTTTCAGTTTTCACGCGATCTTTGGTGGAATCGATTTGGCAAGTTTCATAATTATTCAAAACAAAAAATAAGGGTTCACAAGGGGGATTGCGATTTCTATTCTGAAAAGACGAAGAGGAGTTTTACATCACTTTACAACCCCGTCTCCTTTATACTGGCACCCCGCGTTCACGGTGAGTGAGTCGCGTAATTTATTTTACTTTGTATAATTTTTAGAATAATCCTGCATTCTGCAGGAAAATGTTTCACGCAGAAATTGTTCCCTCACTACTTGTTTACGAATTATCAACGCGACCTTTAAATGAAATAGCTACAGTGACTCGTAACAGGCAGATATCGTTCAAAAGTTACGCGAAACTTTTTGAAGCTCCGGCCGTGTCGTTTGACAAATTCAGTCATCCTATTGTACTTACAGTCTTTTTCTCAGATATTTTATTTGATCTTTTCATCAAGCCAGCTTAATTGGAATTATTGTATTGTTCGTTCAACGTTCAAGTATTGAATATAAACAACTGACAAGGCATCGGGTTACAAAAGATATCAGCGTTTGTACATATGTACGTCTGTCTTTTTTTTACAGATGTAAATTGTACGCGTGTTGTATGTGCACGTGAGCATCGGTTGAAAGCTGTAGCATTGACGCCGAGTTTCGTCAATTATAACTATATATCGGTACAAGTAGCTCCGTCGTTCAATCCTTTTAAGGATCCTGGCTGTGAGACATGGCGCCCGGACATCGATATCATTGACCGAGTTTCGCTGTTCCGGAGGTCCGTAACCCTTTCAAGGATCGCGGCTACATAATAGAGAGGAGTACCGATGACACTGACCGAGTCGCTTTTCTTGTCTTTCATCTTCTTTTTTCCCTTTTGCTTAATGAGACCTTTGACATTGATATGTTAATTTCAAAGTAACCAGATGTCCCTTTAATAAAAAAGAAAAGATCGTGATTGCGATATTTCGTTTAGAAAAGAGAAACAAGAATCAGTAATTGAGAGATCCGTAACAAAGGCGACTCCTCTCGAACGTTTAAGAACGTTTCAAGCTTTGAAAGGCCTCTGCTTAGATCGACGATTGCTCGATTGAAAGCTTATTTTGAAAATAGAATGCAGTACCAAAGGGTCTACGCACGATGCGTAATAAGCGAAAACAGCTTACGTACCTCGAAATTACAGCGGTTCATTGCGATTATTATAATTGCACACGAGTGCAATTATTCGCTGGAAGGAAAGACGCGACACTTTTCTGCCTGTTTCTCTTCATTTTCATGAAAAATACTTGTCCTGTCTTGCAAATGTTATTCTATTAGAATTGAACACCACCATTGCATTGAAATTACAATAAATAAAAATTGCTTAAGAAGAATATTGCTTGAAACTAAAATTATTCAAATTCGTTAAGGTATCGTTCATCTTTGTGACAAAACTATTCGAGAAGTTGTTTAATACGGCACGATACCACGTTAAACGATGTCAAAAACTATATTCTGATACGATTAAATTAATTTCAGATTGAAATGAAACCGGAAGTCTTTGATCCTTCGACGAGTTGCTGCAACTGTTTGTCGAAAATGTTACCCTTTCACAGCCTCGTCATCGTCCTCGTCCTCGTCCTCGTCCTCGTCTTCGACACACAACCACCGAACAATTTATCATTAGTAATTCTCACAGTTAGTTATCGTACGATGAACGATTCGTCCGTGCAGTGTAATAGCTGCCCATAGCCACTGTTTTCGAGAGTCAAGCTCCGGACGACCTCGATCTCGGCCACCAGTCCAACATACTTTGCGTCGATGAGAAAAAGGGGGAAAGAAATGAAAGAAACGTGACAGAAAATACGGGTAAAAATGATAACGGTAGGAATGACGTTACTACATCGGTAAGCGCAATATAAAATGGATAAATCGAGATGAATCGATCGAGAATCGTCGTGAATTGGAAAAACCGAGGAATTCGGCGTCGGTTCGCAACCCCTACTGACAGAGGCAGGACACGACCCTTTTCAAACGAGGACGCAGCGAGCCACGATAAGAGAGCAAGTACTCGTAGTAACACGGCGACTCGACGACTGGCGCCGCGTCGCGTTGTCGAGCTCATTGGCTCTCTTTTCTGACCCCCTCAAACGCCCTCCGCCCCTCTATAGCGACATTCACTGGCGCTTTCTGTCTTACCGCGGTGTGGTGGCTCTTCATTCCTTTCCTGTTCGCGAACTGCGCGACTTATCTCTTTCTACCTTATCGGCCGGCGGCCTTCTCTCGCTCGCGTTTCCTCAGGCAGACTGTTTTCCTTCTTTTCGGGTTCTGCGTTCATGGCGCCAATAAAACGGTGAAATGCACGATACACTTCTATCGCGATTCTCGAACTACACATCTCGAACTATCGATGTAGTAACTTCTCGCGATCGATCTCTGCACTGTTGAGACATAATGTGACAGTGTAACGTAACGGTTTAACATAAAAGTTTAGGAGGAAGAAAAAGAGTAATCTGCCAGTTCTTGAGTAAAAGTCTATAGCTTTTAGAGTACAGCTTATTTTTCTACTATTAACTAGTGAGCATCGTTTGAAAGCTGACGTACACACGTATGTACAATATATAGTGTACATTTGCATTGGTTATAAGTGAATATGTATCGTGTATACAAATTGTCCACTCCGTGTTAAAATGTCCTTTTCTCATACGAGACAAGAAGATATTTATTTATCAATACAATACAAATGATGTGTATACATGGTACGATATGTTTATTCTGTAAAACATTTTATTTTTCCCCGAATTAGCCGAATGTTATTCGTGAACGCTCGTATCCCCACCCCACTCTAAATTAGTTCGTTGCGCAAACCTGTTGCGCGGGGGGTAGTTAGTCTATTGTGGATCGTCGAATCGTTAAGATCTGTCACCTTGCGTGGTATTTGTTAATCGCGTTTCTTTTCATACTCGCTGTCACCTTGACTTGGCTTAATTATCGTACGTCTCTTTTCAACGACTCGCGTGCAATGTAATTATTAATATTGTTAAATTGGTTTTCTTTTGTACAGATTTTGACGATATGCTTGACTGCGGGGAAAATTTTGAAAACTTTGGAACATTAGAGGTATGCCACGCTTTTCACAGATATATGGTAGTATTTCATCGTTTTATCATATTTTGGCGTGTTTTTATGTTTATATTTAGTTATTGTTGGATAATTTATAACAATTTGATATACATTCTTCACGGGACAGGTTTGAACCTGTTCTGCGCATCGCGTTTTTTATGTACTGCGCAGCTTCGTTTAGTTGACAATATACTCGCTGTCACCTTGACTTGGCTTAATTATCGTACGTCTCTTTTCAACGACTCGCGTGTAATGTAATTATTATTATTGTTAAATTGGTTTTCTTTTGTACAGATTTTGACGATATGCTTGACTGCGGGGAAAACTTTGAAAACTTTGGAACATTAGAGGTATGCCACGCTTTTCACAGATATATGGTAGTATTTCATCGTTTCATCATATTTTGGCGTGTTTTTATGTTTATATTTAGTTATTGTTGGAGAATTTATAACAATTTGGTATACATTCTTCACGGGACAGGTTTGAACCTGTTTTGCGCATCGCGTTTTTTATATACTGCGCAGCTTCGTTTAGTTGACAATAAAAGCCCGCCATATTTGATTAGTACGAAGTTATTCGAAATTTTAACAACGAATACAGTTATAATTTTTCGCAAATTGATTACATTTGGAGATATTTGTAACTATTTTAATAATGTTAAAAAATATTTTAGATTCTATTGTATTTTATAATAATTATTGGCATAAAATGGAATTTCATTGAATATTTGACAAGTTTTTATTTTTGAATTGAATGTTATTATTAAAATTTTGTTTGATAAAGATCAATCTTTTATTATTACAAATTTTCAATTAACACTCTTTAAGTACAAATTGTAATGTTTTTTGCTTTTTTTTTTACAGATTTCTTTTCATCTTTATTTCTTCTGTGCAATACGGTTACTCCTATTTGGTGGATTTCAGGATAATTTGCTGTGTACACTATCGATGACAACGTTCTTCGCATCTAATCGTGAGTCGCATGCATTATTTTTCCTCTGGTTACTCAATCATGTCATAGGATGAAAGGTCCGAATTGACACGGGTGACTGGTTGTATTACGTAGAGTTTTGATGAGCATAGTGACCACGGTTATTTATTATACCGTGAGTAGTAATGTCTTGTTTGTGTCTTATATTAGATCAGGATAGATTTTCTTGCACTTTGCGTTTTTGAATGTTAATGTTTGAATATGAGTAATTATAATAATTATACTATAAATATTATAATTTATATAATTCATAATTTACAATGTTATCTTATATTCTATGATATAATGGAAGCACTTTATTGTTTGATTTCCATATTCAGTATAATTCCAATAGAATTTAAAATATGAAATATAAAGCTATTCAAGTTTAATTTTGTTCGTCCAAGAATGTATTAAATTTTATGTGCAAGAAGATATTTCGCGACAGGCAAATTTCAGAATCAGAGCATTTGGTTTTGAACGTTTCTTTCGTATGTTTGTTTCGTATGCTCTGATGAAGAAATATTGGCTGAGGATATTTCTATTATTATTTTGGAATTCATTATACTTCTATATACTTGGAATCTTTTTCTATTCAAGTAAAAGCATTTCTGTGTGTTTATTAAATTATTAAATTATTAAGGAAAATCATAAAGTAAAAGAAAATAAGATTGTCAATGAATATTAGCCCGTTAGAGACACAATAGATATATTAATCATTTTCTTAGCTTAGGATTTTCAGATTTAATCCTTTCCATGTTCGTTGCCAGGATCTCATTCACGTGCCCAGGTGCTACTTGGGTGAGAGAAAGGCAACGAGTATGATGATCATAGTTTATAAACTTAATAATTTCTCAGCGACTGACGATGTTAGTATATCGTGCACGACGTATTTTCCACATTGTGTGTGTGTTTAGGCTGTGGAATTGCGTCGTTTCTGCTGTTATACCAACCAATATAATTTTGGTATATATTAATAAGTTTTATTAACGATACA